TCACATAGAAAAAACTCATGTTGTAAGTGGGTTTTTTACCACCAGTCGTCTGCCTGCCGTCGACCCTCCTTGGGAGCAATCGCCCAGATGCGGAACAATTGACTGTGAGTCACCCGAATATTTCATCCATGTGGGAATCGAACCCACGACCTTCGACGGCGAAGTCTTAGTTGGCATAGCATCTGGGCGCGAAACCGAACTCCGCAGCGCCGAAATTTTTAATAATTTATCTACAAAATGTACAATTAAATGTCTTGAATGTATAAGTTTTTAAAAGCGGACTTCCAGCATGGTGTTATTCTTAAAAAAATAAAGTAAATTTTTGCTGTACAGCAGTATTGGTTATATTGGTTATATGGGTTATCCATCAATCTTCACGTCCAGCCCTTTGCGGCGTGGAGAGATAACAAGCGCATTGTAATTAATTATAGTAAAACTTTAGCCTAAAATATTTAACCTCAAATAAAAGGCTGACTTTTTATGTATAACATGACCCAATCACGTTACGAGACGATGTTCCGGTATATATTTTACTTTTTGAAATCTTTATTTACCGTCACAAATAATTCATACTCGAAACAAACAAACTATGTATAGAAACGGTGCTTGATTTGTGTCTACTGAAAACAAAGGACGTTATTTTCAACCGACCGATCGAATCAATTTTGATGTTTCTTTTTTTATATGAAAGCTGGTGCTTCCCATGTGGCCCCATATTAACTTAATTGGTATCGGATCTTGGGCTTCAGGGATGCTTGGGGAACTCCTGAAGATCAATTATAAAATGAATACAGAGCGAGATATTTGAAGTCGGTTTTGATTCTCGTTAATAAAACTATGGACTTGTATTAGCTTGATTTTGGGGCCGTTACTCAAAGGTGGCAACGCATTTGCTACCCTACGGGTGTTGCAAATGTTCATGGGCGGCGGTTATCACTTATATCAGGTGTGGACCGCTAGCTTTCCACTTTCTGACATAAAAAAAATTAATAAATGATTTTTTCCCAAATTTTTGTTTGTTCCCTACATCTAAGTAGCGGCCTGCTGAAATTTCACCCGTCCGGTATTTTCATTCGGCTGTTCTTAAACGTGACTAAAATGGAGACTCGGGTCGCGTTCAATAAATGAACTCTGCGCTTGACGTTTGACGCACGGCGGCCATTTTGGCGGGATTTACCGCCATAATAAAGAAAATAAAATACGACAGCGGAGAGCATTCAATGGAGCCTGGCGCTGACGTCATTATTTATTTCTTTGTACAGAATTTAATACGTATATGTTAGAGATAGTTATTATTTAAGCCGACAGAGATGATGATGACCACGTTTAGTCCATACGATGATGTCCAAACGGGAGGCAAGCCTCTTCGCCCTATAGAGGACTAAAGTTTTTTTTTAATGTTAGAAGGTGGCAAACGAGCTGAATGTTGATCTGATGTTAAGTGATAGCCGCCGCTCATGGCCATTTGTAATACTGTAGAGTTGCAGGTGTGTTGCCATATTTTAATTTAATTGGCCCCGGCTACCTCACTCACTAGACAAATCGCAGAAGTAGTCAATGATTATGGCCCGTCAAAAAACGGGGTGCAAAAATTAATACTTTTTGGCGCACACGCCATGTGGGTTCTCACCCAATAATTTTCGTCGACTTTTAACGTCATGCCGCCCGTGGACATGCACAACACGTTACGGTTGCAGAAATAAAAAAGTGCTCCGTGGCTACCTCACTCTCAAGACGAATCGCGAAAGAATAACACTTCCACTTCGCTCTGGTCTTCTGGTAAATCTTTCGAGCCTTTTATTTTGTTCGGTTATTCTTATACCTTAAGATGCAGCGTGTTTTGGAGGTTTTAGCATATGATAAGTTTTTTTTTTTTTTTTATTGAAAAACATTGCCCTTACTTTAGGATAACATTATACTGTGTTGTAAGGACGTTTGACATACATAAATTTCACGTGGACAAACATCCAGATGCGAAACAACTATCCTGTGGGTCGCACAAATAGTTGTCCCGTGTGGGAATCGAACCCACGACCCCCAACACTGAAGCCAATACCTTGGCGACAGCGCCACGGAGTCATCAAATGTGAGGTTTCGGATAAGTATGTAATTATTTATCCGAAACCTATGTTTTCACTTAAAGGAGAGAAGAAACAAGCGGGGGACAGCTAGTGTTGAATAAGATAATACTATCCTTACTAATATTATAAATGCGAAAGTTTGTATGTATGGATGTATGTTACTCTTTCACGCAAATACTACTAAATGGATTTTAATGAAACTTTACAATAATATAGCTTATACCAGAATAAGACATAGGCTATAATTTAATATACATAATTCATGTATTCAGCCTATTCTACGCAGATGTAGTCGCGGGCAGCAGCTAGTCGACTATAATCTTGGGTGACATAGGTCGCCTGCTTGGCGGGATTCATTGCCGCACTCAAAGGGCTCTGTACCATTATCTATAAAAAGTTAAAAACCATGTCTGTTGTATGAAAGTCCCACTGATTTTTTTTTATTCTCTTTTTCAGTATTTGTTACGAACCAAACGAAATCAGTTTGAGTCAAAGAAATTTTGAACCTAATTTATCTACAATTAAAAATAATAATAATGTTGAAGAATTTCTGCAAATTTAATTACGTGTGAAAGGTTTGTTTTGATAAATTTTGATAATCGATATGAAATTCTTTTTTTTATGTGAAAAGTTGCCAAGCGAGCAAGCGGTTCACCTGACGTTAAGTGAATACCGCCGCCCATGGACATCTGCCGCATCCGGGGGTTCCAAATGCGTTGAAAACCTTTTGAAAATTGGGCTCCATCCAAGTTTTCGAAAATTGGGGCAGTAACGAGCGAGGTCGCCTTCTTTAAAATTTAGGATCCATTTTTATTTTTTTGTGCAAGTCTCTGCACTCAAGATGAAAGCAAATACCCATGAGTCCATGTTTAAATTAAAATTAAGTATTAAATAGCTGAGAGAGCCGTGTTAGCTCAGTGACCAGCGGTCGGTTTTAATTTAGTGTAATGTACTTATCCGGGTTCAAACTCCATTGCCGGCGCCCATGTATATTACGATTTTAAGCGTTGATTTAAAGAAAGCTGAATATTTTGGAAATAATAACTGCCCATAGACATTGGTACCATGTGATGGATTAATACCAATTTCCGTATTATACTATACAACGTTTCTTTACCACCGCGACAATAAATAAACACACGTCCAATACTACTTGCCAATAATCATAAAAAAATATAAGCGTTAAAAAAATCCAAAACTATATAAAAATGTTTTTCAACAAAACTAAAAAAAATTTTTGTAACATCCTATACAACTACATCTGACTGATTCATACATTCCGAGACTTTTTCATTCGTTGCCACAGCGTCGCATTACAAATCTCTCCTTCTAACAATATGTTTTATCTCGTCTATTCATTCAACCCATTCATATGCTTTGTGACCTTTACCAATGAAGTTTACGTTACAGTTTTATACGTAAGGCTGTTCTAAAAATTTTTGTTACGTAAAATTTAATGTCTCGATAAATATTGATGTTTAAAGAACATTTACATTCTTTAAACATCAACATTTAGTCACGAAAATTTTCAAATTCACTTGAACTCTACACACTTCACTCAGACAAAAACAGCTAAGTTCACGCCGCAGTACGGCAGCGCCATTCTGGTAATTGAACATCTTTTTCCAGCATACAGCGTATACACTGTTTTCATTACATAGCGTGTCTTTACCACCGCGACAATAAATGAACACACGTCTGACGCTCCTTGCCAATAATCATAAAAAAATATTAACGTTAAAAAACATCCATAATTACAAAAATATATTTTTCAAACAACTTAATTAAGTAAAAAAGAAACAAAATTTGTAACATCCTATACAACTACATCTGACTGATTCATACATTCAGAGACTTTTTCATTCGTTGCCACAGCGCCGCATTACAAGCGTCTCCTTCATACAGTATGTTTTGTCTCTTTTAAATTCATTCAACCCTTTCATATGCTTTGTGACCTTTACAAATGAACTTTATATTAAAGTTTTATACGTAAGGATGTTCTAAAATTCTTTGTTTTGGAAAATTTGATAACTCGGTAAATATTGATGTTTAAAGAATGTAAATGTTTAATACAATTTTAAAAAGTTATCCTCTATGTGTGTTCATTTACTGTCGCGATGGTAAAGACACGCTGTATATGCATCATCTATGGCATACACAGTGGTGGATTTATAAATTTGCCGCCATTTTTAGGGTTCCGTACCTAAAGGGTAAAACGGGATCCTATTACTGAGTCCGACGTCTGTCTGTCACCACGCGTATTGTATCACATGAGCCGTGATAAAAAAAAATAGTTGAAATTTTCACAAATGATGTATTTCTGTTTCCACTATAACAAATATAATAAAAAATATTTAAGTCTATAAGAAAGATTTTTTGCCGTTTTTATAAATATGGTACTGAACCCTTTGTGCGTGAGTTCGACTCACACGTGGCCGTTTTTTCTTTTTAATTTCACTGTAATTTTGTAGGAAATTTTCCAGCATTTTATATGATATTTGTTAAACGTGGTTTAAATTTCTATCGTTAATATTGCGAGTGTGACAGGTACATCAATATTAATTTCTGTTTCTAATGGACTATAGCCTAATATCCTCTGCACGGATGAGCCCTTGCCCAGCAGTGGGAAACGTATAGACTGTTATTCAGTGAGGGATTTACGAATTTGCCGCCAATAGGCTGTTCAATTTTTGCCGCCCCTACTGACCTTTGAAATTCGATACCCAAGTTCGCAATCATATAAATTGCATTTATTCTGCCATTAAAATTGCAACTTTTCGATTTGTTCTGTATCGTCTTCATTATATTAGTTTAGCAGTTTCATATTTATTTGCATGGACGCCGACAACGGTTTAAGATCGAGGATAATTATTCGATCTGGAGTTCGATAAAAGTGCAATTGGTTAGATTTACGATTTAAAATTCAGTTCTACGGTGGTAGGGCCACAGGGTGGTAGGGCCACAGGGTGGTAGGGCCACAGGGTGGTAGGGCCACAGGGTGGTAGGGCCACAGGGTGGTAGGGCCACAGGGTGGTAGGGCCACAGGGTGGTAGGGCCACAGGGTGGTAGGGCCACAGGGTGGTAGGGCCACAGGGTGGTAGGGCCACAGGGTGGTAGGGCCACAGGGTGGTAGGGCCACAGGGTGGTAGGGCCACAGGGTGGTAGGGCCACAGGGTGGTAGGGCCACAGGGTGGTAGGGCCACAGGGTGGTAGGGCCACAGGGTGGTAGGGCCACAGGGTGGTAGGGCCACAGGGTGGTAGGGCCACAGGGTGGTAGGGCCACAGGGTGGTAGGGCCACAGGGTGGTAGGGCCACGGGGTGGTAGGGCCACAGGGTGGTAGGGCCACAGGGTGGTAGGGCCACAGGGTGGTAGGGCCACAGGGTGGTAGGGCCACAGGGTGGTAGGGCCACAGGGTGGTAGGGCCACAGGGTGGTAGGGCCACAGGGTGGTAGGGCCACAGGGTGGTAGGGCCACAGGGTGGTAGGGCCACAGGGTGGTAGGGCCACAGGGTGGTAGGGCCACAGGGTTAAAACCACAGGGTGGTAGGGCCATAGGATGGTAGGGCCATAGGGTGGTAGGGCCACAGGGTGGTAGGGCCACAGGGTGGTAGGGCCACAGGGTGGTAGGGCCACAGGGTGGTAGGGCCACAGGGTGGTAGGGCCATAGGATGGTAGGGCCATAGGGTGGTAGGGCCACGCAGCAGCCTCGGCTGTTGCACGAACGGGCAGGCCCGTCCGGGTGAGTACCACGACCTCACCAGACCAGCGTAAAGTGGAAGTATGACAAATAATTTCGCGTTTCGACTGGTGAGTGAGCTAGCCGGAGCCCAATTTTCAAAAGGTTGTCAACGCATCTGTAACCCTCGGGTGTAGCAGATGTCCATGGGCGGCGGTATTCACTTACCATCAGGTGAACCGTCTGCTCGTTTGGCAACTTTTGACATTAAAGAAAAATCAGTTGAGATATTCCGCTCAGACCAACATGCATGCATTGAAAGTTTAATAAAAGCTTGTAAAAATGCGATAATTTTTGACGAGTGGGAGGGAAGAGATTGAAAAGGTTTAAGAAAAACAACTGAACTGAATCTCCGTTTTATTTTTAAAAACAAAAATTAACACAATCAAACACTGTAAGAACGATTCCCTTTATTACTCTTAATAAATTAAAACCTTCGATATCTGCGGACCTACAAAAGGTACAAGTCTTCATTCCGAAGTAGAAGTTAACTAATCAACTGTCAAATGGCTTTCGGCAACCACAGTGACACTGTAGGGATGTCGAAAAAATATCGATATATCGATATTTTTGATTCTATGTATCGATATTTTCAGTCGATATAATATTTGGATCCGATATACTAATACAAAGTGTTCAATATCGAAAATCGTATCAAAAACGATATTTTTCTCAAATTCGAATCCGGCTTTTTTTTTGGCCAAAGGGGTTTTTAGGACATATCCAATATGTCGAAGTTTTCTCTTCGATATATCGAGGCCGATATTAATATTTTTTATAAATATCGATATATTTCGTCTTTTTCGACATTCCTATGACAAGACCTGAACAAAAACTGCTTGACAAGAGCAGTATATTCAGCCTTGTCAAGTAGAAACAAATATTGGTATTTATGAATTGAGGTTAGTTCAGTTTTAGGATTTAACTTTTACGTTTGTGCCACAAGTTTCGGTTATTTTTTTATTATTTTATATTTATTTATTGAGTAATGATTAATTTTGAGCTACATTAACTTTTATAAGGAATGTATATTAAAAAAATTTGATTTTTTAATTGCATTCTATAGTCTTTTAGGGTTCGGTACCTAAAGACCCCGCTGTCTGTCTGTCCGTCTGTCACCAGGCTGTACGTCATGAACCGTGACAGTTAGACAGTTGAAATTTTCACAGATTACGTATCTCTGTTGCCGCTATAACAACAAATACGAAAAGACAGAATAAAAAAATATTTAATTGGGCCCATACAACAGAGATGATTTTTTGTGCGTTTTTATATATAGATAACGGTACGGAACCCTTCGTGTGCGAGTCCGAATAAAACTTTTTATTACAGAGATTTCGCTAACGAAGACAGGATTTGACTCAGTGTCTGGCCAGCGAACTATAAACGGAATTTTGAACACCAACTATATATATAATTATATTAAATTTTAAAGTTACAAGTTTATTATGCTTCGGCCAACTTCCATTGCATCGTTTTATTGGGTGACATATATTTGGAGGGAAATTGACAAAAAAATCTTTTGATTTTCATCTTGATCGGATACTGGCACTAAAAATAAAATTAATAATGTAAAGATTCATTTTTTTTTTATTATGTACAGCCTACATAATATTTATCGCTTAAGTGTAGTACGAATACTAGTCGAATATTAGAAATAGGATTATTATTGAAAATTTGAATACTAAAAAAGTGGAATATTATGTGCACTGGCTCACTGTGCTGTCTACGCAACTGGCTGGAGCCAGTACTGGTTGCTCGTGTCAGCGGCTAACTAGGACTAGACATCGTAATGTACCATCGTTTATGCCCGTAGTGGGGTAGGCGGGATGTTTAACAGGCGTTTCTGTTCCCCAATCGATTTTCCACCTTAAGCGCCGTCCATTCATCGCGTGATGTTTTTCCCCCCCCTTCCCGTATTTTTCAGTGCCCACAAGTAATCGTAACATTAGTAAAATATCATATTTGAACGAAGGTATAAAGTGTAATCTAATTTATTTAGACGTAAAAATCGCACGTTTCACGTAAAAATAGACACACGTGATCTTACTAACACCACCGCCCCCCCCCCCCGAGATATTCCGCGCCCCCCCCCCCCCCTCGAGCCTCGCGTGGTTAACGGACGGCCCCTTAAGGGTACAGCGGAGAGGTCGTACTTCATCGCTTACAACTAAGATCAGTGGACAGGGTCGATTACAGCTTGCAGTGGGACCCCTTGCGGGGTATGCTGAGGAAGGGCTCCGCGAGGGGGTACAGCCTCCGTCTGGATTTGAATTCCAGCAGGTCCGTGATCTTCACCGGCTGTGAAGGAACGGCCTGTGTTAGATAAATATAAATAAATATAAATATTTTAGGACACATTTTTACACAACATTCTTCTCTAGTCCCAAACGCAAAGCAACGCTTGTACTATGGGTATTAGACAACTGATATACATAATTAAACATCCTTTTCTTTTGTAAATAAATACATATTATAGATATATAAACACCCAGACACTAGAAAAACACTATGTTCACAATATTTTTCCAGTAGTGGGGATCGAACCCACACCCTCTGTCGCAGGAGGCAGGTACACTACCCACAACGCCATTCGGGTCGTCTACTTATACTTATTGTATAATATCATACTTTGACGACCTCAGTGGCGTGTAGCGTACCTGCTTCCTGCGATAGGTGTGGGTTCGATCCCCATTACTGGAAATATATTGTATGATAAACATAGTGTTTTCTAGTGTCTGATTGTTTATATATTTATGATATGTATTTATTTACAAAAGAAAATAATGTTTAAGTGTGTTTATCATTTATCTAGCACCCATAGTGCAAGCGTTGCTTAGTTTGGGACTAGTACGTTGTGTAAAGTCTAAAATATTTATTTAAAAAAAATATTTATGATTATCTTCCTTTTTTGTGAAAATTATATCCCTTACTGTAGAATAGCATTATATTTTGTTGTAAGGACGTTTTACATACACAAATATCACGTGGACAAACACCCAGATGCGAAAAAACTATCACCGGACGTGACTCAGGAGTGTAACACTTCAACGCCTTTCTCCTGCCCTCATTTATCACGGCTCGACGTCGACACCCCCCCCCCCCCCCCCCCGCCCCCCTTGCGAACAAACACCCAGACCCGCAACAAGCCGTGAGACGCGTGCGGGAATCGAACCCGCGACCCGATCGGCCGCAGCCGATATCTTGGCAACTGCGCCATTCAGCCGTCCGTCCGTAAGCTTATGTGTCCTGCGACGAAACCAAAATGAGGCCTGCTAGTTCTAGTGTGAGGCTGTTGAGGGTCCCCACCCGTGGCTGGGTCCCCTCCCCCTCTGGCGTGGTATCCTCCTCATGCCCGTCCCCCTCCTCCGCCCCACCCCCCGCCCCGGCGCCCCCCTCCGCCGTGGAGAGCACGTGCACGCTCAGCTTCTGCCGCTCCGGCGAACCAGCGCCGATGTGCCTCTGGAATCGTACGCACGGAATCGAACCCACTACACTTAACGGTCGTATCGCTTTCACGGGGATCGAAACCGCGACGCGACGCCCAACGGCGGCCGGCGAGGGACCGCTGAGCCAATGCGTCATCATTTACTCTAGCCAAATTGTTAGCCAACTTTGGGAACTGGAATAAATGTTAAGGCAAACATTAATTCCGTTGGGTAATCGAACCCATTACCACAGAATCTATATCTACAGAGATATTGATTGGAAATCCTTTTGCATATCGCATTGTACAGTACGCAAAATGAGAATGGGTGAGTGCGATGTGAGTATTGCCCTCTCACTCGCACCGCAATCTGAAATCCTTCCAAATACACATCGAAGTCGCGAATTTTGTTTTGTTCCATTTGATAGACGGATTAATTTCTTTTTTATTATTTTTTCTAAAACGCATTGCCCTCATTCTAGGACAACTTTACTTTGCAAGGACGTTTTAAATACGTTATAAGACGTTATAAGGGTCTTTTAAGCGACGAGAAGATTTCTGCACCCGACGAGGCCGTTAGTTTTCCTGTGAATACGAGGAGATGCCAATCGAGCTGACGGTCCACCAGACGTTAAGTGGCAACCGCCGCGCGTGAACATTTGCAATCCCGTAGGGTTGCAGACGCGTTGCCACCTCTTAATAATGTGGGCCCCGGCTACCTCACTCGGCAGACGGAACGCAGAAGGTCGTACCCCGGGCGGACCCGACCGCTCACATCGTTGCGCGGCCCTACCACAGTTGATACTTGAACCCAAGTCAGCTTGGAGCCCTGCGATAGTCCCCCCGCTTCCGGGGTCCACAGACCATGTAGAACTGGATCAGCTCCTCCTTGGTGACGGTGTTCAGCTGCTCCACCTCCACCCGCGCCCGGTCGAAGTTGTACATCTGCGAATGAACGAAACCGGTCACCGTTCACACGTTCGCTTCATACAGCCGTCGTTCATTCACACGAATGAATTATTTCGAATGGCGTAGTGGGTAATGCAGCTGCCTATGGAGCTCCTTCGCCAGATGCTGTGGGTTCGATCCCCACTACTGGAAAAATATTGTGCGATGAACAGTGTTTTTCTAGTGGTTAGGTCAGTGATTCTCAACCACTGTGCCGCGGCACTTTTGTGTGCCGCCAAATTTTGCAAATATATAATAATGTTAATATTATTAAATTATATCATTTAAAAAGAAAAATATTTTTTGGCATTAGCGAACATTAAAACTAAAAAAAGATCAAGATTGTTTAATGTAGAAGACGATATGAGAGTAGCATTGTCATTTTTTTTTTACGACCAAATATAAATGAAATTATCAAAAAACATCAAGCTCAAATTTCGCATTAAAAATATTTTTATTATTAGCTTGTAATTAATCCCTTAATAAACGTTTAGTTATTATTGTAGTATATATTAGTTTATTTCGTATATTTAAATTTTTTGTCATAAACTATTTGTGCAGTGTGTTGTAGTAAGTAAATAATTTTTATCTTTTTCTTTGTGTGCCGCCAAATTTTGAAATATTTAAATATGTGCCGCAACAAAAAAAAGGTTGAGAATCACTAATCTAGGTGTTTATATATGAATGATATGTATTTATTTACAAAAGAAAAGTATGTTTAAGTATGTTCATCAGTTATCTAGTGCCCATGTTTTCTATCCTTTTGTATTTGTATTTTGTATTTTTGTCTTTTAAAACATTGCCCTTACTTTAGGATAACATTATCCTGTGTTGTAGGGACGTTTTACAAACATAAATATCACGCGGACAAACACCCAGATGCGAAACAACTACCTGTGGGTCACACAAATAGTTGTCCCGTGTGGGAATCGAACCCACGACCCCCGACGCCGAAGCCAATACCTTGGCAACTGTGCCACGGGGTCATCGATTTTAAAATGCACAGCCCTGACTGTGGTTAAAGTACACGCGGACGAACACCCGGACCCGAAACAATTGCAAGCGGTTAAAACATGTGGAAAAAGTACGAAAAGATCGTCGCCGCTGTGGGAATCGAACCCACGTCTTCGGCATTCGCGGCCTGACGCTCTAGCCACTGAGCTAAACGGCTGATTGCCACACCGACGAAAATCTTAACGCATTCTTCTACATTGTTTTCTTAGCATTTGAAGCAAAGCTTGGCGCCATCTATTGTTATATCCTTTCCAGCATACAAACAAATTTTTAAAAGGAAAAAATCGCAAGCGCGTCACACAAACGGTCGTCTTGCGCGGGATAGGACCCAGTAATTCAGCAACGGCGCCGCGGAGTCAGCGTTTGATGCCATCAATAATCAAGAAGACGTAAGTTTCTCTCAGGTTGTCATGAGCCTTCACCTAGGCCGGTACCTATTCAACCCTAAGGTTGCTTTCCCCTAAGGGCCTCTGTCATGGTAGATGCTTCGGTCAGACCATCCGTCGGCAACTTAACATTCGCTCTTTCGTACATTTATCGGCCCGTCGGTGAGTTTCTTTACGCCCGGCTCCTATATTCAACGAACGGCCGTGAGTTACATAGCTTAAGTAAGTAACTTTCATAACGAACTGTAGAATAAGGGAACTCACTTTCCGTCGGCAATGCAACGGCTCGTTTTGTTAATATAGGAACCGGGCGTACAAGCCTTTAATCTACAGGCCGTCGTGGAAGCCGCGAAGCTATGTAACTGACGGCCGTTCGTTGGATATGGGGGCCGGGCATCGATCTCGATTCGGACAAATGGCCCCTGGCCCGCGGCGGTGCATAGGGGAGCTCCTCAAAACCGAGGGGAGGAAAGAGAAAGAGAAAGAGAAAGAGAAAGAGAAAGAGAAAGAGAAAGAGAAAGAGAAAGAGAAAGAGACCTGTGCGGAGATCTCGTTCCAGATCTGTCCCGCGCGCACGGCCATCCTCTTGGGCGTCTCGAGGCGCTGCGCCGCCAGGGCAGAGCGGTGCTTCAGGAACTCCTCGGGGGACATCCCCTCCAGGTACTCCTGGGGACAGGGGACCCTTCGTCTGATGGCGTTCCACTGCGGTAGGACCCCGCAACTGTGTTCGCTGTTGCACGGATGGGCAGCTCCGTCCGGGCAAGTAAGAGACCGGCGTGCAGTGGAAGCGTTACACGTCTGCGTCTCGTCCGGCGAGTGAGGTGGCCGGAGCCCACTTTATGAGGTGGCAACGCGTTTGCAACCGTACTGGTGTTGCAAACGTCCACGGGCGGCGGTTATCACTTAACATCGGGTGAACCGACGGTTCACATGCGACATTTTCACATTAAAAAGAGTTTCGAGGTTCGAAGTCAAAGTTTTCCCAATCGATATAGATTCCATTTAAGCCCTTATTACATTACCTCAAACAAACCGACACCGGTCCCGCTAAGCTAGACCTTTCCGGAAAGGAGCCGGCGAGAAACTCACAAGCAGAGTCTCGTTAAACATTCTGTTCTTCGGGGTTGTCCATTAATTATGTGAAACTCGAAAGGGGTAAGGGGTTTGTGGCGAAAATCACGATTTATCACAGGGATGGGGGGGGGGGGGGTGTAGTAATGATGTAAAGATGGAAAGTAAAAAAAGTGATTGATAAAAACAATTTTTATGCCATTATGTTATATACGGTACTGGCCGTGACTTTTAATCGTGTAGTTTTATTTTACCTAACGATAAATAGATGGGAATCATTTTTTTGGAAGTCGTATTTCATTTTTGTTAAATATATTACGGATAGATATGCGCGATTTCTTTCTAAAACACCTTCTTTTCTAAAAAAAAAATCTGATTACACTCTAAAACTGTATTTATAGATAGAGTTCTGAAATTTATTAAGATTCTCCGTGCGTACTAAAAATACACGCGATTTGGGGGGGGGGACGTCTTAAACCTCACCACGCATCACCGAGAGGGAGGAGGGCTGGTTAAAAAAAGGTAAAGAACATCGCGTGATCAACGGACGGCGCCTCTGTTCCAATGCCTATTCGGCACAGGCCGTGTGTGCGTGTGTGTGTGTGTGTGTGTCGGATTCGAACCCGGGCGCTCTGCAGGAAGGCCTCGATCCTCTCCTCCAGGTAGCGTGGGTGGCGATCGCTCTGCACGATGATCCGCATCCCCTGCACGCCGTTGGAGCGGCGCACCCCGCTGAACACTATGTAGCCCAGTTGCTCCTGCAGTCATCATCGCTACATAGTACAAAACAAAGTCGTCCCGCTGTCTGTCTGTCTGTTACAGGGTGATTTTATAGACGACGGCGATGAACTTGAATTGATATTTTTCTGGTTATTTGATTGGGTATTGGTCAGCGGTGGTGGAGCCACGCAGCAGCCTCGGCTGTTGCACGAACGGGCAGGCTCGTCCGGGTGAGTACCACGACGTCACAGAAGACCGGCGTAAAGTGGAAGTAAAGTACTTTCGCGTTTCGTCTGGTGAGTGGGGTGGCCCTCCGGCCGATTTCCAAAAAGGTTGTCAACGCATCTGCTAAACCAAGGGTGTAGCGGATGTCCACGGGCGGCGGTATTCACTTAACATCAGGTGAACCGTCTGCTCGTTTGGCAACTTTTCACATAAACAAAATATTTCTTGTCAAATAAAATATTAATATTTTATTCTAAATTATGAAATGCTCAATTAATGCGTAATTCGTATAAAAATCATCCTGTATATGCTTACATCTATAAAACTGCGCAACGGATCTTAATGCAGTTTTCTTTAATGGATAAAGTGATTCATGTGGAAGGTTTATATGTATGATAGAAAAAGACTAAGATAATTTTAGAGGTTTTCTAATGCGATGTGGCCACCCGTGCGAAGACGGGACGGGTCGCTAGTTGATAATATTTTAGTGTCTTTCTCTCGTTACATCTCAATTTTAGTGTTCCTATCTGTCTGTCTGTCTCTCACTGGGCTTTGCCTCCGTATCCCGTGAACCGTGATACTAAGGCAGTTGAAATTTTCACAGATGGTGTATTTCTGTTGCCGTTATAACAGCAAATACTAAGAACACCCTTTATTTTTCAAGAGTCCGTGGAAATGGCACGGCCTTACAGAAGACCGGCGTGAGATGGAAGTGTTGCACTCCTGCATTTCGTCTGGTGAGCGAGGCAGCCGGGGCCCGCTCTATTAATGCCCGGTTCCTATATTCAACGGACGGCCGTTAGTTGCATAGCTTCGTAACTTTCATAACGACTTGTAGATAATAGCCGTGTACGCCTTGCTCCTATACTTACGAGCCGTCGCATTACCTACGGAGAGTGGGTTACTAGCGTTCCTTTGATCTACAAGTCGTTTTGAAAGTCACGAAGTTATGTTACTTACGGCCGTTCGTTGAATATAAGAACCGGACATAAGAGGTATCGACGCGTCTGCGACCCTACGGGTGCTGCAAATGTCCACGGGCGGCGGCTATCACTTAACATAAGGCTAACCGCCAGCTCTTTTGCCACTTTCTCACATAAAAAGACACGACTGTCCGGATAATTTCGGTCGACACACCACCACACATGCCGGTCACCTCGTGAGCCAGATTCAGATATTTTTTTATTATTATTTGGGGATATTTAGTTGTTTTCTCGTCTGGTTGGGTGTATGAATAAAAATGAATAGGATTTTAAAGTTTAAAAATAAATACATATAAATATGTTGTATATAATACATACATTTCTTTCTCTTCCCTTTAAAAAACATAGCCCTTACTTTAAGATAACATTATCCTGTGTTGTAAGGACGTTTTACAAACATAAATTTCACGCGGACAAACATCCAGATGCAAAACAACTATCTATGGGTCACACAAATAGTTGTCCCGTGTGGGGATCGAACCCCACGATCCCCGAAGCCGAAGCTAATACCTTGGAACTGCGTCACGGAGTCATCGTCATACATAGATGAACAACCAGACGGAAGCCCTCGACCAGGGAGAGCAAACGGCCGAGGGTTAGGGTGAAAGGGGGATTATTATCTTATATATATATATATATATATAATTTCGTGTCACGGTGTATGTTCGCGATAAACTCCGAAACCTACTTCACCAATTTATATCAAATTTTGTAAGCATTTATAATTCGGTTCAACTTGGGAGATAGGGTTAGATTTTATCTTAATTATTGATCTCAATATTTGTTATTGCAAATTATTTGTTTATTAGATGACAAAGAGCTATCCGTGACTAAGATTCTAACAGATGGCGGTGTAAGATAAATCTATCGGCTGTAAGTTGTAAGTAGAAATCCAGCTAGTTATTATATGATGTACCTGCCTCCTGCGCCCGAGGGTGTGAGTTCGATCCCCACTGCTGAAAAGTGTCTGGGTGTTTATATATGTATAATATGTATTAATTTACAAAAGAAAGTATGTTTATCAGCTATCTAGTACCCACAGTACGAGCGTCTCTTACTAGAGATGGTTGCGTAAAAACGTGTCCCCCCACCTTGGTCCTGAGCACGCTGAAGCAGGGCTCTGCCAGCAGCTGGGCGAGCAGCTCCAGCGTCACGTTGCGCCTCGCCTCGCGCAGCCCGCACGCGAAGTAGAGCGACGCGCACGACGAGCGGTGCACCTCGTTGCGCGCGCACCGCATGTACCACGACCCTGCACCGGGGGGGGGGGGGGGGGGGGGGGGGTCATCGTCATCATCGAGTCCACGCCGGACCTGAGAATAAGATCCTGAGCCACCTGCATCCGTTCCCAGACTCATTTTCGCATCACTCTCTATGACTCTATCACAACTCCCACTGAAGTGTGGACCCTGAGGAGTGGGGGGCTCACTCTGCAGCCACTTACTACCCGGACCCTGAAGGATCAGGGCTTATGCTCCCACTCTCATGAGCCGCGGTGAAGCGAAATTATAGCTATATGGAAACTAACAGACCGCTCCAGAGCCGACGGATAGTGGTCAAAAAGAAATGTTCCGCCGGTTCCAATCAGCTCAGTGACTTTTCCCTTCCGAGCCGGTGGTAGCGTTTCGACAATCAATAAGTGTGTTTAATGCTTCTACATGCCGCGCCGACAGCTGTGACTGCATTTATAATGAAACATAAAAGTTTGTTGGAAAAGGAACGAAAAAAGTTTTTCGTCTTAAGCCTGGTTAAGTATAACCGTGTTACCGAATTGACGGGTGCCCAAAGCGGCCTAAATCATGCCCAAAGTGAGTATATCATGTTCCTAGCTCAAGTTGAAAATATATTTTTTGTATGATATAAATCATGTAAACTGTATACCTGTGGTGGAGCCACGCAACAGCTCGCTGTTGCAAGAATGGGCAGGTCCGTCTGAGTAAGTACCACGACCTCACAGAAGACCGGCGTGAGGTGGAAGCGTTATACTTCCGCGTATCGTCTGATGAATGAGGTAGTCGGGGCCCACTTTATTAAAGGTGGCTGCAAATGTCAATGGGCGCCGATTATCACTAAACATCAGGTGAACCGGCAGCTCGCTAGCCACCTTCTAACAGGGTAGATCCTCATGGAGGCTAATGACCGAAGTCTTCGAAGTGGGTTCGAGGCGGACTGGCCGATACCTTTCTCCATCTCCACCTCCCTGGGCAGCATCAGGTGCTGCGCGAGCAATGGGATCGCGTCTCTCGGCATCCTGAAAAGAGATGGTAGCGGATGGAGAAGGAACAAGCGATGGAGCAACAGATGAGGCGGCTAACAAAACGAATCGACATTTCACAACAGAACTATCCAAATAATTATTGCAAAGACGAGAGAAACACGTTGAGTCGTCGAAAGGATGGTTAAACTCTTTGAATTTATCATCCTGATCATAAAGAAGATCATTCTGGTAAATTGGGAGGGTTTAAACATCGTTTTGGCAACTAATATGATATTTGGACGATAATTAGTAACGTCGCGAGATGAAATTAAAAAAAAAACGCGATAAATGCGTGAATATAGTTCAAATTGATAATAGAAGTATAATAATTAAGTGTACTGAGAGAGGTAAGCGCGCCTTTTTTTAAAGTCGCCATTATTTCTACATCCTGTATTTTAGATATACATGAAAGGAAGAATGACTCCGTGGCGCAGTTGCCAAGGTATTGGCTTCGGCGTCGGGGGTCGTGGGTTCGATCCCCGCACGGAACAACTATTTGTGTGACCCACAGATAGTTGTTTCGCATCTGGGTGTTTGTCCGCGTGAAATTTATGTTTGTAAAACGTCCTTGCAACACAGGATAAATTTATCCTATAGTAAGGGCTATGTTTTTTAAACAAAAAAAATAAAATAAAAAGATATGCATGAAAGGAAGAATCGTTCCACACCTTCGGTTCTTCTTCATTTTAAAGAGAAGCATTGCATGCCCATTGCCCATTGCAAACGTAAATTTCACGTGGCCGAACAGCATCTGTGCGTAACACAAACAGTTGTCCCGTGCGGGAATCGAACCCGCGACCGCGGCGCCGATGCCAATACCTTGGCAGCTTCGCCAGGGGGTATTGACGTTGTTTTTTCTCGTTTCACAAAAAAGACAAACAAACAAAAGGACTTTATATACACATAAATACTAGTGCCACAATATTAGTGCCAAGGGGGCTATTAGGTATAAGTAATTTACATGCGTAGAAAACAGTGTTTTGATAAACAACACGGGATGAGAGAAGCATTAAACATTTTGCGTTAAGTATGCCGCGGCGTGCGAAGCCGGGGCGGGTCGCCAGTTAAAATATAAGCCACAGACTATTTCGACTGTTCTCAATTCTTTCGTCCTGTTTCTAAAAAAGACAACTACTCGAAATCTTGAGCCGCGGGTAGCTTAGCAAACATTAAACAGCGGGCAAGTGCGAGTCGGACTCGCACACGAAGGGCTCCGTACAATTATCAACAAAAACGGCTAAAATCATGCCTGTTGTATAAGAGCCCCACTTAAATATTTTTTATATAGTATTTGCTGTTACAGCGGCAGCGGAAATCCTAACTTAATTGTATAAACACGAGAGTTTGCATGTATGGATGTTTGTTACTCTCTCACGCAAATCCTACTGAATGGATTTTATTGAAACTTTACAAAAACATAGCTTATACATCAGAATAACACAGACTATAATTTATATACATGTGTTTATGTATATCTGTCTTTCTGTCTGAATGTTACGCCTTCAGCCTATTCTAAGCAGACGTAGTCGCGGGCATCAGTTAGTACATCATATATGAAAATTTAAACTGTCCAACTAACACAGTTCACAAGATACAGCCTGGTGACTGACGGACAGACAGACAGACAGCGGAGTCTTAGCAATAGGGTCCCGTTTTAGCCCTTTGGGTGCGGAACCAAAAAAAATCACGAACGCAAAGCGGCAAAGGGCCGACTGTACTCTGTGTCCAAATGTACACAGAGTACAGTCGGCCAGCACACGTCACAGGCGACCAGCACCGAAGAACTCTTCGGCGCTGGTCGTCTGTGACGTATACACCGTGTCGTTACCACCGCGACAATAAATGAACACACATATAGAGGATAACTTTTCAAAGTTGTATTAAACATTTAAATTGTTTAAACATCAATATTTACAGTTATTAAATTTTCCAAAACAAAGAATTTTAGAACACCCTTACCTATAAAAGCGTAACATAAAGTTCATTTATAAAGGTCACAAAGCATATGAATGGGTTGAATGAATTTAAATGAGACAAAACATACTGTTAGAAGGAGAGGCTTGTAATACGACGCTGTGGCGCGAGTTGTATAGGATGTTACAAATTTTGTTTCTTTTTTACTTAATTAGTTTGTTTGAAAAATATATTTTTTTAATTATGGATTTTGTTTAACGTCAATATTTTTTGATGATTATTGGCAAGTAGCGTTAGACGTGTGTTCATTTACTGTCGCGATGGTAACGACACACTGTATATGGGCAGCGCTCTCGACACTCACTTGCTCTCGACCATCTCGGCGATTGAGAGCGCCCTCTCGCGGCTCAGGTTGCCGAACATGAGGCTCTCGACGTGGACCCTCCTGAACATCCTCGCCGCGAAGTCGTCCAGCTGCTCCAGGGTTATCTCTGGAGGCAGTCGGGATCACGGTGTCGCGTTATTATTATTACTTTTCGAAGTGAAACTTCTAATGCAACTTTCTTATGTGAAAAGTTGCCAAACGAGCTGGCGGTTCACCTGATTTTGAGTGAATACCGCCGCCCATGGACATCTGCTACACCCGAGGGTTTGCAGATGCGTTGACGGCCTTTTGAAAATTGGGCTCCGGCCACCTCACTCACCAGACGAAACGCGAAAGTATTATACTTCCACTTTACGCCGGTCTTCTGTGAGGTCGTACTTACCCGGACGGGCCTGCCCATTCGTGCAACAGCCGAGGCTGCTGCGTGGCCCTACCACCGTAAAACTACCAACAAGGTTGCGTTAAACGTTTAACGCTCCTGGGGACGGGGGAATAGAAAGAGACAGAGCGAGATTGAATGCGTGGCACTCGAAGTTTCACTTCTTCTGCGCGGAGCGACTAATTTCTTTTTTTTTTGCAGTTATACTTCTTTAGGCGCTCTAGCAGGGTCAAAGGCATGGGTAACGATTCAATGGTCAGAATTACGGACACGATTAAGGTAAAAATTATATTCTTTGATTTGGTCGTGTTTGCAGTTTTATATAATATGATAGAAATATGTTACTTATAAAGTGACTTTACTCAAGTTGAAGTAACATCAAAATTTTTAGAAGAAAGTAATAAGTTTTTCGCCGTTGCGGTAATCGAAGCAGACGCTCTAACCACTATACTACTTTTCCTTCAAATTTTAATGTTTAATCTTAGGTGATGAGATTAGCATTATAAAAAATTTAATAAAAAACATCGCTGCAAAACTCGTGGGAGATATTACACGTATTGATAGAAATGTGTGTTTATTTTTACCCAAAACTGTGTGAAAATGAAAGAATAGTTCATGATCAATACATCAATAAACTTTTTTCATATAAATTCAAGTGGTTTCGATAAGAATCTATTGCTTAAACATTTATATTCAATACTGGGTACCATAGTTACCACTAAAATATTCGGTCAGGAGAAGATAGAATAAGAGAAGATGGAGAAATGTACAACAGACCTTTAGCTGCATCCAAGAGTTGGCTTCGGGTCCACACCACGTCGGATAGGCAGAGAGCTTGGTGGTAGACCGCGTGCTGGGAGAGAAGTGAGAACGAAACGTTTTATAACACATCGACTATTAACCGTAGAAGATGGTGAGATAAAAGAAGACAACAGGAAGACTGAATAATAATGTTTCTTTTTTTCAACTGTAAATTGTATAACGTAACTTGTTGTTAGCTATTGCAAGTTTCTATCTTTTCTTATGTACCGCTTTTGTTTCTGATACAGACATACGCTACAAGATATACTTATTCTACGCAGTTTAGTCGTGGGTAGAACGAATTTGTGTTTATTCCAACAAAGGACCTTAATACCTCTTTCGTTTCTCCAACAGGTATATCGAGAGCTTGTGGCACGCTACAAAAATTACTCAGTCTAGTTGTGGGTAGAATATATTTGTGTTTATATAAAGAAAGGACCTTATATATCTCTTTCGTTTCTCCAACAGGTATATCGAGAGCTGGTGGTACGCTACAAAAATTACTCAGTCTAGTTGTGGGTAGAATGAATTTGTGTTTATTCTGAGAAATTACCTAATATACCTCTATCGTTTCTGCAACAGGTATATCGAGATCTGATGATACATCACCTGATAGGGCTGCTCCGCTTCGAAGTTCTTTATCGCGCGCACGTGGTTCTCCTTCATGATCGCGAACCTCTTGGGGTCGGCCCTGAAGTTTACCATGCTGTCGATGATCTTCTCCAACAGCACGTGCTGCTTGTTGTCGAAGCCCTCCACCGTCACCTGCGGCGGGGGCACGGGAGAGAAGAAGACGAGAAAAGAAAGAAGAGAACGGAAGAGCAATTTATGCTGTAGCGAGAGTGAAGACTCGTCTGGTGAAGTACTATTTCTGCTTCACGGGCCGCGGTTTAGAAGTATTTATTGGTAATTTTCTTTGTAAAAAAGTAAAGTAACAGCCTATACATGTCCCACTGCTGGGCAAAGGTCTGCTCTATACAGAGGGTATCAGGGCATAGTCCACCACGCGGCCCCACTGCGGATTGGCGGACTTCACATATCTTCAAAAAATATTTTTTTTGTTATTATTTCGAAAATATGCAGGTTTCCTCACGATGTTTTCCTTCACCGCGGAGCACGTGATAAGTCAGCACTTGAAGTTAAAAACTTCATTGGTGCCGGCACCGGGGATCGAACTCGGGTTGCTCGAGTATATTGAATTAAAGGCGAGCGCCCGGACACTGAGCTATCACGGCTCTTTTCTTGGTAGGACGATGGAAATTATAAAAAATAATAACAAATTGCAAGTCTATGTTACGGGAAATACAATTAAAAATATCTGTGATGGGATCACGCAACAGTATTCGATGTTGCACGAATGGGCAGGTCCGTTCGGGTAAGTGCCGCAAACTTGAGAAGGTGGTAACAACTTGAGAAACAAACAAACTTGAGAAGGTGGTGATAACAACTTGAGAAGGTGGTTCGTGCAACAGCGGAGACTGTTGCGTAGCACCACAGTAATTGTAGATGCGTTGCCACGTTTTATCAAAGCGGGCCCGGCTACCGCACTCACCATACGAAACGCGGAAGTATTACACCTGCCTTCTGTGAGCTCGTGTTACTACCGTGTGTCACTATTTTTTTTTATGTGAAAATTTCCCAAGCGAGCAGGCGGTTCACCCGATGTCAGGTGAACCGCCGCCCGTGGACATCTGCTGCACCCGAGGCTTGCATGCGTTGGCGACTAGCAAAGGCGGCGGTCCCGCCCCGCCGAGGTCCGGGCACTCACGTTGATCCCGTACTTGGCGTTGGCCACGCTCCAGCGCAGGCCGGCCAGCTCGGCCGCGTACGCGAACTGCTGCAGCGAGTCTCGCAGCAGCAGCACCAGCACGGAGGTCAGGTTGCAGCAGGTCGGGTCCGCGTACGCCAGCGGGCTGCGGGGGGGATGAACCACTGAGGTCAACTGACACTGGGCTAGACTGGAGCGGGTGAGAGGGAGGTGGGGCAGCCCCGATCGGCGATGGACGAGCAGTGAGGTCTGAATCTGATGGGATAGTAGAACAGCCCCGATTGGGGGATGCAGTGGAATACCAGTCTGTGAAACGTCGTCGGCATTAGACGCGTAGTGAGGCCTGAGTCTGATGGTACAGTAGAACAGCCTTGATTGCGAGCTGCTGTAGTAGCATTGGACAGTCACTGGAGGGCTCAGACGAGGAAGCACTGAGCCAGGTCTCTGGTCGGTATTGGTCTAACGGGACTGGATAAGCAGTGGGCTACTGTTCAGTAGCACTAACCCTGGACAGGGCTAACAAGACGCGGTAACACTAAGCCCGGAATGAGATAGCGCTGCCAAAGCGCTAGTAAGGCGCTGACCGGTTAAGAGTTGAATTCGAAGAGAACTTTGATGTCTCCGTGGCGCAGTTGCCAAGGTATTGGCTTCGGCGTCGGCGGTCGTGGGTTCGATCCCCACACGGGACAACTATTTGTGTGACCCAAAGACGGCTTTCGCGTCTGGGTGTTTGTCGGCGCGATATTTGTTTGTGAAACGTCCTAACACAGGATAATGTTGTCCTAGAGTATGGGCAACGTGTAAAAGAACAGAAGATATGACGAGAGACTGGGTTAATTACTTGGACAGTGCCTAGACAGCGGCGATGTTAGGTGCAACTGGGGGTGATCAGGGTTGAGGCAGCGTTTTAAGTACAGTAAAGAAAAGCTTGTGAGAGCGTGTTAAGGAGCAATTTGTGTGGAACGGCAACTGTTATTCGAGTTTGTTCGCAACAGGTACAGTCTGTTATCACGACATGCCTGTTACGATAAATACGTCACACTTCTAGCTCGGATGCCCGATATCGGCTAGTTCGTAAGAGCGAAAGTCTATCCATTAGACCACCCACCTCACCATGTCCAGGGTGATATACGCCTTCGGCAAAAGGAACTCGCCGTCCCGTTTGAACCATACCCGCATGAACGGCGTATCCTGCGAGCAAAAGGCACAACTCATGTCCAACTCCTTACATACTTATCTACAAAAAAAGTAAAGTAACATCTTATACAGCGTGTCGTTACCAACGCGACAATAAATGAACACACATATAGAGGATAACTTTTTGAAATTGTATCAAAAATCTACATTCTTTAAACATCAATATTTACAGAGTTATTAAATTTTCCAAAACAAAGAATTTTAGAACACCCTTACGTATAAAACTGTAACGTAAAGTTCATTTGTAAAGGTCACGAAGCATATGAATTCGTTGAATGAATTTAAAAGAGACAAAACATACTGTTAGAAGGAGGAGGCTTGTGGAGGCGACGCTGCGGCAACAAATGAAAAAGTCTCTGAATGTATGAATCAGTCAGTTGTAGTTGTATAGGGATGTTACAAATTTTGTTTCTTTTTCACTTAATTCGTTTGTTTGAAAAATATTTTCTTTTAATTATGTTTTTTTTTTAACATTAATATTTTTTTATGATTATTGGCAAGTAGCGTTAGACGTGTGTCCATTTATTGTCGCGGTGGTAACGACACGCTGTATATGTATCACTTGAGGTAGCGGGGCCCACCTTATTAAAAGGTGGCTACCTATCTGCCACCCTTCGGGCGTGGCAAACTTCCACGGCTCAGTTGCCACTTGCTAGCGTGAAAAGACCAACCTTGACCATCACCGGGGCCCTGGACTCGGCGGTCTCGTCGGGCGAGGTCTCCAGCTGGAAGCTGGAGGGGATGAACTCGTTGCGAGGCGGCAGGTGCAGCTCCTCGATGGGGCGGGCGCTGCCCCACTCCTCGAATCATAATTTTCTTTTGTGTATAAATACATGAATAGTATACACATATAAACACTGGAAAAACACTATGCTCATCGCACAACATTTTTCCAGTAGTGGGGTTCGAGCATACAGCCTCCGGCGCAAGTAGCACATTCATAGCCACTACGCCAATCGGGACGTCTTGTGGCAACCCTGCTTCCGAATCAATAGCCCACCCTAAGCACGAACTACCATAACCCTACCTTTTCCGTTTGCTCTCGAAATCCTGCGAAAGATTTGCATTTAAAGGCGGCTTTTATTGACTTAAATATAGGTTACCATTCCTCAACCTTGAGTAAATATTCAAAGGTATAATAGTTTACCTTGAAGCCCTTAAAAATCTCTTGTGCCGCTTGTGTCTACCATGGACCAGAGGTGTTCGATTCCGCAATACTGGAAAATACTTCAGATGAAGTCAATACACTGATGAAATTGTTAATTTTAAGTGATTTATCAGCACGCGAAAAACATCGTGAGGCTATCTGCATATGTTCGAAATAATAATAAAAAAAAATCGAAGCTGACTACGCCCTGATACCCACTTTACAGAGGAGGCCTTTGCCCAGCAGTGGGACACGTATAGGCCGATACCCTCGAACCTTAAACTCCCTGGGCAAGGCACAACACCGGCCCAGAATGTAACTCTCAGCTTAATACCTTCAGCTTCACCTCCTCGATGTCCTCCTCCAGGTACTTGGTGCCGTACCAGGGCTCGACTTGCGTGCACTTGTCGGCGAAACTCCTGTTGAACAGATCGTTTGATACAACTTGAAGGACCAAAACTTAACTAAAGCATACAAGCTCGTGCTCCCACCAAGCAGCGGTTGTTAGCGGTAGGTTGTGTCACGTCAAACCTTCTCGGGAAGGACTTTGGCCTTTAGTGTAAGGTTTTTTAAGAGAAAAAGTGGCAAACGAGCTGGCGGTTCACCTGAAGGTAAGTAATACCCGCCGCCCATGGAGATTTACAACACCCGTAGGGTTGCAAATACGTTGCCACCTTTAAATAAAGTCCAAAGGCCCCGGCTACCTCACTCACCAGACGAAACGCAGAAGTGTAACACGTCTACTTTACGCCGGTCTTCTGTGGGGTCGTGGTACATACCCGTTCATGCAACAGTGAAGACTGTCGCTTGGCCATACCACAGTTATTACATAAAGTCTTCTCGGAAAGGAGTTTGACTTAAGTGACGTGTCACATAATCTTCTTGGGAGAGAGTTGGACTTTAGCGACGTGTCTCATAAAACCTTCTCGCGAAGGACTTTTGACCTTAGCGAAGTATCACATAGTTTTCTCCGAAAGGTCTTTTCACTTTAGTGAAGTGTCAAATATAATCTCGGGGAGGATTTACGAATTTAGTGGTGTCGGGGACACCGTGTCCCTACCACAAAACCTACCAAAAAAAGGCAATCATACACCGCACAGGAACTCACTTGGCCAAAATGGCGAGACGCACGTTGGAGGGCACCAGGCGGCCGAGCAGCTCCTCGATGAGGTCCGGCCTCCACTCGCTCAGCAGGTAGTAGGCGCTCAGCACGTCTTGCGGCGGGAACTCCTGCCGGGGGAGCGGGTCCAGGTCAGACGCGATCAGGGGCTGGACTTGACGGCATGTGTATGCACCAGGAGAATTAGGGGGGGCGGGGGGGGGAGCGATGAGACCACACGATGACACTTCCGCAGCGACACTTGGTGACGACGTCTCTAGGAGGGTTAGGGTTAAGTCTTTTGGCTATGATGATGATGCTGATGCATAACACCTCAAGTTCAGGCCGGTCTTCTGTGGGCTCGTGGCACCTACCCGGACGGAACTGCCCAATCGTGCAACAGAGAAAAGACTGTTGCGTACTACCACGTAGTGTCGCGTAATGACCACGAAGATGGCACCGAGTTAGCATTTAATCTAAGAAGACGGGATAAGGTCGAAGATGGATGGACGGCATACCAGCAGGTGGTGCACGTGGTAGACCGCGAGGCTTCGCGGCTCCTGGACGTCCTTGAAGCGGAAGTCGGTGGACAACAATTCGCGCTGCTCGTCCCACACCCAGCGCTGGGCGCCCACCTCGCGCAGCATCGAGATGTACTGGAAGACGCAAAGTTCGAAGTCGAGACAGTAACTTTATCTACTTGAAGAATTGACTGTAAAAATGCAATTGCAATCGAAGCCGGGATGGGCCGCTAGTTCAAAATAATAGTAATTTGCTAATAGTATTATTTTGGACTAGCGGTCCCCCTAATATACGCCGATTTCTACCAAGCCTTTTCACCGATCGAGTCGACATGGGTGCGGCAATAGATGGCAGCTGTTAGCACATGCCGTGGGCTTCTTACCCACCAAAACCACCGTGGTGACCACCTTCTGTACCTTTGGAAGTTCTCCGGGCTCTCCTACGGAACGCACCGGTGTCCTTGGAGGCTTGCTTGGAGAAGGAAAGAACTTTCCCGATTCCCTCATCATCTAGCAACAGCTCGAGACCACTTCGTACTGCTTGCCAGTGTCAGCCCGTGCGTCATTCCAGACGCTTTTTAAGACAGGAATGTGCAGCCTAGGGCGGCCACATATTTGGGGCGGCCAATCGTGACAAACAATTCACTTATGATAACAAGATATATGATGGGCGCTGAGAAAGGGGCGGCTGGAACTTACTACATGAGTTGGGGCCTAGGGCGGCCAAGACTACAAATCCGCCACTGGTACCGGGATACCTTAACACGGTTTTATGGGCCGGGGACCACTGGTCCGATCCGGCAGCCCTCACCTGGAATACTAGGCCGACTATATCGTCGACGTGGTCGACCCCCTCCTCGGTGAGGTCAACCTGCACCCCGAAGAAGGCGATCCCGCGAGCCGCAATCCTCGTGCCGCCGGCCAGGCTGCAAGAGTGCCGGTTACGGTGGTGGGGCCGCGGAACGGTCTTCGCTATCCCGCAAACGGAACGCGACCACGACACCAAAGAAGACCGGCGTAAAGCGGAAGTACGAGTATAATACTTTCGCGTTTCGTCTGGTGAGTGAGGTAGCCGGAGCCCAATTTTCAAAGGGTTGTCAACGCATCTGCAACCCTCGGGTGTAGCAGACGTTCATGGGCGGCGGTATTCACTTAAAATCAAGTGAACCACCAAAATCACCAACAAAATTATGAACCCTGAGGTTGGACGTTGTTTGACGTATGTATATCCGTAAGGACACCAAACATAAGATATACAGACGTTGAACGAAATATTTTGTACTTTGTTTTCGGACCCGCACTCAGGACATAATGAAGCAACATGACCTCAACACTTAACACTAACTGTGTAATAGTAATAGAGTAGTAATAGAGACGTCTTCCTTATCTTCCTATAACTTTAGTCCGCTTTCAGGCCTATGAAATCACGTATCTATTTCTGTTCAGATCGTCACCAATATTATATCATATAATAATATATACAAACACTCAAATTACACCAATTGATTTAATAAGATTGCAATTATATAGACTGCTATCTCTTTCTGTACAAGTTCTATACCATTGACGTTATATCACATTGACGTGTATGTGTTATATAATGTAAAGCGAAATTTTTAAACATCGCGCAGTATGGACATGCGTCATCTATATTATTAAACATCATTGGATCGTCACATCGACAAGAGGCATCTTGTGGACTCACCTGTTGCACCAGCCCCTGGCCTTGAGGGCGGACAGCAGGCTTCCCGGACCCTCGTGACCCAGAAGGTGCGACAAGTAGTGGCCTGGCTAAAGGCGGAATTGAGGCACACATAATTCACATTAATAACATAAATTTTGATGACCCGGTGAAGATTCCTACACGAGACAACTATTTGTGCGACCCACAGAAAGCTGTGGGTCGCACAAATAGTCACAGAAAGCTGTGGGTCGCATCTGGGTGTTTGTCCGCATGGTATTTATGTATGTAAAACGTCGTTAAAACGCAGGAAAGTATTATTCTAAAGGGCAAATTAAAAAAAACTACTTATTTAAAATACACTCCACGTATGCTTGATGGCAGCTTGTTGCTAAATTTATATATATTAACTTCTACACCGTCATGGGTTCGATTCCAATACGGGTAAAGTGCGTGACCCTTAGTTGTTCCGGACTTGGATGCTATTTCCCAAGGCATTTTTTTACCGTAACTAAAAACAAAAATATACAAGTGAATGATGCAAAAAGATAATAAGGTTCTACAGTGCAGACACTTAAAATGAATTTTGAAAATTTGTAGAGAAACGGACAAACAGCTTTTCGCCGCCGCGTGATTTTCAACCTGCGTCCTGCGGGATACGTGGCGGACGCTCTAACCGCCGAGTTAAACGGCTCATCTTCACACCGACGGACATCCCAAAGTATGTGTAACAGTTTATCCCCCTCCCGTTTTGGTAATTAAGCAACGGCATTTAACGAAAGTAATATTCCGGAGGGCCGGCAACGCATTGCGAGCGCATTGTTCTTTTCATCATGTGTGTGTGTGTGTGTGTGTGTGTCCCTCCCCCCGCCCCTCCGCAAGTAGAGGCCGGCTCACCCCGCTCCTGTAGTGCTCCCTGCTGGTGTCCGGTATGGGGAAGTCGATGGAGAGCGAGCGCAGGTCCTTGACGGGCACGCAGTAGGCGCGCTTGCGGCAGCGCTCCGACGGGAACGGGTGGCGGGGCCACGTGGGCGCCACCACGCCGCGGTCCGCCACCGCCGCGAACAGGGGGCCCACCAGCGCCTCCAGCTCGTCCAGGCTCTCTGCGGCGACGAGGGGATGGTCGCGTGGAACCCTCGAGTCAGTGCCGCCCTCCCCCCAACCTCCCCTCAGACTTGGAAGGCGGAGTTAACGAGGGCGCACACGATAACTAGTCGCCATAGTTTGAGAACACACGGTACTCTTTAGTCAATGACAGCCTTCCTCCCCAGCTGTGCCCCCACCCTCAGAGCATGTACCGGAATGCGGAGATAACAAGGAGAGCGTCTGTTCTAATCGCACACGGCAACTAATGGCCTTAGTTTGAAAGATGTAGACCGCTTAACGTTCAATTTGAAGTTAAGTGACACAAGGCTATGCACATCTCTGGGCGTGAAGCTCTGGGGTTCGAATCCCGCAGCACTGAAAATTTTTGTTCATTTACCTACGAAAATTCACAATTGTTACGTCTCTAGGTAGATAAATAAGCACTTTGAATTAGAGAAACAGCCCGTAGGCTGTTTCATCGGAGTTTTGAGGACCCCTTTCCATCGTTAATTTTTGTACTTGTTATATTAAAGCATTAGTATTCTCAATATAGTCTGTGCCACGCGCGTCACTTTGACTTGGTCACTTGAAGTGGCGCATACGTATCTTTTTATACCAGCAATTACCTTTTCCGACGACCACCAGGGCCATGATATTTGAGGAGTACCATTTCTGGTGGAACTTCAGCAGCTCTTGCCTCACGTCTATGCCTTTCTGCTTCGGGATAGTCTCTAGGGTTTCTCTATTGCCTGGTAAAATAAAAATTAGTTTCTTTGTCAATATTCTAGTTTTAATAGTAATCTATGTAAAAGTAATGAGTTATTACGAAAATAACTTAACGGAACCAAAACTTTTTACTGTCTTAATTCCCTAGTTTTTTATTACTGTGGGGTCATAAGAATAACTCACACCCGACATAGTATGCTAATGCTATAATAGCCTTAACTAAGTCTATTCACACTACTTGTGTAAATTCTAGTGTTTGTGTGTTTGGAACGAGTGAGAAATAAGAATGGACAAATGAGTTGGGAAATACATAAAACACAAACCGCTGCCAAACGAAAACTACTTGTTTAACCTCAAATGTACGGGTATATGTATGTTTGTATGTGGAATGAGTGAGAAATGAGAATGGAGAAATGACCTGTGAAAACGCACACTACTTGTGTAACCACAACTGTTACTTTGCATGTGGTACGACTACATGTGAGAAATGAGAATGGAGAATACGCTAATAGGGGTGTAACACGTACCGGTGCCGAACGCTCACTACTTGTGTAACCACAAATGTTTCTCTGCATGTGTAACGAGTGAGAAACGAGAATGGGTAATGCTAATAGGTGTGTGACACGTACCGGTGCCGAACTTGTGATAGGGGTGGTCCGGGTCAGCCGTGCTCTTGTTGAGCTGGTCCAGCCTCCACGAGTCCTGGGAGGCGTTCTTCTCGTGCTCCGAATTCACGGCGCTGAGCTCGCGCCCAGTCGCCGACTCGGTGAAGAGGGGCGCGATGAAGAACTGGGCGAAGCTACAAAGAGAGGTTGGGGGGGGGGGGGGGGAGCTGAGAAGGTGCCTTAGGGGTAACCTATCTACCAGACGATATGTGACAGGGTAGTTCTAACAAAAAAAGGGAGGGGGATGAGACGGCGGCTTACGGGTAAACTATCTACCAGATCTAACCCATAGAGACTAAGAACTAACTAATTCGATAATGCGGCCTCCGTTGGAGAATTCCATAACAGAGCGGACTAAGCTTTGTAAGTCAGTACGACCTCTGGTAATTTAGTAGTATAGTATTGTGGTGGTCCATTGCCGTCACCGTTTAGCGATCGGGTGAACCGCCTGTTTTACTTTCGTCTCTCATTCAGCTAATAGTCCAAATTGGTCCCAAAGCAGAAGAGACAAAGCTTAAAGGCTTCCCTCATCAGCGATTCACAATCACCTTGAAAAGGTGACCACGGAACCCCGAAGTGTCGTTTCTTTTATAGCCCCATACAGGTTTGTAATTAAGGGACCATCTTAGGAGTCTTATACCCAGTGCCTGAGGGACTTTTGCCGGCAGTTTATCGTTTATTCGTTATCGCTATTGGTTCGATAACTTAAAAGCTCTAAAATTTTTTCCCTCGAAAAAATATTATTATAATTAAAAATAAAGAATAAATATAGCTAATTTAAAATAAATCAAATTTTAGACACGGTGACTTAAACAGACCCATCTAGCGGGAGACGAGGAACTATTTATCGCTTCCATAGCTATGAATGGTCCGTTAAGTATTCAGAAACGCAGTGATAGTTGACCAAAGTTTATATTATACATAACTTTATTGAATTAATAGCTAATATAAGTTTAACCGAGAACTTCAGAAACCGGGCATAAGTAGTCAGACTTCGTATCTTATTTGGATAAACCTAAACTGGCACAAGGGCTAGCATGGTTGTGGGGTGGTAATGGGGTAGTTGTGAAATACTAGGACTATCAGGGTCCCAGTGTTTAAACTGAACGAGGAACGAGGCTCCCATCGCTTACATGTCCAAAGCCTGGCTGAGGTGTTGGGGAAGCACGTCGAAGTAGTAGGTGGTGTGGTCCGACGATGTGGAGGCGTTTGAGGAGCCGCCGTGCTCCGACAGGAACTTATTGTACTTGTTCTCCTGGAAGGGGCACAATGGCCACGGGCACAATTTCAATTGTGTCACAACATTGCACATTGCTTTTAATATATTTATTTACATTATTAGTAAAATTCACAGCATACAAGAAATGTTAAGCATATATACAATTAACAAGTATATTTAGCCATCAAAGAAGTTACAACTATATATATTTTCTTTTACAATTAATTTCCTCGCCTAGTGCAACTGTCTAGACCTACCTCTGGATACTTCTCGGTGCCGAGGAATAGCATGTGCTCGCAGAAGTGCGCCAGCCCGGGCAGGTCGTCCGGGTCGCTTAGGTATCCTGGAGGAGATTGAGAGGAGACTGAGAATTTCTTTTTTATGTGAAAAGACGGTTCACCTGATGGTAAGTGAATACCGCCGCCCATGGACTTCTGCTACACCCGGGGTTACAGACGCGTTGACAACCTTTTCGGAAAGTGGGCTCCGGCTACCTCACTCACCAGACGAAACGCGAAAGTATTTGACATACTTCCACTTTACGCTGGTCTTCTGTGAGGTCGTGGTACTTACCCGGACGGGCCTGCCCATTCGTGCAACGGCTGAGGCTGCCGCGTGGCATCTGCAACCCAATGGGCGTTGCAAACTTCCATGGGCGGCGGTTATCACTCCGCCAGCTCACTTGCAGACTTCTTATGAGCTGAGATCGATCCCGATCTTGGCGGTAACCTCGATTACTAACTGAAGCCCAAACTGACCGTTTGGACTTCGTTAATTTAATGTCCTCCTCAACCCGATTAAAGAAGGGTATGAGAGTATTCCTAACCCACGCATTGTGATATCACATACAAGCTAATGGTTCATCCTTCAAAACCGTCACGACGTACACAAGGTAAGTAACTCCGCTATCCAGGGCGGTTCTGTCTCTGCCTCCCCCCTCCCAGCCAAAGAACGGCCATCGGGGTCACGGTCCGTAGCAAACCCCGACGGCCCGTATCGAGCCTCGGCGGTTCGTAGGTGACAATCCCCCCCCCCCCCCCCCCCCCCCCTAGATGGCGCACGCATAAGCATATGCGTTGCCCAGCCCATCGCAAGGCTGTATCTGGCTCGTGAGATCCCTAGAGTTTATCTTTAATAGTCTAAAGACTGGAAGAGCAACAATCAAAGCAAATAAACTATCTTACGTACGCGTTGTAGATAAAAGGTGTGTACGCACGGTTCTTATATTAACAAAACGAGGGGTTTTCCTTACGAGCCGTTGCATTAACTACGGAAAGTGAGCCACTAGTGTTCCTTTAACCTACAAGTCATTATGAAACTTACGAAGCTATGTGACTAACGGTCGTTCGTTGAATATAGGAACCGGGCGTAAGAGACAAGACTTCACCGAGAGAAGAAACTTAGGAAGTCCACCAGGAACCTTTGATGAATCCGTGGCGCAGTTGCCAAGGTATTGGCTTCGGCGTCGGGGGTCGTGGGTTCGATTCCCACACGGGACAACTATTTGTAAGATCCACAGACGGTTGTTTCGCATCTGGGTATTCGTTCGTCCGCGTGAAATTTATGTTTGTAAAACGTCCTTACAAAACGGGATAATGTTATCCTAAAGTAAGAGCAATGTTATTTAAAACAAAAAAAAAAAACACCACCCACCGACATCCACGTCCATGGCGGCGGCAGACTTGTCGGTGGTGGGGTCGCTGACCAGTAGCACCTTCAGGTTGTTCGTCAGCACCAGACCCCTGGAACCACGGGGCGCACCAGCGATAACCAATCATCCAATACAATTGTGTACACTTCGACTGGTCGGATCTTTTTTTTATGGGAAAAGTTGCCAAGCGAACAGATTTTGAGGATTCTGTTTGCAATTGGGTTCGGTTTAGCTCCGATGTGGCCCCTTATTAATTTCATTCGTCTCTGATCTTGACCTCCGAAAATACGTCGGGGGACCCCTAAAAGTTGTAACCTCAAATCGTAAAATAAATAAATGACATAACGTATAATTATTAAGTATAATACTTCCGCGTTTCGTCTGGCGAGTACCTCACTCGGAGCCCAATTTTCAAAAGGTTCTCAACTCATCTGCAAACCCTCGGGTGCAGCAGATGTCCATGGGCGGCGGTATTCACTTAACATCAGGTGAACCACCTGCTCGCTTGGCAACATTTCCCATTAAAAAAAAAAAAGATTCTGAAGTAATCTGATCTATTTTGAGGTCGGCTGGAAACACGCACCTGTACTCTCTGCGGTCTTCTGGCGACTTGACGATGTCGTCGCAGCGCTTGACCACGCAGTGGGCGGCGCCCCGGGGCTGCGCGGGCGCCGGGGAGCCCGGGGGCGGCGTGCCGGGGGGCGAAGCGCCATGCCCCCTGCCCAGGGTGGGCGAATCGCGCGGCGCGTAGTTCGACATGCTCGAACGCTGCCGACGCTGGTACAAGCTGCAGAGGTGGTCACCATGAGCCGATTACATTCGAGAAGTGGTGATACTGGTGGTTTAAAATTGTATGATATGTCTACTATTATTGTCTGTTTTAATGAAAACAATAACTTTAAACTTAATCTTATTACTGCCTATCAAAAACAAAGTAAACATTAAGATTTTCTAGTTATATGAATTTTGTGTCATAAAATTTTAGAATTTAGATACTAACAAAATTAGTTTAATTACATTGTTTTCATATGTTAGCATTAAATAGTGGAAATGGCATTTCTACAGATGGTTTCCCAGATGCATGGACAAAACCTTGGTAACAATGTTATTATAGTAAAAGGTTGTCACTTTATACAATCTAGTAATGTACACTTCACCCGCGATTTCATCCGCAAAAATTGTGATAACTCGGCTAATTTTCATGATATAATTTATTTCAACAGGGTAGTTCCCATTCTCGTGAGATATGGCGCAACAGCTTATTTGTAAGCAAACTCGAGTATTATAAATATATAGAACATTATATTATGTATCATTAATAGTTTTCGCAGCACATGCAAAATAGTCTTTTATAGGCAAAATTTTGATACCATGGGTTACATGGTTCCATTTTATGTAAGGATTTGTTTTGAGAATATAATATAGCCTATGATACTCAGTAAATATATAGCTTTCTAATGGTAACAGAATTTTTAAAAACAGTTGAGTAGTTTTTGAGTTAAATTGTAACAGACAAACAAGTAGTTTTAGTTGTTAGTAGAGTAATTTTTGAGTCAAATTGTAACATACAAAAATCAAATCTGTCCTTTTTATAATATTAGTTTAGATGACCGTTTGTAAAACAATGGACTTCAATTATGTATCTTGACAAAAGACTCAAGGCCCCGTTGCGGATTGGAGGACTTCGCAAAACTATTTACATTTTTGCACCACTGGGTGATGTGTCATGATATTTTTGACTTCACCGCTGAACATGTGCTAAGTCAGCACTTAAAATTGACAATGTCATTGGTTCTGGCACCGAGGATTGTGTTGGTTGGGGATTGAGTACATTGAATTTAAGCGAGCGCCCAAACACTGAGCTATCATGGCTGTTTTAGCTCACAGAATTTATCTTAATATGGTAACTGCTATATCATCGCATATATAATATATATTAAAAAAAATCCCATAATAGTGTATATGGGATTTTTTTTTTGTTTTGGGTTTGATTTCACCTAAAACCATGAGTTCAATAACTTTTCTGGATCTTTTTGCTAATGTATATAGAAAACTGTCACACTGTATAATTTTATCTCATAGTAGATTTTGTTTGTGTAAATATAAAACCCAGCATCCATATTAAAAAATCGTAACAGAGAAATGTTAAAAATACATCTATAATTATTATGCAAAGCGAGATTCTCAATTTACAATGCAAATTTGTAATTTAAATATTGCAAGTTACTGACCATAATGACCAGCTGTAAATACAGACATATTTGGTCATAATATAAGCGTGTATCGATGAAATGAAAACGACATAGCATGCTCTAGCATCTAATGCACAAAGTATAATAAAACTTGGATATAACTTAAAAATTATAAACACGGGCAAGATAAATTCTAGAATAATGAATAATAAAAGCCTAACCTATTGATACTGGCTCGATATGAAACTGTTGGAGAGAAGCTGTGGAAGCCCAATATAAGTAATCTTTTTGATGCCAGCTTGAACGGACCTAGAAAAATTGCAAACTTTTCAATTTTCCACTTTTTGTACTACGACGATGAAAGATGAATTTTGACTCTCATTGTGCGATTTGACATTTACGTTTCGGTTTCCATTTTTTAAATTAATCAATAATGAGCAGCTGTTCCTAAACATACGTTTGTGTGAAAAAGTGTAATTATGGGCTAACTAAACATCTGCAAAAGGTTATATTATCCATATCCCTATCAATTTTAAAAAAGTCTTGTATTTTGCGTAAAATATTATATTTTTCATAAAATGTAAAAATAAACAAGTGCAACAAAAACAATTATTGAATCAATGTATGTTGCCAGTGATGACCTACGGAACAGAAACGTGGGATTTCACTGTTGGTCGTAAAATGAAGCTCAGACTTTCTTAGTAAGCTATGGAACTGGCTGTAGAGCTTTGCGTGATAGAGTTCGCAATGAACCAACGAAGTGGCGTTGGCCCTGCCATAAAGCTCGTAGACCTAATTTCTGATGAGGAAGAAAGGTTTAGGAATGAAGCGTATTTATAATAGCAGGTATAAAAAATATAACAAGTATCTCGAAATAACAGACTGTACCTATTACGAACAAACTAAAATAACAATTCCTGATCCACACAAATTGCTCCTTAACACGCTGTCACAAGCTTTTCTATATTCATGCTTACGACTGTTACCTTAGTTAGAAAGAGATAAAAACTGTTACACTTTGTCACAGTTGTTACTGAACACTGTCATTGTTACAAGTAAAGAACATATAATAGAGTTCTGGTTACAAGCTCTTATTTTTCTCGCTTCGGTCGGCAGCATTGTTAGTTTTTCGTTTTAAACTATTACAAGAAAAAACAACACGTTAGAGTACTGCCACTCGATGCTAAATATCACTAACGTAAGATATAGCGATGAGCGTTGAATCGACGAACGAGTTGAATCAACCGTTGATCTCTTGTTAACGTATTAATTTTAACGGTCTATGAAAACAACTAGTTGAATTCGTTAACGTGCAAAACCTTCTATGACGATTGGTGTTGCTAGTTTAGAATATGCGATAAATTTTCAGTGGCAGGTAACATTCTGTCTGAAGGAGAACTGAAAAACCTAGAGCTTATAACGAAGGTGGCAAGCGAGCTGGCGGTTCACCTGATGTTAAGAGATAACCGCCACCCATTGATATTTGTAAGATCCGTAGGGTTGTTGATGTGTTGCCCCTTTATAATATACCTCACTCCACTCACCCATCGTTATCGACCGGCCATCGTTACCTCACCGAGTGGACGAAACGCGAAAGTATAACACTTCCACTGCACGCTGATCTTCTGTTAGATTTTCTGTGAATCCAGGTGACTCAGAATCATACCTCGGCATTCGTGTCGGCCAGAGGCGGATTAAACGTTGAGAGCGCTGTAGGCAAACATCTCATCGGCGCTCCTATACTAAAGATGTAAGATACGACTGGCATGTAAACCCCATAATCATAAAATCCCCTATATATTTCAGGCACTTTTATTAAAAAAAAAATCAAGTAACGAATTATTTATTTAAATATTTGAAGCTTGGGAAAGTTCACAGGATGCTCTGGGTGTCTTGTGATCTTTCAAAGGCTTTTGATTGCGTCAATCATAAGACATTAATCAGGAAATTACACCATTATGACATTACAAGTACCGCGCTTGACCTTATTAAGTCATATTTATGTTATAGAATCCAAAAAGATGTAATAAATGGTGCAAGTTCTTCTGGCTTGATGATGTCAATGGGCGTTCCACAGGGCTCGATTTTTGACCCATTTCTTTTTCTCATCTACATCAATCTACCTTACTTTGTAGGGAATAAACATCACAGAGTGTTATCTGCCAATGATACTTCATTAATTTTTAAAATCGATCGACTTCTTGTTACTCTTGACGAGGTAAATAATGCTATGATAGAAATAGTCCATTGGTTTAATGCAAATATATAGTATAAAATAATAGCTAAAAATTTATTATAATGCAATAAAACTAAATGAAAAAAACTTTCAACACCTAATGTTAAACATTTGGGAGCTACCAATGTCCTAATAAATGGGAAAGAGTTAGCCCTTGTAGAAATGACTGTTTTTCTTGAAATTAATCTTGATGCAAAACTATGGGGTTTGGATATATGGGAGCCCAATATATCCAAACCCCATAGTTAACAATCCAAAGGAAATAGAATGGAAATGTTTTGAATAAAAAGTTTGTTTTTATTTTAATAAACGATTAAACTACCGAGTCTGAACCTCCTGTGTGAATTTGGGCACCTTTAGAAAAGCCACCCTGTATAGATGGTAATGTACTGTATGTACGTTGAAATATTAATAATTTTGATAAGAATATTGATGGTCATAATGTAAATACTAGGAACAAATACAAGCTTGTAACGCCAGTTGCTAGACTCCATAGAGTAAGTAACTCGTTCATGGGGCGATATATACGCTTCTACAACAAAATCCCAGCAAATGCGCAAAGCCTGACTATCTAGGTTTAAGAAATGTATTAAAGAAAAACTTTATAAAAAGGGTTATTATATTATAAACGTATACATTCATGACAATAACCCCTGGGAAGGAGTTGATCGCTCCCAAGCCATTTCTAAAAGAAAAATTAGTTGTATAATATTTTAATTTTGTTGAGAAAAAAATAATTGAGTAAAAAGAGGATACCTACGGAGTTTCTTTCGCCTGTTTCTTCTCTGTTAAAGGGACTTCATTACGAAACGGTGGTAGATTAAAAAAATGACTAACGATAAAACCTTACTGATATTATAAAGGCGAAAGTTTGTATGTATGGATGGATGTTTATTACTCTTTCACGCAAATACTACTGAATGGATTTTTATGAAACTTTACAGTAATATAGCTTACACATCAGAATAACACATCGGCTGTAATTTTTATACAAGTTTTTATGTATATCTGTCTTTCTGTCAGAATGTTACGCCTTCAGCCTATTCTACGCTGACGTAGTTGCTAGCTAGTGAAATGTATTTTTCTTGTCGATGAATAAATTATTTAGATTTGATTTTAACTGATACAGGGCTTAATTTTCGACACGATCAGATTTCTTACGTAAACTTAAAGCAAACTTAAAGGCACTCTGGTAACTTAAAGGTAAAGTTACATATAATTTGAAATAATTGAATTATTTTCAGAAATTATTTAAAATAAAAAATTTAATAATAATGGTATGTTTAAAAATTAAGCAACTTTTTCGCTCACCTTTAAAATTACTACTCAAGAATGTTACGTGTTTTTTAGATCTTGCAAGTCATTTATTGCTTCAATTTAATTCTATAAAACAGGCAAGAAACTTGCATCATGTAAGTGGGGCTGAAAAACGCGCGACATAACCAATGACAAAAAAGTTGAGCGTCGAGTCACTTTCCACTCATTTTTTCGCGCCTGACCGCTTAGCTCCCGCCCTGGCGCCGCACACTTGTCGTCACAATTTTAGAAGCAGAACGTCCGATACTCACACCCAGTCAGACTATAGCTACCGATTAGCGAAAGTCCGGCCCTCTCAGGCACCTCGACTCGGAATACTAAACGCGTATTGAGTGACAGCCCAAGCCTTCTACGGTGGTAGGGCCAAGCAGCAGCCTCGGTTGTTGCACGAATGGGCAGGCTCGTCCGGGTAACTACCACGACCTCACAGAAGACGGGCCTAAAATGGTATATAATACTTTTACATACATACAATACTTTCGCGTTTCGTCTGGCGAGTGAGGTGGCCGGAGCCCAATTTTCAAAAGGTTGTCAACGCGTCTGGAACCCTCGGGTGTAATAGATTTCCAAGGGCGGCGGTATTCACTTAGCATCAGGTGAACCGTCTGCTCGCTTGTAAACTTTTTACATAAAAAAAAACTGAGTTCTTGGGGGTCCGTGAGCCTAGTCACTCCATGGAACGTCCACCAAAGCGCCCTAAGATCTTAGTGGCCTCCCAAACCGATAATGATAATAATAGCGTGACGGCCCGAGCCGAGGCTCCCTCGGGAGCCCTCGAGCTTAGTCACCATAATAATAATACGCCGAGGTTCAGGCTAGGTGCCCCGAACGCCCGGCCACCTCAAGTCCGACGGATCTAGTCCCCTAAGGCCAACAGTAAACCCTGCCAAGAAAAGAAACCGATACTCACTAGTCGCGGTCGACGCGACGTACGACGTATCTTTCCAACTTCTATTAGAGATCATGTACTATCTGTTGTTTGTTGGCGTAAGTTTTATTTAGTTCCTTCCGTAAATTTATCTTTTGTTATAAACTGAAGCAATTTGAGGTTCTAAGCAATAATAATAGTTTTCATTGTGTAAGAAGATGGCTTAAGTACTGGCGCAATTAATTTTATGCTATATTATATATTTTTTCATTATTTAACAATTCCGCCCGCGCGCCCCTCGGTACCCTCGCGCCCCTAGGCAGATGCCTAGTTTGCCTTAAGTATAATCCGCCTCTGGTGTCGGCACCAGGATTTGAAGTTAGCGGAACTTGGCGGAACTGATCTATCACGGCTGCGCAAAACATAAATTCATGTTAATTATTTACAACTGAAATAAATAATTTTATAAAATTGATTAGACAATCAATTTTATAAAATTATTTACAGAGACCTGTAATCAGTGATTTTGATAATGTTTTTTTGCTTTGGCAACATTCAGTCACATCACCGGTTCACCGGGGTATTTTTCAAAATTTTCATATCAGTTTTCAACTTTTTCAGCTTTCCCTTTAGGCTTTGGTAGCATTGACCGTTGTTGAATCTTGAATATGAACAATAATCCTTCTCAGTTTTGACGGGTGTAAATTATCCTATCGTCTATATTTTAAATTAGTTATCATTTTATTGTTATAGCGATAAAATACCCAGCTGCATTGATAAGCAAGGTATACCAATTTCATTTACCTATAAAAAGTTACGCCTGGAATATAAAGCCCGATTTACATTGGTTCGAATGTAAGTGACGAGGAGTTACACTACAGCAAGTATAGTGGCAATTACCTGTCGAAATGAAATGAACGAGTAATACGTGTAATTTTGTTGCATGTTGCCGGCCACTGCAATAATTTGGTACTCTTCTACCCTCCACCCCAAAATTACTGATATTAAAGCTTTTAATACTACAACTTAAAAATAAGTATTTCTCTTTTTTTTTAAAACTGCATTTCCGTCGAATTTCCTTACATGTACTTATTGTAAGTGACTTGCTACTGCTTTCCTTAATTACTGAACTTGTCTACTTTAGCAATTTTTTTTACCAATGTAAATCGAGCTTAACAGTAAGCAGTAACTGTTAAAGGATAATATTTTCTAAGAATAACATTAAAAAGCTGTTTTTTAGAAATTCATCCACTGTCTTCATCTTAGTAAAGATTAGTAAGCTAAGTATTCAAATGGTTTATATGGTAAATGGCACAGATAAATGTTATCAAGATGAGTTTCTTATAAATAACAATTAAAATTAATTTCAAATCTTTACTCCTAATTTTATTTTTTGTCCGTCCAAGGTTGCCTGGAAGAAATTTCTTATAATTTTAAGGCCGCTCTAAAGTTCTTGGTTCCTGTTTATTTTGTGCTGTGCAATAAAGAATATTCATTCATTCATTCATAAACAGAAAATAAATGAAACATTTTTTGTTTTTAATTGATTTTGACTCTTATGTTAAATGCAATTTTACAAAAAGTGGTTTTATAACTGCACTACAACATTAACATGCCTATACAGCAGTGGACTCAAACAGGCTGAAATGATGATGATGAAAACATTAAGGTTTCAAATTGTTAATATTAAATATGTAGATAATTTTTTTTTCAATTAATTTATAAAATTTATGTTCAGTATTAATAAATAGCATTTATTAAAAATATTTAATTAGGACAGGGTTTTTTTAGCATTTTGTTTGATAATTATTTTGAAAAACTTATTGTTTTTGTTAATTTTGTTTATCAAATTAATGTTTTAAATATTTGTAGAGACTTTTGCCTAAGCTATTGTTAAGTTTAAAAATGAAATAAGAGACATTGTCTTATATTTGATTTGTTTTTTTTTTTATAATATATCTGATAATTACCTTATTCACAAAATAAATGCTCTTTCACCTACTAAACTTACTATTAATAAATGATATCTTATTTCATGAAAAATGTGGTAGGTAATAAGATACAATAAATTCAACACAAAGTTTCATCATTACATTTTTTTATTGTAATAAGATATTATGTGAGCTTGTCTCTGTGTCTGTTATTTTTGCTAAAACATCTTTGTTTGTAATTGATCGCCATTTTTATTTTATTAAATATACTTCTTTCAGATAACATGGAGGAATGGCATGATATTGTAGACACTTATGAGGAAGCAGATGGGAGAGGCTTCCTTAAGGCATGTGAGTGTGCCCAACATGTTCTGGCAGATGATCTTGCTCCAGTTGAAATAGGTAAGTTTGGGTGTTTCACCCCACATGCTTTACTGTCAGTCTAGGAAGTATAGTTTTTAATAATTGTAAAGAAATAAACATAATTGTGAAAGAATTGATTTTTTTAATACTTTTATTTTTTAATAAACTTAAGAAATAAATAAAGAATTCCTTTTATTTTTATTTGGTAGTTTTAGTATTTGAATAACAAATCATAATTAGTATATTATAATTAAATAGTAATAAAAAGTATGTTTTATCGTAATTATTTTAGCAATTCTTTTTTATTGTATAAAATTTGTAATGCCTTAATTGCATTTTCTGATTGTGAACACTTCTATTGGCTATAATCTTGGTATATTTGATTATATAATAACTAGTTGTAGCTGTAATTTCATTGGAAATATATGAAATAAATTCTGTATTTCATAAATTTATAAATACATACAAACTCAAACCTGTTTTAGTGCAAATTGTCTATTTACTTATTGAAAAAAGTTTTGTATTATTTTTTCTCTAACCAGATTGGTTCGTTGACACCCTGCTCCTGGAACCATTTAATCTTCTGAAGACTGTGGCGTCCAGGCGAACAAGTGTTGACGGTTACCAGGAGATAGCGCAGGCCTTCAAACTGCTATCCCACCTCGTCGCCAAGTACCCAGATGCCGCAGCTCAGCACTTCGAGAGCATCGTTAACGTAATGACTCGTGCTGCCGCTGTGAACATTAAATGAGAATAATAGTGGTCGATAAAAGCAGTTTACTTGTTGAATCAACAGTTGCTCTTTTTAAAAAAAAAATCAGTTTACATAGAATAGCAATGTAATAGTAAGGCCACGCAGCAGCCTCGGCTGTTGCACGAATGGGCAGGCTCGTCCGGGTAAGTATCACTACCTCGCAGAAGACTGGCGTAAAGTGGAAGTGTAATACTTTCGTGTTTCGTCTGATGAGTGAGGTAGCCAGATCCTAATTTTCAAAAGGTTGTCAACGCATCTGCAAATCCTCGGGTGTAGCAGATGTCCAGGGGCGTTAGTAGTCACTTAAGACCAGGCGAACCACCTGCTCGCTTGGCAACTACTGACAAAAAAAATTGAAATAAATGCGAGCACTTAGCCCTTTGGCTCGTTTGTCTTAAACGTAACTCCCTTTTGCAGCTCTGCGAGCTCACCTACGACGCGAAGAGCCGGCCCGCCGCCGTGGCGTGCCTGACCAGCGTGGCCAGGCACTCGCAGCTGGCGGCTGCCGACTTCATGAAATACGTTCGACACCTGGACAGCAAGGACAGCGGTTGCAAGGCTCCAATCGCAGAACTAGTGGGTGCGTGGTTTACCGATTGGGGCTTTTTTATGTGAAAACCTGATGTTAAGTAAAAACCGCCGCCCGTGGACACTACCTACACCCGAGGGTTGCAAATGCATTAACAGCCTTTCGAAGATTGGGCTCCGGCCACCTCACTCACTATACACGCGTAAGTATTATACTTCCACTTTACGCCGGTCTTCTGTGTGGTCGGGGTGTGAGCCTGCCCATTCGTGCAACAGCCGAGGCTGCTGCGTGGCCCTACGAAAGTTAACGACTTGCACAAATGTGATCTTTGGACATCGTGGCTCCACGCTCCATGAGATTTGAAACAGCGTTCACAAAATCACCAACTGACGTCCCAGCCACCAGAACTGCCTACCGCCCGGTGAAGGAGAAGAAAATCGTTTACCCACTTGGTCGCTCCTTTATTCCAGGAGCGATTTGCGAGCACCATGCCGATGTGGTGGCGGAGGAAATATCCACCATTTGGCGGGTGTACCTGAATCTCCTAGACTTAGGGGACTTTTCGGTGAGTAATCCCCACCGTTTTTTAACTTGAGGGATGAGTAACGCACACAGCATATACAAATAAATTGTACTTTTCAATACAAATTACAGTTATAATCTTATCCTTTAAACGAGCAATTCTTGTATATATATATATATATATATATATATATATATATATATATAAATAATCGGAATCTCGGAAACGGCTCCAGCGATTTTCATGAAATTTTGTATGTGCGTAGATTCGGGGGCGAAAAATCGATCTAGCTAGGTTTCATTTTTAGAAAATGCCCTTTTATCCCTGTTTTCAGGGGATGAAAAATATCATTCGAATATGACGGTAAATTTCGCCGCAAGAGAAATTGTTATAATAGCTCGGTCGGTAATCGGGCGGCCCCAAAACAGAAGGCCGTGGTTCGTGTCACGACCATTTACACACTCTTTTTTTTCTTTTCTTTCGATTCCAGTACATTGCTTTCTTTATTTTTTATTTCTTGTTGATCCAGATTATTTTGTTATTTTTTAGCTTTAATCTATACTACGGCGAAAATAAATTCAAGGAATAAAGAAACACTACAATAACCGGTTATATAATTTTGTCCTCATCCTATTGAGAGGTTTGACCATTCGTCTGCTTACAATTTCAGGGTACCGTGAAAAGGTCTTTACTCGTAGGTGCAGAGGGAATGCTGAAGTCGTTCGGGCCAGATCTACCCACTGCCGAGTTGAATGAATTCTACGACAGGATGGTCCAGTCCAAAAGTATTGACAAGTGCAAGGAAGGTGAGCAGGATTATGTATTATTTTAGTTATTACAAAATTCAGTTTTTTTTTTAACCATTAATTGAAGCCGGGTGGATGAGGGATTACTAGTTAATAGAAGTAGCTAAAGTTAACTGTACAGGTTGTTTGAGACGTCGGGTGCTTAAAAACGGAATAAAAACTATTTGAAATTATAAAATAGTGACATTTAGCTACCACGAGAATTTACTGTGGCAGGGGCACGCAACATAACTGTGGTAGGGCCACGCAGCAGCCTCGGCTGTCACATATTGTCACATAAAAAAAAAATTACGAAGAAAAAATTAAGTTAGCCTTAAACCTCACCATGTATCACCAAATGGGAGGAGGGGTGTTAAAAATGATAAAAAAACATCACGTGATTCATGGACGGCCCCATATTGAGGATATTGTAGATGACTCCGTGGCGCAGTTGCCGAGGGACCGGCTTCGTCCCGCGTTTCGTGGGTTCGATTCCCATATGGGACAGCTGGCTTCGACGACAGGTTCGATCCTCACACCTGACAACTAGTTGTTACGTATCTGGGTTTGTTTGCCTGCGCGAATTTTTTTTTTTTATAATTTATGTGCACAGAGTTATGGCAGAGATGTAAATAGATGAAATAATTTGTACAAAGGCCCTGCTTATTTCATAAGAAATTTCTTCCAGCAGTCCTGTGACTGGAAATTGTTTACAGATGTTAGTTAATTGTGTACATACATCAATTAAAATACACGTATATGCAACAATTATAAATATGATATCATTACTAAAATAAAATATATGTTTGTGAAACGCCCTTGCAGCGCGGGATAACGGTGTCCTGAAGTGAGAGCAACGTTATAAAAAAAAAACTGGTCTCCAGCGCTGCTGACGCTGCTGCAGCGCCACTCGGGGCTGTTCCGGGAGCGGCTCGCCGCGGACGGGGCGCTGCGCGAGGAGCTGTGGGCGCTGCTGCGCTCCGGGCGCTTCGCCCCCGCGCCCGGAGCCCTGGCGGCGGTCTACGCGGCCGTGGCCCGCACGCTCGCCGAGGACCGGTTCCGGGTCAGACGGCCCGCTTTGGCACACCTCGCTCAGGGCAGTTGCCCACCATCACGCACCCACACAAATTCTCTGCCATGCTTTCACACTATAAAGTAGTTCTTAGTATTCCATTTTGCTCTTCTGAAACACTCCCAATGCAGGTTTTCATAAAATTTTGACCTAATGCCAACTTTGATTATTGTCCGAATCTTTGATCCTTGAGTTTTTTAGAGGTATTTCTTGATGATATAACTGAGTCAGTAAAGCGAAAAAAGCAGTCAAAGTATTTTGTTCCGTTTAGTTTTAGAATATTTTGTTCTTTTCGCCCATGGACATTTGCAACACCTGTAGAGTTGCAAATGTGTTGCCGTCTTTAAATAAAGTGGCTCTAACCAGATGAAACGCAGAAGTATAACACTTGTACTTTATGTCGGTCTCCTGTGAAGTCGCGGTACTTACCCGGACGGACCTGTCCATTCGTGCAACAGTGAACACTGTTGCATGGCCCTACCACAGTGATACCATAGTCAGTTCCATATATTAAAAAAAAATAACAAGCTGACATAGTCATAGGGGATTAATTAAGACGCTGGGGCCCGTGTTTGCAGGCCGTGCTGGAATCGGAGGTGGAGCCGCGCGCGGACGAAAGCGACGCGCTCGTGCGCTTTACGGCGCTGCGAGTGATGCACGCGCACGCACGCACGCACTACGACGCGCACGCGCACGCACGCATCGAGGCGCCCGCGCTGACGCACGCATTGGGACGTGCGCGTTTCTCGCCCGACCACGCGCAGGCGGTGAGGGCGACAGCTTCCGCTACTTTTACTTCCACTCAGTCGCAGACAATAATGATAATAATAATCATTAATAATTCATATGCTTTGTGACCTTTACAAATGAACTTTATCTTACAAGTTTTATACGTAAGTGTGTTCTAAAGTTATTTGTTTTGGAAAATTTATTAATTTTATAAATATTGATGGGTAAAGAAAGTAAATTTTTGATACAATTTTACATTATTATATATTATACCACATTGTATAGTGAGCCGATGTTTAATTCGCGGCGGCCGAAAAACTAACCTCTGAGCCATCTATCGCCTTAAACAAACTTGTAGCGAAATCAATTTCCGCACAGATCCTGTGGTGCGTGGAGGCCCGCACGCCGGAAGGCGAGCTGCTGCTGAGAGCGTCCCTGCAGCACCACGAGGCTCTGAAGAGGGAGTACCGCGACCTGATCGCGGTCCAAGGCCTGCTGAACTCGCCACCGGACATGAGAAAGGTTAGGTTCCTTACTGTATTCGGGTATGACAGCCCTTCTTCTTTTTGTTAGTTCAATGTGATGGTAAGATAAGATAATTTACTGTCTTAACTGTGTACAATAGGTTTTACATGTTACATAATTTTTTTGTGTCAACGGTTTGCCCATTTCGGGCGATTTTTAATTTATAAAAACAATTACATATCAGCCATTATTTTAGTATAGTTTTAAACTGTACACCATCAAGTTATTTTATTGATTCAAGTAAATAATTATATATCTTAATACCAGCTATGTAGGAGCTTTTTGCATATGTATAACTTGAGCAATGCGCATTGCGATCGAAGATTCAGTTTTGTGTCACTTTTCTTAATATAGTATGAATAGATATTAATATAATCAATTGGTATTGTAAGACTTCGGCTGTTGTGTATGATACAAGTTTTCGAATCGGTGATATATTTTTAAAAAGTTAACGTTAATACGGTAGCTGATTGTGTGTGAATAAGGTACAAGGCGTTAAATTCGAATCGTTAAACTCCAATCTCTCCGACGTCAGCTCGGCTGCCCCACCGTCGCGCGCGAACTTCGTAACTGTCCCGTGTTGTCTTAGTGACGTCATAGATGGCGCTAGTATAAGAGTAAAGTAAAGTATCAGCCTATACATGTGCTGCCCGGACAGCGACGACAGACCGGAGGAGGCCTATGCCCACTGCTGGGCAAAGGCCTTGGAGTCTTATCTAACAAAAATGCCCATTTTGAGAGTGACTGGGCTATTTAAAATGTTTTAACTTAATTTACACTAGATATCATATTAAGATCACTGCGTGTTATGGTGAAGTCTTTCTCTTTAGAGGCTGGTGGCGTTCCTCGCGTGTGAGACCTGCCGCAGCCTAAAAGAGGGACATGGAGAGAGATACCTCACCCTTTGGGCTTCCCTCTTTGGAGGGGCGGGGGGCGAGGGGGCGGTTAAGAGCGAGCAGCTCTTTGAAGACTTCCTGGAACACCTCGTGGAGACCCTGGAGTGTCATTCGCAGGCGGTTGAGGCTGATGGGCAGGTGGGTTGCAACAAGTCCTTTGCACCGTCTTATTGAGTCAACAGAGGCTTCATAAGCCCTAGCTTAAATGTTTGTCATGTCTGAATATGTAGTTATTTATTTACTGTAATATGTAGTTATTAATAAGCATAATTGTAGACTAGTAAGCATTACACATAAGAAAAGTAAAGTAACAGCCTATACATATCCCACTGCTGGGCAAAGTCCTCCTCTATACAGAGGGTATCAGGGCATAGTCCACCACGCGGCCCCACTGCGGATTGTGGATTGGCGGACTTCACATATCTTAGAAATATTTTTTTTTTCGAAAATATGCAGGTGTCCTCACGATGTTTTCACGATAATTCAGCACTTAAAGTTAAAAACTTCATTGGTGCCGGCACCGGGGATCCAACTCAGGTTGCTCGAGCATATTGAATTAAAGGCGAGCGCCCGGACACTGAGCTATCACGGCTCAATTCCACATGTGTAACTTTAAGTATTGTATTTTTTTATATTTATTTGACAATGAAGTGTCATTGTCAAATAAGTGAAGTTTTTGAAACTGGAAATTTAAAATCTAAATGAAATGTTTTATTGTGATCTAAAATAGTTTCATTTGACCATTTATAAGGTACTAGGTTTTCGCCTGCGGCTTCGCTCGCGTTGATGCCCTTAAATAAATATCTTTTAACGCTTAACAACACTTTTTCCAATTAAAAAATAACCTATGTCCTTTCTTTGGCTCTAGACTATTTGTGTACCAAATTTCATTTAAATCGGTTCAGTAGTTTTAGCGTGAAAGCGAGACAGACTGACAGACTTACTTTCGCATTTATAATATTAGTATGGAATTCCATTATTTGACGATTATAAGTTAACATAATCCAATTCCGCGCAGGCGGTGCATCTCAACCGTTTCACAGTGAGGTGGAGCTGTCAGAAAAGTCTCACTTAGTCTCGTCAACACTTTGAGTTTCAGGAGCCGCCGGAGACGTTGCAGTGGACGGTGCGGGCCAGCGCGCGCATCGTGCCCCTGGCGGGCGCGCTGCACGGGGGGCGGGAGAGGGGCGCCGCGGCGCTGAGGCTGCTGGCCGGGCTGGCGGCGGGGGGCGGGCGGGGGGCGGGGGGCGCCCTCGCCGCCATGCGCCCCCTGCTTGCGCGGCTCGAGGGGCGCCACCACCACCACCACCACCTAACGGTAAGTGCCTTTATCCTTTATGAGAAGCAAGCGAGCGGTTCACCCCTTGTTAACTGACTACCGCCGTCGATGGACATCTACAACACGTGAAAGGGATGTGCCAGAAAAGTGGAAACTGTGAACTCACCAGGCGAAGTGCGAGAGTATGATGCTTCTACTTCTCGCTGGTCTTGTGGGAGTAGTATATCCCTGGATGAGCCTGCCCGATCGACCAAAAGTGAACGCAGCTGCATGACCCTGAAGTTACAGCCTATGTTTATCCCGTTGGTGGGCAAAGCCCTATTCTGTACAAAGGATGCTAGCAGACAGTAGTACAACTTCGAATTTTATTATGTCACTTAAATATTATTACTTTGAGATTTTTACGGGCAAAAGTAGTTTTATCATAGTATCATTGACCGGAAACTCTGAATAATATGTGGTGAACTGTTTGTTATACTTGAATAACTACTTTATAAAACAAATGCGTTTTTACTATGAATATTTGTAAAGTAAAGATGTCGCTTTGAGCTTTTCAAATTTATTTATTTTGTGGTTGGTGGTTCGTTGGCATTGCGTTTCATCTGATGAGTGAGGGTATACAGGGCCCACTTTATTAAATGGCTGCAACGCATCTGCAACCTTATGGGTATTGCAAGTGTCAATGGACGATGGCTACCAAGTACCATGTAACATCAATTGAACTGCCTGCTCACTTGCCACCCTATGTCATTAAAAAACCTATTATATAATAACATACAACATAGGGATATATAAATAAAGCTTGTTATAGGATTTTGTCATCGAGGATTGCGGAGACGACGAGGAAGTACGCGAGAGATGCTTGGCACTGCTTCTGGCACCGGTTGGCAGCCTGCAAGAGGCCGCCAGGGCCCTCATGGCAGTGGAGGTGACCTTAGTCTTCCATACAGTAATCTAGATGACACTGTGGCGCAGTTGCCAGGGTTTAGGCTTCGGTCGTGGGTTCGATTTCCACACGAGACAACTATTTGCGTGACCCACAGATAATTGTTTCCGATTTGGATGTTTATCCAGGTGAAATTCATTTATGTAAAATGTCCTTACAACATAGGATAACATTGTGAGTAAAGGGGCAATGTTCTCGGAGGGAAGACTACAATTATAAATCTCCTGGGTTGCAGTGGTTGTACTTACTGCTTACTGCTCAAGCTCTTCCAAAAATAAAAATAAGTCTTTATAGGGCAGGACAGTTCAACTGTTGTCAAGCAAAGAACACCATGGATCATGCTACAAGCCTTTGCTAACGACAAAAGGCGGCACCTCACTCTTTAGACGAAACGTGAAAGTATAACATCTGCACTACACGCCGGTCTTCTCGGGGCCGTGGTACTATCTGGAAGGGCATGCCCATTCGTGCAAGAGCATAGGCTGCCACGTGGCCCTACCGCAGTTGAATCTTCTGTACATTCTTATGTCAGGAAGTGGTCATGCTGCTTTACCCCAGCAGGCTGGGGGCTCGATTCTTGAGGGTTTTACGATTCTGGATCATTGACGAGGAACCTAATGGCACGGTCGCCTCATCTGCAAATCCCCGCAGAAGGGGATGCTTTGAATCGAAGAATTGAAGAGGTCCTTCTTTCTTCTAGATCACTCTCTCCGACACGGGTCTGGAGTCCGGCGAGCTCTCAAGCGTCCTCTGCACCCTGGAAGAACTTGTCTCCGACTGGGGGGAGGGGCTCGGCGAGGAGGAATTGGGTCGCGTGAGTTCCTGTATTTCCTTCAGACTGTGGAATACCACCCGATGGTGAGAGGTGTTTTGGCCGCCTGCGTTCGTCTTTTGCAAAAGCGAATGCAAAATTTCGAAACCCCGATTGCTGCCCCAGGTGCTGATCCGTAGGACTACGCTGACTCGTATTTACATGGAATATGATTTTTTGGAAATTTCTAGACAGCCCTCTCCGTTCCAGGTGGTGACGCAAGTGAGGATGCTGCATCAGAGGGCCGTCTACAAGGGCAGGGAAGGTAGAGAGCTGCGCAGGAGTGTTCTAATGTTCTTGGGTAATGATCTATCTGTTACGGGCTATCTCAGTCCATATGTGGTGGATATAATCAACTTAACCGATTAATCCCCTACTCAATAATAACCTCGCAAACTTTATTTATATGAAATATCTACATCTATATCGACATAAAAACAAATCTTGAATACCAGCGTCCGCTTTGAATGCTTGCACCTAGGCCATACTTGGCAGAATGGGCAGGTCTGTCTGGGTAAGTACCATAACCTCACAGAAGACCGGGGTGAAGTGGATGTGTTACACTTCTGCGTTTCGTCTGGTGAGTGAGGCAGCTGGGGCCCACTTTATTTAAAGCTGGCAACGCATCTGACAACGCTACGGATGTTGCAAATCTACATGGATGGCAGTTATCACTTACCATCACGAGAACTGCCACCTTCTCACAAAAAAAAAATCACCAAACATTCCTCTACAACTCTTCCAGGCAAACACGGCAGGCGCATCCAGGCTAACATCTCGGGCGACGAGACCTTCCACCTGAGGAGCTGCCTGACCCTCAAGATCCCGAACCTCGACGACGATGCGACCAGTAAGGTTGGTGTCTGTGGTTGTTGACTTATGCCCTGTTCCTATATTCAACGAACGTCCGTTAGTTACATAGATTCGTAACTTTCATAACGACTTGTAGATTAAAGGAACGCTAGTAACTCTTTCCGTAGGTAATGCAACGGTTCGTAAGGAAAACGCCTCGTTTTGTTCATATAGGAACCGGGCGTACACGTCTTTTATCTGCAATTAGTTATGAAAGTTACGAAGCTATGTAACTAATGGCCGTTAGTTACATATAGGAACCGGGCATAAGTCCAGTTGTGACCTCGTAGTAATGGCGTGATTGGGTTCTCATTATTATCCGGTTTAAAGGGAAAAAAACCTGAGATTGGGAATTATTTCGAATCTGAAAAACTTCTTCATAGAATCGATCAAATCCGCTCAGATTTCGGATGAGTTTGTCACTAACAAAACCCTTATTTGTATTCATATAGTGTTCAGGCACGGCAGACTAGTTCGGGGAAGTGCCACGGCCTCGCACACCGTCGCGAAGGGCCCACTTTAACGGTTGACAACGTCTGCAACCGGTCAGTTACTATAAATGTCCATGGCCGATCACTTAGCATCAATTGAACCGCCTGCTTAGGACTTATCACATAAAAAAAAGTAAAGTAACAGCCTATACATGTCCCACTGCTGGGCAAAGGCCTCATCTATACAGAGGGTGTCAGGGCATAGTCCACCACGCGGCCCCACTGCGGATTGGCGGACTTCACATATTTCGAAATATATATTTTTTTGTTATTATTTCGAAAATATGCAGGTTTCCTCACGATGTTTTCCTTCACCGCGGAGCACGTGATAATTCAGCATTTAAAGTTAAAAACTTCATTGGTGCCGGCACCGGGGATCGAACTCAGGTTGCTCGAGTATATTGAATTAAAGGCGAGCGCCCGGACACTGAGCTATCACGGCTCATCAACGCACATAAAGGGTTGATGTAATCTGGACTCCCTTCTCCAGTTGAACCTCCAAGGCTTGTTCCGGCTGGCGCTGGAGAGCGAGGACCCGAAGGCGCTGCGGCCCCTCCTGGACCTGATGCGCGCCAACTGTGAGTCCGCTCATATTATATTATACTCGTAATCGGTAGACGACGCGTTGCAGCTCAGCGCCAGAAACGTTGGACTTGTAAAAATTGCATCGCGTTCATCACCAGACGCAGTTTGGATTTCTCAAGACTTATATTCGTATGGACCTTAGTGCATTCTTAACGTGGTGACGGCTCCGTGGTACAGTTGCCTAGGTATGGGGGTTGTGCATTCGATTCCCGCTCGGGTCAACTAGGGATTTGTGAGGCCAAAACACGGGATCTCGGTGTATGTCCACGTATAAAACGTACTTATCGCACCGGATAAAGCTATCCTACAGTAAGGGCAATGCTTTTTTTAAGAAGGCGTGTGTGCGTGTATTTATGTACGCGTGTAAGAAGATATACTTCTTTATTTATTTATTATTTAGCGTAACAAAAGAGAATTAAATAAACATTTTATCCCCTTTGCTTGTTAGAAAGAGACAGTAAATGCAACCGACAGCGGTTTAATTGAACTAACTCCGTATTATAGGTGTATGACAAAAATACAAGTTTTGGGTCGCCACGGCAACACCGTAAATTCACAAATTCGCTCTCATCGTTTTCCCCAAATCTTTTTTCGCCAAAGGAGGTATAACTTGAAATGAAAAGTGGAAGCGCGCGTATCTCACACAATCCCATGCACGGCAGCGAGCGGGCGGCCGATGGGCGAGCAGGAGGAGCGAGCGCTGTGCGAGGGCGCGTGCGCACTTGCGGCCGCGCACGCGCCGCTCCAGCTGCACCTGCTGGACGCCTGCGCGGGCACGGCCGCCGGCCACCTGCTGCAGGTACCGGGCCCACTTATGGACCGACCCACTCTGGGACCGAGCTCACTTTGGGACCAGACCCACTCTGGGACATGGCTCACTTTGGGACCAGACCCACTCCGGGACCACTACCAGATACACTCGGAGCAGACCCACGCTGGCACTATACCCCACTCCGGGACCAGATACACTCAGAGCAGACTCACTCTGGGACAAGACCCACAACTGGGACCGGACAAACTCTGGGAATGGACTCCACGGCTGGAACCAGACCCACATTGGAAACACATCCGCTACTTGGACTGAGCCCACGGGGCATAGCGTTGCACGCTTGAGACGCGCAACGCTGCTAGATTGGGAAAAGTAGGACTCTAATTAAACAATATCTAGTAGAACATCACACTATAACACCATTCTTGAGATGTGTTTTTATCAGGCGTGCACTCTGCACGTGCTAAAGAGCTACATATCGTGTAATACATACATACCCCGAAACACCGAGACCCGCGATTTACACCGGTAAAGTTGTCACTATTTTCGAGTTAAACCAATCGCGTCTTCTATGATCGCGCCCACACACTTTAAACCTTAAGCTAAATGGGTCATTGCCACGAAACATGCAAACAAAACACGTTGAGGTTTTCGCCGACGTGAAACAATAATTCTTACACGTCACCCGTTGCGTGCAAACGGACGAATTGCGTGTCATGGATAAGAATAGCGCCGAACGTGTCCGCAGCGCTTGGGATCCGAACGGCGGCCCGCGGCGCGGCGCGCGCTGAGCCAGGCCCTGGGGCGCCTCGCGCTGCGCCGGCGGGGTCAAGATGAGCAGCTCGCCCACGAGCTGGCCGGCCGAGTGGAGCTGTTCATGAGCCGCGGTGAGTCAGCTACTCAACGGTTCTCGCTGTTGCACGGAGGGGCAGCTCCGTCCGGGTAAGTGCCGCGACCTCGCAGAACACCGGCGTCTAGTGGAAGCGTTGCACTCCTTTTTTTTTATTTATTTTCATTAGCGCGCTATGTCCGACTTGCACCTACCGAAAGCCCCACGGTGTTCCACCTAGGCGCATATCGGCAGGGGCACGGGAACGGTTTCGCACACTTCCGCGACCCAAGCGTTGCACTGCTGCGCTCCGTCCGGTGAGCGAGGCAGCCGGGTCCGACTTCATTTAAAGTTGGCAACGCGTCTGCAACCTGGCGGCTGTTGCAAATGTCCATGGGCGGGTGGCTGTCACTAAGCGTCAAGCGAACCGCCAGCTTGTATGCCTCACATTAAAAAAAAACTAGGTGATGGAAGATCAGGCCTGCAATCTCCGGCTCGGGTATATCCGGCCTGTCGTAAAAGTATGTTTAAACGATTAATTTTAACGATAACATTGCTGGAGACAGGAGAATGTCAATCCTGAATCCATTTCTGGGATGCAACGACGCGGCGTCGTGTTCATCTCTGGAGCCCTTCCCTCTGCAGCCGCAACGAAACCAGCCGGCATAGACATCGCCGGGGTGTTGCTGGACGTGCTGAAGCAGCACAACTCTCTGGCGAGGGAGCTGCTGCCACGGTTGCTGCCACAGATCGCGCGCGCGAGGCTGCATTACGCGCTGCCTCCGCTTAAAACTGCCGCCGACTTGTTCCTCGACAAAGTGGAGCTGTTCGAGGGGAGTTCAGTGGAGGACCTCGTGGCGGAGACGCTGGGGGCGCTGGTGGCCGTGGCAACGGAAGGGGGCGGGGCGGTGGCACAACGAGATGGCAGAATGGGAGACGTAAGACTCGTGAGGGCCTTGACGCAATCCACGGTCGCCTTCCTGAAGGTGCTTTGCGAGAGCAAACGCCTCGAAGTCTTCAGCATAGTGGAGAGGCTCCTCTCGATCGCGAGTGGAGATGGAGTGGAGATCTCCCGCGTGCTCCACTCCCTCGCCGTGATGCGGGTGGAGTTGGACCTGGATGCGCGCGCGTGCCGCAGCGTGGTGGGGGCCGAGGTCTTCCGCGCGGCCCTGTTCGGAACGGGGCGGCTCGGACCCTGGGACCTTCTGTGCCTGGAGGGGGCGCTCACTCTCTGCACGCAGTATGCGGAGGCGCTGCTCGAGCTGCATAGCGAGGTGGGTTCTGTCAGAAGAGTAAAATGGTTGGTAAAGGTGGCAACTGTTATTCTGATGAGAAATAACCGAATGAAAGATTTCCGGAACAGCAGGTTTCCGGATAGAGGTTGCCTGGAAGAAATTACTCTTAGCAATAAGGCCGCCCATTGTACACATCACTTCTACATAAAGTTTTAATTTTTGTTTGTTTTTATTTTTGGTGTGCAATAATAGCTAATAAATAGCAGCAGGTGCTTTGCCAGTGTCTGCTTGTTCCGCGAAACATTGATATGGTGTATTGTTGTTTGATAATTTAATTTGGCCAGTTTATTGTGATCGCTATGTGCGATCAGACTTACAATGCGAGTCCATCTTTTCGTCTCGACCATAAATGTAACTGCAAAATTGGTTTATGTTGGCTGGTGTTTACACGTAATTGCAACGGACGTTCCACAACACACTAGATCCACAATTAAACAGAAGGTGAAGGCGACGGAATTACTTGGTGCGAAGAAACAAGCTGGCAGCCACTGCTCCACAACATTAATGCACTTAGGGATCGAACCTTCGAAACTTTCACCATCGCTTAAATGCTGTCGTGTGTAATGCTTGTGTTATTGTGTTTGTGTCATGATAAAAGGTTTTTTTATGTGAAAAGTTGCCAAGCGAGCAGACGGTTCACCTGATGTTAAGTGAATACCCCGCCGCCCATGGACATCTGCTACACCCAAGGGTTGCAGATGCGTTGACAACCTTTTGAAAATTGGGCTCCGGCCACCTCACTCACCAGACGCGATATTATTATACTTCCACTTTACGTCGGTCTTCTGTGAGGTTGTGGTACTTACCCGGACGAGCCTGCCCATTTGTGCAACAGCCTAGGCTGCTGCGTGGCCCTACCACCGTCAAAAGTGTGCATGAATGGTTGTACGTTTGTATTTTTGTGTGCGTGATTTGTGAGGTCTCTACACCTCTTTTAGGGCACACGACCCTGATCCTTGCCATAATTTCAGAACACGATAGAATTGCTGTCGGGACTCCTCTCCTCGCTGCAGCCCAAGCAAATACTGCAGATGAATAGTACCCTTACCTCATGCTGGAGGAAATTAACCGGTATATTGGGAGATGTGCCATCTGAGCTGATCGCCAGTCTGGAGAAATGGTGCCGGCAGCTGCCATTAGAGGAGCTGGAGCAGAACCTCGGTAAAGGCGAATGTCCAGAGGGGGACGCTGTCGTGGCCCATTCGTTGAGGCTGGCCTTAGACTGGTTCGGAGCGGGGAATCGAGGGTTGCGTTGCCTCAGCGACCGTTCTCTCCGGTGGTTGGAATCCGTCCGAAAGCACAACGCCTCTGGCCTGGTGGCGAAGCGGTTCAGCAGCCTGGGATACTTCAACGACCTGCTGCATGTGACCTTCGCCCTCAACGGGTCAGAGGTGGAGCGGGTGCTGAGCGCTGGGTCGGCAGATGGCTTCTGCGAGAGGTTCATGCCCGCACTGTGCCGCCACCTGACGAGGAAGCCCTTCCTCATGATGGAGCCCCGGTTCGAGGGCAGATGCGAGCTCCTCAACGAGGTCGTCAGGCACTGCGTGAAGAAACGCGACGTTGAATGCGGCAACCTTCTGGAGCTGGTGGATGAGGTAAATGGTCTTCAGTTACATAAGTTGTGTCAGTCAATCATTTTAAATGGCATACCCTGGACTAAGTTTCCTTTTAGGGTTCCGTACCCAAAGGGTGAAACGGGAACCTATTACTAAGACTCAGCAGGCTGTATCTCATGAAATTCAACTGACTATAACTAGTTGAAATTTACACTGATTTTCTTTTACCGCTATAGCAACAACAAACACTGAAAAACAGAATAAAAAATATTTAAATGGGGCTTCCATACAACAAATGTTTTTTTTTTTGCCGTTTTTACAGATAATATAGATAGATAATAGTACGGAATCTTAGTGCGCGAGTCTGACTCGCACTTGGCTTTTTTTTTTAGTTATATTTCTGTTTAGCAAGATGAGCTTATTCAGGCCAAAATGTGGTTCGCTGTTGGACGGATAGACAGGTCCGTCCGGGCAAGTACCACGATCTAATAGAAGACCGGCGTAACTTCTGCGTTTCGTCTGGTGAGCGAGGTAGCCGGGGCCCGCTTTATTAAAAGGGGCATCGCATCTGCCACCCTACGGGTGTTGCAAATGTTGCAAATGTTGCGGTTGTTACTGAACACCAGGTGAACCGCCATCCCGCTTGCCACCATCTCGCATAAAACGGCAGGAGAATGCGAGAGTCTCAATTCCTATCGCTAAAATGCCGGTTCCAGCTGTGGCCGGTGTACGCGCGGAAGAGCAGCTTCGAAAGGAAGCACTCCCTGCTGCTGGACCTGGCCACGCTGCCGACGAAACTGGGCCCGGGTTCGAACCCGATGCGCTGGCTGGACGACTGCATCCGCTCGGACGAGTGCAGCCCCGAGATGAAGGCGAAGCTCATCGGGGTCCTGCCCGCCGAGGAGCCCTATCTGTGAGGATTTCGAGATCAAAAATTTTTTCAAAAAAACAATTACACACAGCAAAAAGGAAACTATCACACACACACGCACACGCACACGTACGCACGCAAGCATCCGCTTGTGTCCGCGTGCACATAAACAGTAATTATTATTCTTCCTCCCGTTGTATAAACATACAAAAAAATGTAAATTGTTGTAACTTCTTAGATGGCAAAATGTTTTTTATGAATTATATTTTGTAATGTAAAAGTAAATTTCCGAATAAAACAAAATAAATAAATAAATAAATAACGTCCGTAACTGTTGAATACATCCTCGGAAACAGACGTTGGAAACGTCCCAAGTCTGCTTCTGAGGATAGGTGTGTGAAGTTGTGGGCGATGCGCAGGGAAATGTGGCGCAGGGCGGCGGGGCTGCTGCCGGCGCGGCCAGAGGAGGCTCGCGGAGGGCTGGCGCTGGTGTTCAGCGCTCTGCTGGAGGCGCTCGCGGCGGCCGGCACCCCGCTGCTGGGCTGCCTGCTGCCACTCCTCGCCGCCACGCCCGCCACAGGTGCTGCCACATGCCACGGTGGCCGTCAACTCTGCGGTGATGCGAAAGCTGGCAAGCGAGCATGCCGCCGCCCTAGGACATTTGTAACAGCCGCAGGGTTGCAGAGGCATTGCCACAGAGTGGGCACCGGCTACATCACTTCGCTGCCTCAGCTGTTACGAAAGTCTGGTGGGACCACACCGCCGCTTCGTCTGTTGCACTTTATTGCAAGCTCGCTGAAGTCAACGTCCTCGCAGAAGATGTTACTGGTAAGTGAGGTAAACGGGGTTCAACATTTTTAAGGTTGCCAACGGCCGGTTGAGGTGCCACCACCCTCGGGAGTTGGAGAGATCCATCTCTGACTCTTTACATAAAAAACCAGTGAAGACTTGCCATTGCTACCGCGTACCCACCTCTCCTGAAGTCTCCATTATCACCGCAGTTATTACAGTTGAGATAGATGCCAGCGAAGAATTCGTGAAGTTTTCTAAACTTTGGGGGGTTTATTCCCCCGTGGAAAGTTTCCACTAGGTGACATAGGATGCGTGAGATTGAGGAACCCACATAGACCGTGGTTGGTGATGGTGCTTATCATGAACCTCCAGATTGGTGCGTCGCTTAAAAGATGGCGGACTCCCAATACAACCATTTCTCGCTGCCATTCCCTGAAGCAGTGGTAGTATTCGGCAGAAGGCTTTCAGACTGTTAGCTGCCATCGCTGCCATTTCTCGCCGCAATTGTGTACGGCTGTGGTTACTCGGTAAATCAGAGTTTATCCGATTTCCACCTTCCTACGACAGTTCGCTGTTGCACGAATGGGCAGGTCCGTCCGGGGAAGCACCACGAGCTCTCAGAAGACCGGCGGGAAGTGATGAGTGAAGTACGTCGTCTGATGAGTGAGGTAACCGGGGCCTATTAAAAGGTGGCAGCGCGTCCGCAACCCTGCGGGCGTTGCAGTTATCACTTAACAACAGAAAGTGAAGAGCCAGCTCGCTTGCTACCTTCACACGTAGAGAGAAAAGATTAACGATTTTTGGGTCTAAAGGTTAATAATTAATCGCACCTTGGCGACATGTAAACCTCCGCACCAGGCCAGGAGCTGAGCTGGTACGAGGATGCAGTGGACGCGTGCCTGGAGTCCCTCGCACTCAAGGGCGGGTTGGAAGCCGCGAGAGACCTCTACGGCCGCAGCGCCCAGGACCTCACGCTGAGGGTCTGCGGCCGTCTCCTGGTGCCTCTTCTCAGGTGCAGCGAGCCGACAATCTTGGCTTATCTATATAATATACAGCACGATGTATGTGCTTCGGAAACTACCAAATCAATTTTTATCAAATTTTGCGACAATAAATGATTGATCTCAATATTTTTTATTGAGTTGGCGCTGGGCAACACTGAATACTTTTATTACTCGAGCGAAGGGACACAGGGTCGCGTAGAGGCGGTCACTTGGATTTCGGCTTCGTTCCCGGACGGTGATATAACCACTAGTGCTGCTTGTCGTTATAATAGATGTTAATACTGAAGTTCAGTAATAGTTAAAATATTAGGATCAAGGTATAAACGTTAGAACTCTTATAATTGCAAATTAAATGTTTATTAGATGACAAAGAGGTATCTGTGAGTCCCATAAGATTCTAACAGATAGCGGTGTAAGATAAATTTATCGGCTGGATTGAGTAAGCATCCGATAGATGGCGCTATACTAAAAGTAGAAATTTATGGACCCGGTAGAATTGGCGCAGACGAAGTTGCGCGGGCCAGCTAATCTATTTATGTATTTAAAAAGATTGCCAGCAGTACATAGACGTGCATAAAAAAATTCTGATTAATTTTTGATTTTTTTTTTGAACTTCATTTACTATTTAGGTGGTACAGGTTGTACTCACCCGGACGGACCTGCCCATTCGTGCAACAGTGAACACTGTTGCCGTGGTCCTACCACAGTTGTGTTGATTAATGTGGAGTCGATGGTAGGTTGGTGATAAATATGTAAAAAAAAGTAAAGCATCAGCCTTACATGTCCCACTGCTGGGCAAAGGCCTCCTATGTACAGAGACTGTCAGGGCATAGTCCGATTTTTTTTTCGTTATTATATCGAAAATATACAGGCTACCTCACGATGTTTTCCTTAACCACGGAGCACGTGATTAATCAGCACTTGAAATCAACAATTTCATTGGTGCCGGCATCGGGGATCGAACTCGGGTTGCTCGAGTATATCGAATTAGAGGCGAGCGCCCGGACACTGAGCTATCGCGGCTGGGATAGTTGTGTGTTGACGAACCGAATGGCGTAGTGGGTAGTGTATCTGTCTCCTACGCCAGAGGGTGTGGGTTCGATCCCCACTACTGGAAAAAATATTGTGTGATGAACATGGTGTTTTTCTAGTGTCGGCGTGTTTTTAAATGTATAATATGTATTTATTTACAAAAAAAAGTATGTTTAAGTATGTATATCAGTTATGTAGTACCCATAGTACAAGCTTTGCTTAGTTTGGGACTAGAGATGTTGTGTAAAAACGTGTCCCAAAATATTTATTTATTTTGTAACGACGATTTTTGTGTTGACCGATGTACGCAGGAGGTGCTCGGCGAGCATCTGCGAGGAGTTCGTGGCGGGCGTGGCAGCCGAGCTGGTGGGCAGCCTGCAGAGGGCGCCGAGGGCGGCTGCCACGCACCACGCCTGCCACCGCGCGGTGGTGGGCTACGTGCGCGCGCTGCTGCTGCTCAGGGTGGCCTTCGAGAAGGTGATGATGATGACAAATGCTGCGGGACACGTACTTACCCAACGTCGTCCAGTATTATTGTGGTAGAGCGAGGCAGAAGTTGTGGCACGGATGCTGCACGAATGCGCAGGTCCGTCCGCGAGTACCAGATAGAGTAGAAGACCGGCTTGGAGTGAAAGTGTTACGCTTCTGCATTCCGTCTGGTGAGGTAGCCGGGGCCCACGTGTGTGTGTGTGCGTGCTCACGAATGGTTCCGTACCATTTTCTTAAAAACCGGCCAAGTGCGAGTCCGACTCGCTCACGAAGAGTTCCGTACCATTATCTATATAAATAGCCCAAAAAAGTCATGTCTGCTGTAAGGGAGCCCCCACTTAAATATTTTTTTTATTATAGCGGCAACAGAAATACGTCATCTGTGAAAATTTCAACTCTAACTATCACGGTTCTCGAGACAACGCCTGGTGACAGACATACACAGACAGCGGAGACTTAGCAATACAGTCGCATTTTACCCTTTGGGAATAGAACCCTTAATACAAAAATCTTTCTCACAATTAATTTCCTATTTGATTATCAAGAGTTCCCTAATGTGTCTCCGGAGTCAATAAAAAAAAAGAATCATCAAAATGGATTCACTCAAAAGTTCTGAGGTAACAAACATAAAAAAATATACAGCGTGTCGTTACCATCGCGACAATAAATGAACTCACGTCTAACCTTAATTGCCAATAATCATAAAAAATATAAACGTTAAACAAAATCCATAATTAAAAAAAAAATTTTTTTCAAACAAAGTAAAAAAGAAACAAAATTTGTAACATCCTATACAACTCGCGCCACAGCGTCGCATTACAAGCCTCTTCTTCTAATAGTATGTTTTGTCTCTTTTAAATTCATTCAACCCATTCATATGCTTTGTGACCTTTACAAATGAAATTTACGTTACAGTTTTATAGGACGTAAGGGTGTTCTAAACTTGTTTGTTTTGGAAAATTTAATAACTCGGTAAATATTGATGTTTAAAGAATGTAAATGTTTAATACAATTTTAAAAAGTTATCATCTATATGTGTGTTCATTTATTGCCGCGGTGGTAACGACACGCTGTATACAGTCGAATTGAGGTTCTCCTCCTTTTGAAGTCGCTGCACCCCTCCTCAGATACCCAGGGACCACATAATGTCACCGAAGTCGGCGCTCTACAGCCAGATGCCCGAGGCGGGCGACAGGCCCTTCCACCTGGTGAAGCTGGTGGCGAAGAGCTGCGCCAACCTGGCGCAGAGGAAGGTGGTCCAGTGCCCAGAGGGCGCCACCGACAGCCTGAAGGAGGCTTGCCTGTGCGCCGGTTTAATAAACTCCATACGCATTGTGTGAAAACTTGCCAAGCGAGCAGGCGGTTCACCTGATGTTTTTTTTTTTATTTATTTATTTTATACATCAACTTACAACTATCATTACAGGATGTACCTAATGCGATAGTGAGGTTCGAATACAATTTAACATATAACTATACTTATAACTAAAACTAAAACTAAACACTCAGAACATGGATCGTAGCCAATGTGAACTCGTTCAATGAGCAATGGAATAAATCTAACTTGTATTTAAAGTACAAAACGCGCGAGTCAATGGTGAAAAACGTAATAAATTAGTCCGTGACCTAGGTACAGATAATAGCATCGGCCGCCGCCTCCTCCTCAAATATCCTTCTGGTACGCATAGCCTCATCTGCTGCAATAGAATCGGATGATTTATTTTGCCACGCAATACCTTAAAAAGGTACGTGGCTAGAAAAACCTCCCTCCTCACTTCAAGTGTACTATATCCTACCATACCCAAAACAAATAAAGTAGGATATAGTACAAGATAACCCGGATACACTCCATATAATTTAAAATACAAAAATCGAGCAAATTTGTTATTAATACGTTCGAGCATATATTTATATTTATTTTCATGTGGAGCCCATATCACAGCATTATGCTCCAAATGACTCCTTACCAAGACTCCATATAAGGCTTTAATAGCTTTTATGTTATCGAATTTACTCGATTGTCTTAAGACGAAACCCAGATGTCGGTACGACTTTTTACAGGTTTCGACAATATGTTCACGGAATCTCAAACTAAAACGAATACCCGAGTCTCTTATCTCGGAGACACGTCTAAGTGATTCTCCTCCCAAGCAGTAGTTGTGGCAACGCGGGGTACTAGAACGGCTAAACGATATTAATGAGCATTTGCTTACATTAAAATACAACTTATTCTCTATACTCCATTTGTATACCGCATCAATATCACGTTGTAATTTAATATGATCCATGGTGCCTTCCACTCTGCGAAACAATTTCATATCGTCGGCAAATAAAAGGCATGTCGAATTTTTTACCACATCCACTAGATCATTGATCATGATGATAAATTGGAGGGGCCCCAAATTACTACCCTGACTTACGCCGGATCTCACAAAATATTGTTCTGATCGACATCCCTTAAATTCAACATACTGGCGTCTGTCTCTTAAACAATTTGCAAAGAAGGTCAGCGTGTGTGATGTACATCCTGTAGCAGCTAATTTCCTTAGCAATACATCATTGTCTACGGTATCGAATGCCTTTTGAAAATCAAAATAGGCCACATCAACTTTCTTTCCTGCATCTATCGCTGGTACTAAGTAAGTCATGTTAAGCGAATACCGCCGTACATGGACATCCTTTTGAAAATTGGGCTGCTGCGTGGCTCTACCGCAGCCCTGTATGTTTGTGTGTATGGATTTTACCGTCGGGTTGTATCGTCTGGGTTTTCCCAGTCCCTTTGAAGAAATGTCTTACACAAAATCGAGTGAGAGCAATGTGTAGTTAGAGCGAGACGGATAGACGTTTGAACGGCGGTGCGAGCAAGAGAAAAACCGGCCATGTTCTCAAAACTCGCGCATGAAGGTTTATGTACCATTCTCTATAAAAACGGCAAAGAAATCATGTCTGTTGTATATACTAACTCACTTAGGTATTTTTCAGTATTACTTTTTTAGTACTGTCGTTATAGCGGCAAAAGAAACACATCATCTGGGAAAATTTCAACTGTCTTCACTCTGTGCGGGTTACGGAACTCTAAAAGAATTTTCTTTATGTAATACATAGATTATTATTATATAGAGGGTACTGGGGAAGGTTATTTTTCGTGCATTTACGTGCCGTAGTGTGTGCGATGCGTTTGTGAGTTTAATTATATAATACAGTGGGGGTCTGGGAGACAAATTGGGCGTGGCTATTATCTATTGGCTGTGGTAGGGACTCATGCAACAGTCCTCGCTGTTGCACGAATGGGCAGGTCCGTCCGGGAGTACCAAGACCTCGAAGACCTGCGTGAATTGAATGCAAGGTGGCAACGCATCCGAACCCTACGGGTGTTGCAAATGTCAGTAGTCGGCGGTTATCACTTAAAATGAGGTGAATCAACAGCTCGATAATCACCTTTTTTCTCGTATATAAAATATGTACGGTTGAAACAGGGAGGTTTTTCTAAGCGTATCCTTTTTTTTTTATTATTAAATTCTAGACTATTCTGTATATGTCCGCGTGTCGCAGGCAGTTCCACTGCGAGAACTACGGCTGCCTGACGGCGGCCATCTGCTGCTGGGCCCCCGAGGACGAGCGCTTCTTCGGGCTGGTCTTCGACCAGGAGGCCTGGGAGCGGCTCGTGGACCACCACAAGGCTTACGAGCTACCCCTGAAAGCGGTACCGGTGGCCACATTTCAATGTCCAAGTCTAAATTTCTTTACTCAATATACGACTGTGATAATAATTGGCTTCGGCGTTGGGAGTCGTGGGTTCAATCCCCACATGAGACAACTATTTGTATGATCCACAGATAGTTGTTTCGCATCTGGTTGTTCGTCCGCGTTAAATTCATGTTTGTAAAACGTCCTTACAACACAGGATAATGTTATCCTAAAGTAAGGGCAATGTTTTTTTTTTTTTTTTAAAAAAAAGGCTCTTTTTTTTATTTTATTTATATACAATTTTGATCTCTTATTCAACTTCAAAAACTGTCCAAGTGCGAGTCGGTCTCGCGTACGAAGGTTACCGTACCAATATATAAAAAAGGCAAAAAATTATTCTGTTGTCCAGCCCCACTTAAATATTTTTTATTTTTTTTTTAGCATTTGTTGTAATAGTGGCAATAAAAATACGTCATCTGTCTAACTGTCACAGTTCATGAGATCACGGTCCGTCTGCCACAGCCTGGAGGCAGACAGACAGACAGGGGGGTTTAGTAACATGGCCCCGTTTCACCCTTTGGTTACAGAACCCTAAAAAACTACCACAAGCTCATTAAACTAGGCTAGCCCAGAGAAAGAACCTGCAACAAACTCTGCTGTATTATTTTTTTTAATTATTTAAGAACACAAAAGTATTTAAGTATAAAATAAACAGCAGCCGGGGGACTTGCAATTGCAGAGCAAGAGTCATTTCCACACATACTTGTCTTTCTTTGAAATTAAAGCATTAGTTTAATTAAGCCATACCAGGCTGAAGCTAGTCCCAAGCTAGACTCGCCTGGCGTAGTGGATAGTGCTCCTGCCTCTTGCGCCAGAGTGGGTTCGATTCCCGCTATTGGAAAAATATTGTGTGATGAATATAGTATTATTGGAAGCAATCGCTACTCTACCTACAATAACTTGAGCTGATGATAAAAATAAATAGTGTATATAAATTGCTGGTCTGTATTTCGATGAAACTCTGACAACTTTGAAATATACAGGGTGGCGTTTTTAAAGATGCCCAAAATTCACACAGGAGGTTCAGACTCCAGGTGGTGTAATCGTTTATTGAAATTAAATCAATTTTTTTTAAATTGACATTCCATTCTCTAAAAAAAACAGAACTTGTTGACAATGCGGTAGTCATTCATAAATGCGTCGTATAGTTTTGAAACGAACTTGTCTGCGTGTTAGTTATGAATGATCGCGCGTAAAATGAATGGGTTGCGTATAGATCACGCACATTTTGAGATAGGTTCAAATGAATGTAATTATAATTAATTAAGAGTGATTTTAAATATTTATCATTTTATGTATGACATTATTTATGTCTAGAATTTAATAAAAAAAAAAATGGATACACTTAAAAAAGCCTCCCTGTATAACGATCGCGCGTGTCCTCCGTTCCGCAGTCGAGAGTGTGTCGAGGCGATGGCGATGACCGTGTGTTCTAGGGTCGTAGGCAATTATTCTACTGTCCGTGTGTTTATACATCTTTAAGTATTAATTTCCAAAAGGAAAGTGCGTTTATGTAACACATTATCCACAATGCAGCGTTTGTTTAGTTTGGCACTAGATAATCCGTGAAGACGCTTATTTATTTATCTTCGTTTAATGATTGCAGCGCAGGTGGGAGCCTTGGCGGGAGGGGGCGCCCCCGCTCCCGCGCTCCGCCCCTCCGCCCCCGCGCACCCGCACGCGGACTCGAACCCGCACCTTCCTGCACACGCTCTCCGAGAACCCGCTGCTCTTCGACCAGGGGCTGCCCCCGGAGGAGCAGGTGACTTGATCCTATCTCGTTCTAGCAAAGGCACGCGGGCTAGTAGCGTTTAGATACGCCGTCTCTCTCACTCTCCCGGACGTGACACGTAAAATGTAAAGTTTTCAAATGATCTTAAGAAGGTTTCTATTTTTTTTTTTAATTGTTCTAATTGAACTTTTTGCGACGTGAATCTATTGTTGCAAGATATTTTTATTGTCGTTTAAACTGTGCCAAACGCTGATTTTAAATTGAAGTAAATGTGTTTTCAAAATATTATAGTTTGACTGAAATTTTAATATGATTTCATTTAAGCATCTAAAAACCCAAAATTAATTTGCCAAATATAATTCAATTGTTAAACCTTTGTTTGTTGGGTACAATGTAGGATGCACACTGACTAACAAAACCTCTAACGCCAGCTAGATAGCTCGCACGACGTCCGGGAGTGTGAGAGAGATAGCATATCTAAAAACAGGACTACCTGAAATTCCCTCTCGAAAGCGTTGCTAGCTCTTGGACTATTTGTTTAGCTGTTAGTGTATGCAGCTTCAGTGTGCAACTTGCGTGTTGAACACAGTGTGTTGTTTTGGTTTTTTTTTTTAGAAATTCAAATTTTTTTATAGTGCCAATCTCCGCACTTAAAATTTAACATTAAATTTGGAGAAAAAGTACGAAAAGATTGTCACCGCTGTGGTAATCGAACCCACGTCTTCGGCATTCGCGGCCTGACGCCACAGTGACGAAAATCTTAACGTATTTTATCTACATTGGCTCTTAGCATTTGAAGTAACGCTTGGCGCATCTATTGTTATATCCTTTACAGCATATAGACAATTTCGAATATCGTTTTACAACGATAACTCGAACGAGAGATGTCGCCATTGCTTCTTAGAAATTTAATTTTTTTATAGTGCTAATCTCTGCACTTTAGATTGAACATTAAATTTTGTAGAAAATTATTTTTTTTTATCATTTTGTATATTATCGAAACAATACTAGGGTACTACAAATGGTTGTCCCACATCCCTACTTCAGAGGCGTACAATAGTAACTCTACATCTTTCAAAATTATTTTTCTTGCACCGTTGAATTCGCAGAAACAAATTCTACACAAGAGTGTAAAGTATTAAGACCTGCGAAGCCTAATTAATAAGATATGGATATCTTGAATGCATTATTGATTATGTCATATACGATGGATCGTATATGACATAATCAATAATGCATTCAAGGATTCACTAACGCATTTCTGCCTCTCCTGTAAAATTTGTGTTTTGTCACATAATGCTGTTTACCCCTGTGGTACATAAATAGCCTTGTACCCGGTTCCTATACTCAACAAACGGCCGTTGGTTACACAGCTTCGTAAGTTTCATAATGACTTACATAAACAAAACGAGGCGTTTTCCTCACGAGAAGTTGCATTACACACGGAGAGTGACTAGCGTTTCCTTTAATCCACAAGTCGTTGTAAAAGTTACGAAGCTAGTAACTAACGGCCGTCCGTTGAATATAGGAACCGGGCATAAGCCGATATCTCCGCGTCGTTGCAGGAGGGCGGGGGCGAGGAGCCGCTGCCGGAGGGGGGGCTGAACGGGCACCCCTGCGCGGGCCCGCTGGGCTCAGCCGTTCGGCTGGCGAGCCAGCGGCCCCACTCGGGCTGGCTGCGCGCGCTGGCTCACGGGCTGCGCGCCGGCCGGCGGAACGTCAGCTGGCTGCTGGCTCAGGCACGCCCAACCCTATACATTTCATTGTATACGTAAAGTTTAACTGTGGTAGGGCCGCGCGGCAGCCTCGGCTGTTGCACGAATGGGCAGGCCCGTCCGGGTGAGTACCGCGACCGGCGTGAAGTGGAATCGTCGCACTTCTGCGTTTCGTCCGGTGAGTGAGGTAGCCGGGGCCCGCGTTATTAAAAGGTGGCAACGCATCTGCAACCGGTGTTGCGAATGTCCGTGGGCGGCGGTTATCACTTAACATCAGGTGAACCGCCAGCTCGTTTGCCACTTTCTCACATAAAAAAAAAGTTGACAGGCGACCGGACGGTCTGCAACACTATAACGCCCGGTTTCTGAGACACTCGTCGATCATCGTAGATGTCTACCAATCGGCTGTCAAATGGTTTCCCGAGTTGCCAAAAGGATGGTTAAACACTTTGAATTGATCATTCCGGTCACTAAAAAGATCATTCTTTCTTTTCTTTCTTTCTTTTTTTTTTTTTTTTTTTTTAAAAACATTGCCCTTCCTTTAGGATAACATTATCCTGTGTTGTAAGGACGTTTTACAAACATAAATTACACGCGGACAAACACCCAGATGCGAAACAACTATCTGTAGGTCACACAAATAGTTGTCCCGTGTGGGGATCGAACCCACGACCAGCGACGCCGAAGCCAATAACCTTGGCAACTGCGCCACGGAGACATCATTTCATTCTGATCGATTCAGAGAGTTTAACCATCCTTTTTGAAACTAAAATGAACTTTGTAGTCATTTGACAGCTGATTAGTTGACATTTACAATGATCAGGGTTTCGGAAACCGGTAGGCTTAAGGGCTGCAGATACGTTGCCCACCTCAAATAAAGTGGGCCCTGGCTGCACTCTGTATGGGAGGCTCCCATACAGAATACATGAGGACAAAGTGGAGCACTTAATTATTTTTTATTCTGTTTTTAGCATTTATTGTTACAGCGGCAACGGTAATACATCATCTGTGAAAATTTCAACTGTCCAACCATCACGGTTCATGAGATACAGCCTGGTGACAGACGTACAGCGGTGTCGTAGCAATAGGGTCCCGTTTTCCCCTCCGGGTGCGAAGCCCTAACGGAGTCCGCTTGCAGGTGGCGTGCAACTGCCGCCAGGATCTGGGGCCGTCCGCCGGGGTGCTCGTGCCGGCGCTGCTGGACATGGTGGCCAGGACCTCCGAGGAGGAGGGGCTTCTCAACGGCCTCCACGTCGAAGTGGTACGTATACCCCTTTGCGCGGTCGCCAAGGTATCGGCTCCGGCGTGGTTTCGATTCACGGGACAACCCACATTGGTGGTTTGGTAAATGTTATCTTGTTAATTAATGTTATCCTTGCCAATGTTAGTAAGGTTTATAAAACAAAATTTAAAAAAGGACTTTTTACTTTTAATTCCATCTAACCTTTTGGGGGCTGGTTCTTTAGTTCCGCCATCTCAAATAATATCTGCTTAACTTTGACGACCCGAATGGCGTAGCAGTAAGTACCACGACCTCTCAGAAGACCGGCGTCAATTGGAAGTATAACACTTTCGCGTTTCGTCTGTGAGTGAGGTGGCCGGTGCCCAATTTTCAACAGGTTGTCAATGCATCGGCTACTTTCGGTTGTGGCAGATGTCCATGAGCTGCGGTATCCACTTATCATCAGGTGAACCGCCTGCTCGCTTGGCAATTTTTCACGTAAAATAAAAACTGAACCCACAGCTGGACGCGATCGTGTACTGGCGGGAGGAGGCAGGACGGCTGACGGATGAGGCTGCCACCAGCCTGGGCGTGGCAGTCGAGAGGCTGATTGCCACCTGCGTCAGGAACGCGGGCCATCGCCAGCTGGTGGACGGCCTGGTGGCCAGGCTGGACTCCCTGCTGGAGCTGTACGGCTCCGTCGTGAGGGTCAGCTGGAACTGCTTCCGGGAGTTCGTGGAAGGTGAGCCGACGGTGATCGCCCGTTTTAAATTGAATCAGTTAAAGCGTGTTTCTATTGGGATAGGTTCTGTAAAGTGATTTAACTGGCATTGTAACTGTATGTGACTGATGTGATTTTTCTAGGGTTCCGTACCCAAAGGGTAAAATGGGACCCTATTACAAAGACTTCGCCGTCTTTCTGTCTGTCTGTCGGACACAGCAAACTCTGTGTGTAAATCACTCCTCTGTATTTACACCACTGTAATTACAGTGGTAAATCACTCTCTGTACTTGTCTGTTTCACTAAACACTTGACGGGTGTAAATCGGACTCAGCGTTTCAATGTCTCGCCTTAGGGGGGAACAAGGATTCAGCGCGCGCGTACTTCGAGATGATCAGGTGCGTCACCCGGAGGAGGGTGCCGGTGCCGGAGCTTTTGGGCGGGATGTTGGGGGCGCTGGAGGGGCGAGGGGGCGTCGAGCGGCCGGGGCAGCCGGGCCAGCTGGGCAGGGTGGGGCAGCTGCTGGGCCTGGCCGCGGCGGCCGAGGGGGCGCAGCCCGAGCGGCTGCACCGCCTGCGCAGGCTGCTGGAGCGCCAGAGGGGCGACGCCCAGCAGTACGTGGAGCTGCTGCACGGGCTCCAGTCGGAGCTGCCGGCCGTCTGCGACGCTCAAATCTTCAGGTGGGGGAAGTGGGAGCGGTCCGGAAGGGGAGTAGGGGGCAGTGTTGACTTCACATTTATTTTAGCCGCGGTACGATCACCGCGCAGCAGTATTGGCTGTCCGTCCGTCATCACGTGCCGTTAGGTCAGGTCACGATCTAACACGAGACCGGAGTGAGGTGGAAGTGTTACACTTCTGCGTTTCGTCTCGTGAGTGAAGTAGCCGGGTCACACTTTTTGTGTGTGTGTGTGTGTGTGTGTGTGAACGTGTGTGTGTGTGTGTGTGTGTGTGTGAACGTGGCAAGCGGGTCAGCTGATATTAAGATTGTTTTTTTATTTTTCTTTTATATTTTTTTTTATTTATTTGATACACCAACGAAATGGACGCTGAAAAAATTTAAGTGTACACTAATTATACGGAAAATCATGTTAAGTGCCACATCAATTATAGGTGTATACGACATTTCAATTAAATGTAGTATTTGCATGATAAACAGGATTATTTAAACATTGGTAACTTACAAACGTGTTACTTTCTTTGTAAAATTTTGACGTTTCATAAGAACGCGCAAGCGTCTATGTGAATAAAGATATTTTATTATCATTATTTATTATTGAAAAAAACAACTGTAAAACCAATACATTTTTGTTAGATTTCAAGTATTAAGATAACCGCCGCCCGTGGACATTTGCCACACCCGTAGGGTTGCAAATGCCTTGTGTACTCTTAAATAATAAAGTGGACCCCGGCTACCGTACACCAGACAAGACGAATCGAACGAAACTTGCTCTATTTTAGGGATTTGCGGTGCTCAATCTAAATACATTACACTTCACAAGCAGATCAATTAGATTAACTAATTGGAGTCTTTGAGAACGGACTTAATAATAGATTTAGGTTCCAGATACAAGATTCATGAAAAAAAAAGTTACAAATCCGCAAACAAACAAGAATGTTGTGTTAAATACAATTTTCTATTTACTAATCTGTTTTCTTCGATAACAAAATTAAAACACAAATCAATTTAATAAGCAACATAATCCGGAGGGAACTTGGCGCGGAATATTATTTTTAATTAAACTGTATGTACTAAGGGCGTACACAAAGGAGTCTTATCATTTGGTCAGTGAGGTAAAACAACTTTGTCTTGCTGACATTAAAAAATATATTCCAAGATAATTTAAGTAGCTTCATTAATATACAGGGAAGTTTTTCTAATTGTATCCATTTTTTTTTATTCTAGACATATAAATAATCTTATATAAAAATGATAAATATCACTCGTAATTAATTAAAAGTATACGACGCATTTATGAATGACTATCGCATTGTCAATATGTTCTGTTTTTAGGGAATAAAATGGCAATTTTTTTGAAAAAAAAAATCTTCTTAATCTTCTCCCAACCCTCGATCACCAGGAGCATGGCGGTGCTGGCGTCCAGGTCCGTGGGGAGGGTGCGGGACAGGATGCTCGAGATCCTCGCCGCCCACCTCCGCTGGTCTCCGAGCGAGGAGTGTGGGGAGACGCTGGAGTGCCTGCGACTCCAGGAGTTGGCGGCCAAGGTGCAAACACAAGCAACATAATTGTGATATAAAGACTTCGAGGAAACATAAATTATTTCTACTCTCATCGGCATTGTGTAGAATAAGTAAATCCTTTATGGGACAATGTATACACTTTTATAACAGCATCCCAGAAACCGTTCAAAATGAATAGGTTGCTAAATTAAAAAAAAAAACTATTAAATGAATGTTTGTGTGTTAGAGGCTATTATAGTATTAATGATTATTTAAATGATAACATGTTCTAGAAATACATTGATCCCTCCAGGCTCTTTCAAAGTGGAATTTAATATGCTGTATAAATGTTTGTAATATTTGTCAAATTATGTTGAAAAATATGTCTTGCTGAGTTTCTCACACCGGTTCTTCTCTGGTCAGTGGCTTTTTTCCCCGAACACGTGGTAGTTTTTTTTTTTGTCCATCAATAAATAAGTGTAATGCTTCTACATGTAATTGACATAGCTCGGATGATTAGCAATCTTTAGTGGCGATGGGCCGGCCATATAGCTCGTAGAACCGATGGCCGTTGGGGAAGAAAGGTTCTCGATTGGCAGCCTCGTACTGGCCATCGCAGTGTAGGTCCCCCAACTAGATGGAGTGACGATTTATCAAAATGTGCGGGAAGTCGATGGATACAGGTGGCTGAGGATTGTGCTTTGTGGCAGTCTGAGGCCTGTGATCAACGGTGGACTCGGACAGGCTGGCATGATGATGATGAATGCTTCCATGTTGAATAAAGATATTTGATTTGATGTAATTTTTTTTTATGTGAAAAGTTGCCAAGCAGACGAGCAGACGGTTCGCCTGATGTTAAGGGTTGCGAGGGTTGCGGATGCGTTGACAACCTTTTGAAAATTGGGCTCCGGCCACCTCACTCACCGGACGAAACGCGAAAGTATTATACTTCCACTTTACGCAGGTCTTCTGTGAGGTCGTGGTACTTACCCGGACGAGGATGCCCATTCGTGCAACAGCCGAGGCTGCTGCGTGGCCCTACCACCGTAAAACTTTGATGCAACGAACTTTTTTGTTTATTGCCCACAAAATTTATCTCAACGCCCCGGGTTGCCTGGGAGAGAATGCCTAAAGGCATTAAGTTCGCCCTTTGTAATCCTTGATTAAGGTAATTGCAATTCATAGTAATATTGTAAATGCGAAAGTAACTCTGTCTGTCTGTCTCGCTTTCACGGCAAAACCACTGAACCGATCTAAATGAAATTTGGTACACGGATAGTCTAGAGCCTGAGAAAGGACAGGCTATTTTTCAAATGGGAATTTTTTTTAAAGAAAGATCTTTAACGGTTTTAACGCGAGCCACGGGCGAAAAGCTTTTCGCTTAGTAGAGTATAAATAAAAAAAAAAAATCTAATTTTAAGGGGGATGAGGGTGCGTTGCGCCTGGCTGAGGCGGCGCTGCCGGTGCTGGTCGAGCCTCTGAAGACCTGGTTGGTGGTCAGGTGCGGGGAGCTGTGCCAGGGGGCCGGCAAGGTCAGGAAGGCGGCCGTGGGGGTGCTGCTCAGGGCTTTCGAAGGTGAGGATGTGGAGGATGTTCGTATGGCTTTTTGGGATGAGCCTACGTGATGGTGGAGTGGAGAATACTGGTTTTCTATATGTAAGACGGTTGCAACGTATTTATACATATAAACCTTCCTCTTGAATCTATATAGTTAAAATAAACGCATCAAGATCCGTTGCGTAGTTTTAAAGATCTAAGCATACATAGGGACAGACAGGCAGCGCGTCGACTTTGTTTTATATTATGTAGCGAAGGTGACAAGTGTGCTGGCGGTTAACCTGATGTTGGTGATAACCGCCGCTCATGAACTTTAGCAATACCTTTAGGGCGACAATTGAATTGTCACATTGGTGTCGGCCCAACACAGTCGAGAGAGGCCGTTTTTGATTTGCAGAAAGTCAGAAAGAAAACGTCTACTACACTTACTACTGAATAAAAACAATTTTTCAACCTCGCTACGGAACCTTATTGTACGGTTTAATGGTGTTTTATGAAAAGTTGAATAACAAAACTAGGGTTTTGTTATACAAAGACTTTTATAAACAAAAAGAAAATCTATCGCAACTTATTTAGAAACGCTCGCAACCTATCCGAGTGAAGGGAAAATTTCTCTACTTTTATAAAATGGATGGATAAATTGTGATTACAAAGGAAAATAAAACTCACGACATACCGCTCTGAGATTAGGTGCTTTCAACAAATCAAAAGCGGCCACCACTTATTTTGCACACTGTACACGTATAAAATTATGAAAGCGACAAAGAAGCGCATGCCCTCGCCGTGGGCAGGTCTCCTGCGGCGCGGCGCCAGCGAGCCGCAGCCGAAGCGCCCCGCCGGCCGCGGCAGCGCGCTGCTGCGCCAGCAGTGGGCGCCGCCGCTGGCCGCCCTGGGCCTGGCGCTGGCCTCGCGCGCCGCCGCCCCGGAGAGGCGCCGCGCCGCCGCAGCCCTGCCGCCCCCCACCGCGCCCCGGGAAAGGTCCCCCCTCTTTAATATACCGTCCAGGGACAGCTTGCCCATTTACTTTAATATGCCGGCCAGTGAAGCAACAGCCTGTATATGTCCCACCGCTGGGCAGAGGTCTCCTCTATGCACGAAGTATTAGGACATAGTCCGCCACCCGACCCCACTACGTATATGTGTACTTCACAGATATTTTTTTTTAAAAATATATATTGCGTTTACTGTGTTTTAAACTTTACACCTGTGTTTCACATGATCAATCACTATCAGAGGGGGAGATAGTGTTAAACTTGACTTCTTAGTTATAATGCTATATTATGCCCCTTATTAGTTCAGTCAGTTCTCGTTTACTACAACTCCGTGAGTCGAATATTATGATAAATAAAAATTTAATAAATATTCCGGGACATTTTTACACAACGTTATCTAGTCCCAAACTAAGGAAAGCTTGTACTATGAATACTAGATTACTAATAAACATACGTACTCATCAATAAATATAAATATTCTTCCAGTAGTGAGGATCGAACGCTCTGGCGCTAAAGGCAGTTTCACCACCCACTATTAATTTTTTACGGTGGTAGCCACGCAGCAGCCTCGGCTGTTGCACGAATGGGCAGGCTCGTCCGGGTAAGTACCACGACCTCACAGAAGACGCGCGTAAAGCGGAAGTGTAATACTTTCGCGTTTCGTCTGGTGAGTGAGGTAGCCGGGGCCCGATTTTCAAAAGGTTGTCAACACACCTGCAACCCTCGGGTGTTGCTCTTCGTAAAAAAGTGTCCTGAAGGGAATGCCCTTCAACAGGTTCACCGAGGCGTTCATCATCAGCGTGCACCTGCCGATGACGCACCAGCCGAGCGAGTGCGGCCACGATTCCTTCCTCGCCCTGCTGGAGATATTCTTCGCGGGGGTGAGGGGCTCCGAGGCGCTGCAGCGGCCCCTCAGGGAGGGCGGGTGAGCTTTGGACACCTTCGAAAATGAGCTCTTCAGTAAAGGAACAGTCGTTAACCGACTTCAAAAAGGAAGGAAGGAGGTTTTTAACCTACTTCTAAAAGAAGGTTTCTTCGACCATATATATTTTTATATATAATTTGACCATATATATTTTTATATATAATTCGACCATATATATTTTTTTTTTAACCGAGTTCAGAAAAGAAGGAGGTTTTAACCGACTTCAAAATTGAAAATTGGGCTCCGGCTACCTCACTCACTAGACGAAACGCGAAAGTATTTGTCATAATTCCACTCCACGCGGGTCTTCTGTGAGGTCGTGGTACTAACCCGGACGGGCCTGCCCATTCGTCCAACAGTAGAGGCTCTTGCGTGGCGTTACAAATCTGAGGTATAAATTCAATACGGCTTTGCTTTAATAAAAACTCAATTAATCAATAAAAGTCTTCTCATTAAATTTCAGCAACGCGACATTAACGTCGGAGACTGTCTCGATGGAGGCTGATTCGCGTTCGCAGATCGTTAGCGTTGAAGGTAAATTGTCCCCTCCACTTCATCTCCACCTATCTCCCTTCCCCACCTGTCTCCCTTCCCCACATATTTTTCTATTCTAAATCGTTACACTTTGGAAATTTGCTTTTTTTAGGGTTCCCCCCTATCACTAAGTCTCCGCTGTCTGTCGGTATTCACAGATGATGTATTTCTGTTGCAGCTATAACAAAAAACACTAAAAAACGGAATAAAAAGAATTTTAAGCGCGGCTCCCATACAGCAGACTTGATTTTTTTGGCCGTCTAAAGAAAAAACAATGTCCTTACTGTAGGACAACATTATCCTGTGTTGTAAAAGCCTCTTACAAACATAAATTTCACATGGACAAACACCCAGATCCGAAACAATTATCTGTGGGTCACACTAATACTCGTCCCTTGTGGCAAGCGAACCCACTACCCCCTCCGCCGAAGCTAATACCTTGACAACTCCACCACGGAGTCAACAATCAAAAATTGTGCGTTATTATATTAACACATCACTATTTTTAATAATTAAAGTTGTGGTATGTATAATATATACATGAAATAATTTGTACAAATTTCATAATTAAATTACACATAATATAAGGGTTTAGAGGGATTAATATTAATTTTGAATCTTTAAAATTTGTAGAAAAAGTACGAAAAGATTGTCGCCGCTGTGGGAATCGAATCCACGTCTTCGGCACTCGCGGACTGATGCTTTAGCCACTAAGTCTAGCTTAGCTTAGGCTGTTGCCACACCGACGAAAATCTTAACGTCTTTTATCTTCTACATTGTACTTTTTGCAGAGATTAGCATTATAAAAAAATCTAAATCTATTGTTAATATTGCAGATGCAGTGCCCGAGGAGGCGAAGACGGTGGGGGACGTACTGGAAGCTGTTCTGCAATTCGCGGAGGTGGGTTGGTGATGATCCTTTCATCACCTACACTCTATAGGTGGTGATGGTATTCTGTTCACACGCGACTAGATTTCAAACAAATAAATAAATGTTTTAGGACACATTTTTACACATCGTTGTCTAGTCCCTAACTAAGCAACACTTTTACTATGGTTACTAGATAACTGATAAACATAATTAAATATAACTTCCTTTTATAAATAAATATATATATTATAAGTACACAAACACCTAGACACTGGAAAAACAACATTTATCACACAATATTTTTCCAGTGGTGGGAATCGAACCCACACCCTCTGGCGGAAGAGTCACTACCCATCTTCATGATCACAAAAGAGCCGGTAGAGGGCGCTGATACTAACACAAGGTCGCGTTGTTTCAAGCAGCGGAGTGCGGAGGCCGCCACGGCGCTGTGGCTGCAGCTGGTGTCCCTACTCTGGCGGCTAGGGCCCGGGTTCGATGCCGGCGCGCTGCTAGCGCCTTTGCTGCGTAACGCTGCGCCCGCTCCCCTGCTGCGCGCCTGCAGCCTGCTGGCGGACGAGTGCTGCGCTGCGGACGGGTGCGGGGATGCCTGTTCCTGGTCGAGGCTCGTGGAGTCGAATCCCGGCTGAAGCCCACTGGCTGCTCAGGGTCGAGGATCTGCTTGTCGGGTTCGAATCCCGACTGAAGTGGTTTACATACAACCATAACCAGAACATTTGTCTGTGGGTCGCACAAATACTTGTCCCGTGTGGTAATCGAACACACGACCACCAATTCCAATAGTCTCAGCAACGGCACCACCGTGTCATCTGAAATGAAATAGTAGAATGCTTTTTTCTTAATTTCTTATCATTTCTTTAGGTGAGCTGAGATAGCTCAGTGTCCGGGCGCTCGCCTTTAATTCAATATACTCGAGCAACCTGAGTTCGATCCCCGGTGCCGGCACCAATGAAATTGTTAATTTTAAGTGCTGACTTATCATGTGCTCAGGGATGAAGGAAACATGTTTTTGAAATAACATAGAAAATAAAATAAAAATTCGAAGATATGTAAAGTCCGCCAATCTGCAGTGGGGCCGCGTGGTGGACTATGCCCTGATACCCTCTGTACAGAGGAGGCCTTTGCCCAGAAGTGGGACGTATATGAGCTGTTACTTTTCTTTCTTTTACTTCAGGTTCAAGGAGACAGTAGAGAGGTTGATGGCATCTTCGAGGGGCGCCGAGGGTGGCGAGCTGGTGAGACTTCTTCACGAGGATGTGCTGGTGCGAACCTCGGGAATGGACTACTTCTTCTTGGGGTAGGCGGCTGTTTGAATACTCCGTGGCGCAGTGGCCGAGGTATTGGCACCGGCGCGCGGTCGTGGGTTCGATTCTCACCACTGAAAGAGTACTTTATGATGAAGATAGTGGTATTCTAGTGTCTTATATGTATTCATTTATAAAAGATAAGTTTTTTTAAAGTAAGTTTATCAGTTATGTGTAAAAATATGTCCTGAAATAGAGTCATGTTGAAACTTGTTACGTTTTCAGGAAAGCAGTCGAAGAGAGCGGTGACTGTGAAATCGGTGACTAGAGAGTTCTCATTGAAAGGTCAGCATTCAAACCCATAAATCAAATTCGAAAGCTCTTGTAAGATCCAATAGATGGCATCATAAGCGCTTGTTTATAATGTTATTTATGTAAATCGACCGATAGATGGTGCTGTTTTACAATTAAATCCTGGTGTGGTTTCAACGTTTTGTGTAATTATATGTAGAACAAATGGACGCAAAGCATTCCGCCGCTGCGGGAATCGAACCCACGTCTTCCTAATGTTTACTCAGACGCTTTAACCGCTAAGTTGATTAGCACGCCGAAGAAATTCTAAATGTATTTTGTCTACATTGTTTTTTCGCATTTTAATTATTGCTTGACGCATTTATTGCATGTTATGCATTTGGTAATGTGTTAATGGTTTTTTTATTGATTTGATGTACTTTTTATGCATTATTTGAAAAAAATATTAACATTCTGCACTCTATAAACTATATGTGTAGGGAAATTTCATACTCCTCCGTCCGCGCAGTTTTCTTAAAAAGAGGTACAAAGTTTTTGCTTACACATGACACGACCATTCCGACGAACATAGTTTTTTTTGTTCACCTAATGTTAAGTGAATACCGCCGCCCATGGACATTTGCTACACCCGAGGGTTTGCAGGTCCGTTGAGAACCTTTTGAATTGGGCTCCGGCCACCTCACTCACCAGACGAAACGCGAAAGTATTACACTTCCATTTTACGCCGGTCTTCTGCGAGGTCGTGGTACTAACCCGGACGAGCCTGCCCATTCGTGCAACAGCTGAGGTTGCTATGTGGACCTACCACAGTTATCAGATAGCTAGTGCCGGATAGGTGGCTCTGGTGGCGGCGATTTATATAATTTGAACAATATGTCGAATTGATTATACAGGGTGGCTTTTCTAAAGGTGCCCAAGTTCATTGAAATAAAAACAAACGTTTTTTTTTTTAAAATTGCCATTTTATTCCCTAAAAAACAGAACATGTTGACAATGCGGTAGTCATTCATAAATCCCTAAATTTTACTGTGCACGAACTTATGTGCGTGTTAGTTTGTATGATCGCGCGTAAAAATAAATGAGTTGCGTATAAATCACGCACTTTTTGAGAAAAGTTCAAATGAATGTAATTAATTAATTAAGAGTGATTTTAAATATTTGTCATTTTTTAAAAGCCTCCCTGTATAATGCACGTAAGATTTTTGTAGGTGAAGCAAACCTCAAATGACATGCCCTTTGCTTCTTTACCTTCAGAACTGGTCGACTCCTTTGGGACGCTGTCGGACTGGGACCAGCTGACGCTGCAGCAGAAGGGGTCTTTGGAGCGGCGGCTCCCCCCCCTGTGGGCGGACCCCACCACTTTCGAGGCGCAGTTCGAGAAATGGGCAGGTACGAGGATGGAGAGCATCCGCTGTATGCGAGTTCCACGGTTGAGCCCAAATGGATAAGTAGGGAGAGACCAATTTTGGTAGGGCGACACCAACGATAATGATAGGGCAGGGTTACACGTTGCTCCGCGAGCTGTGGAGATTAGAAGTGAGGTGTATATGTCGAAACTTGTTAATATAACAGATATCTCGAGATAATAAGACTGTTACGAACAAACTTAAATAACAGTTCCTATTCCACACAAATTCCTCCTTGTCACGCAGTCACAAGCTTTCCTTCATTCATGCTTACGACTGTTACCTTAGTTAGAAAGAGATAAAAACGGTTACACCTTCTCACAGATGTTACTGAACACTCACTGTCACAAGCTCTGTCTTTTTATTGCATCGGTCGTATAGCTTTGTTAGAAAGAGAAGTACGGACGTTACATCGTACGTCTACATCCATATGTATACATTATAAGCACAGATAATAAACATCTTACCCACAGCGGAGGACCCAAACCAGTGGGTTATGGCTAGCCCACCGGTTCTGCGTCAGATGAAGCTTTAGTAGTCTCGGAACGGAAAGCAAAAACATCAGTTAATACAAGATACAAGAAGAGATAATTAACAAGAAACCACGCTTGTATCTCTGTCGGCAGATGCCACGCCCAGCGGTGGGGCTGGGTGGCTGGGCAAGATGGCGTCCGCGTGGCGCTCCGATTCGCGCCGCGGTCTCGGCTGGCTGCAGACCCTCAGGCTTGGAGACGGCTCACACTTTGCCGCTGCGGCGGTGAGACAACTTAATAATTATCCTAACCATGTATCGCTAGTATCGACCCCCATCATCGTCTTGAATAGAATAAAAAATGAATATTTCATGTCACATTTTTACTTGTTGTCTAACCCTAAACTAGACTGGTGGCTCGTCTAGTTATAAAGGGTTTTTATAATCTAAATGAATACATTAATGATATTAACACATGGAAATGAGTTTTTTCTATTTCTTAAAAGAAAAAAAAGTTTCAAGGAAAAATGACGGAAAAGAGGATGCCTACGGAATTTCTAAGTGACGAACCGGGGCTAGATTTATAAAATAAAAAACCGGCCAAGTGCGAGTCGGACTCGCGAACGAAGGCTTCCGCATCTATTCAACTGGCAAAAAAATCATGAAAAAATCACTTAAATATTTGTTTATTCGGTTATTTTTTAGTTCTTCAGACTTATTTTTTAGTTTGTTGTTGTAGCGGCAACAGAAATCATCGTCTGTGAAAATTTCAAGTGTCTAACTATCACGGTTCATGTGATACCTGGTGTCAGACGGACAGACAGACAGATATACATAAAATATGTATATAAATTATAGCTTATGTGCTATTCTGAGGTATAAGCTATATTATTGAAAAGTTTCAATAAAATCCATTCAGTAGTATTTGCGTGAAAGAGTAACAAACATCCATCCATACATACAAACTTTCGCGTTTATGATATTAGTATGGAAGTAAGGATTTGTTGCGATTTGATTTACCTGATGATGTTTTGACGCAGACAGTGGAAGCGGTGGCGCTGGAGAGGATTGCGGACGACGAGGCGACGGTCACCGTCCGCCGTCTGCTATGCGACATACGAGAGAGGGACTGCCTCGCCGAGTGGGCCGCCAGGCTGATGGCCAGGTGATGGTCACCGTCCGTCGGGGGATCCCACGGCCAATATGACTGTCGCAAACGGAGGTGGTCTTTTCCAACGGCTGTGCACAATAGGAAGCTCGGTGGTTCACGTGATGTTGAGAGATAACGGCCACTCATGGACATCTATTAACGGTGGCCACGCAGCAGCCTCGGCTGTTGCACGAATGGGCATCCTCGTCCGGGTTAGTACCACCACCTCACAGAAGACCGGCGTGAGTGAGGTGGCCGGAGCCCAATTTTCAAAAGGTTGTCAACGCATCTGGAAATCTCGGGTGTAGCAGATGTTTATGTGGTATTCATTCAACATCTGGTGAAACGCCTGCTCGCTTGGCAATTTATCACTTAAAAAAAATACAAATACCCCGCGGACAAACACCCAGATGCTAAACAACTATATGTGGGTCACACAAACAGTTGTCCCCGTGTGGGAATCGAACCCACGACCCCCGACGCGGAAGTCGGTACTTTGGAAACTGCGCTACGGAGTCATCGACTAATATTCATGTCGAGGAATTGGCCCACGCTCGACGGGGAAAGGACCACATCTCAATTCTCCCACCCACCCTCAATATATGGATGACTCCGTGGCGCAGTTGCCAAAATACTGACTTCCGCGTCGGGGGTCGTGGGTTCGATTCCCACACGGGACAAGTATTTGTGAAACCCACAGATAGTTTTTTCGCATCTGGGTGTACGTCCGTGTGAAATTTATGTTTGTAAAACGTCCTCACAACACAGGATAATGTTATCCTATAGTGAGGGCAATGTCTTTAAAAAATAAATAAAATAAAGAGAGAAAAAATCCCTTCGTCCAGGTGCGTGTGCCTCGGATCGCGGCTGGCCGAGCAGCCGGAGGCGCTTAGCGCGAGCCGTTCGCTGTCCCTCTCGCACGCGCTGCGTTGGTGCGCGAGCGCGAACGAGATGGCGCTACCGTCGCAGGTGCTCAATTGCCTGCGGACCATAGACAAGTAAACTGCTCTCCAGTTTAAGCTTTACTACGGCAAACGAAATTAAATGAACGAGCTTTTCTTGGCAGAAAGAAATACGAAGTCTGGTGAATTAACAGTCAATCTGTTCAATTAAACTTAAATTAAACTCTGTTCAATTAAAATTCAAAAAACAATAATATTATTGTTGTAATATCCACTATACTCGTGATACGTAAAGAATGAAAGGCCATAATTTGTAGAGTAACTGTCTTTCATTTAAAAAAAATGTCAATGGCATAATCATAATTTATTCTTTATAAGAAATTTTTAAACGGAAGATTTTTAAATGCTCATTTATACTACTTGTATTAGTTTTCAAAAGTATATTATATGACACATTACTACTTTCCAGTAGGACATTATTACTTTCCAGTAGGTAGTATGTATGTGAGAACTGGCCAATTGTTGAGTAAAAAATATTGACATACGGTTTAATGGTACATGTATTAGTATTTTTAGTCTCGTCTCGGTGCAAACTTACTTTACTCCAACCGCAGGAAGGAGCGCGGTTCGTTGGCCTGGCTGAACCAGGAGCTGACCGCCCTGAGGAGGCTGGCGCTGAACAAGGGTGATGTGGAAGGTCTCTCCGTGACATTAAAAAGGGCTGGTAAGGGAACGGGAGTGGTTTCAATCGGCCGTTCTTAAACTGTATAACATAGTCATGTACTATCTTCACTGCATAGTATAAAACAAAGTCATCCCGCTGTCGGTCTGTCCCTATGTATGCTCGGATCTTTGAAACTATGCAACGGATCTTGATGCGGTTTTCTTTAATGGATAGATAGAGTGATTCAAGAAAAAGGTTATTTATAATTCATGCATAATACAATAGAGAAACACTGATAATTTTAGAGGTTTCTAATGCTATGTCGAAAACAAACGTTCAGCATTGCACCCACGCGAAACCGGGGCGGGTCGCTAGTTATGTATGTAATTCATCTGTACGTGTGTATGTCACTGAACTCCTCCTAAACGGCTGGACCGATTTTAATGAGATTTTTTGTGTGTCTTCAGGTCAATTCGAGAATGGTTTATTAAGAATTCGGGACACTAAAACTTTTTATTTATTTATAAGTTCTAGGAATTATGTTTTGTGTACAGGACAACGACAGTTGGGTCCGCCAGTTTAACATATTAATGTTGACTTTAGATTTTTAATGTCAAATTGTGTGTTCTGTATTTATATTGTGCATTACTCTCTTTGCTTTTTGCCATTTTTATTATAGATAAAAATAGGGTTTTTGTAATTGAAAGTTGTGTATGCCTATAATTGGCAAGTAAATATGCAATGTTATTTTTCTTTCAACCACTCTTATGGGCTTTTATATAATATTTACTGTTGGTATACCTAATAAAGAAAAAAAAAACAGAAAAAGAAGAAAAAAAACTTTCGGGCTGCGGGATTCGAACCTGAGTCTTCTGGTTTCACGCCCAGTCGCTTTACCAACTAAGCTAAGTCAATGACCCCCCGTATTTAGTTTATCTCAAGACGAGGATGTTTCTTTCATCGTATTTGTGTCTCAAATTTTATTTACGAATTTTAGGAAATTCGTAAGAGTCCCATTCTAAGAATGTATAAATATTTTAACACTAGCTTCTGCCCGCGACTTGTTACTTTTTCTTGTGAAATTAAGAAGAAATGTTCTTAATTTCAGAAGTCGAAGCGGTTTTGTACCGAGAGGGCGCCCCGTTGGAACATTTCATTGGGATCAACAATCTAGAGTTGTTGCTGAACAGAGATTTGAAATGTAAGCCTATAAGATTTTTATATTTAACTCTATCTATAATGTGAGTGTTTTTTATGAACCACTAGCATTTTGTCTGGGTTTTTTATTATATTAACAGCATGTCCTGTGTGTAATTTTGTCGGCTTATATTTATGACCTTTTTGGAACGACCGTGGTCTGACTTTTTAGCTTGTATTTTTGACCTCTTTATTAACGATCAAGTTCTAACGTTTTGGCTAGTATTTGTGACCTTTTTTTAAATGATCGTGGCTTTTTAGTAACTATTTGGTTCATATTTATGACCTTTTGAACAACCGTGACCTTTTAGCCTGACTGGTTATGGCGAATGAATAAGGTTTTAATATTTATTTTAAGTATCTTAATTCTCTCTCTAAGCATGCTTTGGGAATGTATGTTCTATTTATTTTCCTAATAATTTTGTACATTTATGGTAGCCTTCTTATTTTAGGAATTTTTTTATATTAGGAATATTCGTTCTGTCTTATTTGTCTTACCGAAGATTTGATATTAATATATATGGTACTTATAAGTTTCACGGTTCGATTTTCGACCTAGTGATTTTGTTACTGCTGTCCGAGGTCCCGGGTTGTATGCTTTCGGCATACCTGTGCTGGCTTAAATACGAAATAAGTTGCCAAGCGGGTCACTAATCATCCGCCCATGGACATGACCTGAGCTGTGGCAATTATCAAAAACTAAACATAGATGAAACAAAAAAGAAAATGAAGACATAAACATCATGTCAATACATATATACAATAAATGAACACACTTCTAACGCTACTTGCCAATAATTATAAAAATATCCATAATTAAAAAAAAAATCAAACGAACTAATTAAATAAAAAAGAAACAAAATTTGCAACATCATATACAACTAACTACAACTGATTGATTCATACATTCAGAGAGTTTTTCATTCATTGCCACAATGTCGCATCACAAGTCTCTCCTTCTAACAGTATGTTTTATCTCTTTTAAATTTATTCATCCAATTCATATATGCTTTGTGACCTTTACAAATGAACTTTACGTTGCAGTTTTATATGTAAGGATGTTCTAAAATTGTTTGTTTTTGGAAATTTAATAACTCTGTAAATATTGATGTTTAAAAAAAGAGAATGTTTAATAAAATTTTAGCGCCACGTTGTATATGAGCTTATTTGATGGCAGATGCATTGGCACTATTTAAAACTGTGGGTCCTGGCTACCTCACTTGTCGCTCTTCTGCAAAGCTGTAGTGCTCTACCGTTCTCATTTAATGAATTGTCTTTCAGCTCTCAGCAAGGAGAAGATGAAGACCACACTGGACGCGACACTACGAAGGTGTTCAGAGACAAAGGGGCCTTTGGTGGGGCGCAGCAGGAGGGAGCTCCAGTTCATGGTGCTGGTGGTCTCGAGCAGTACGACGCCCTGTGGGAGCAGGCCTCGGGTGAGTGGCATCACTGCTCTTTCAAAGTCAAGGTCAAGGTCAAATATCTTCATTCATTACAGGAGCATTACACTTACTTATTGATAGTCAAAAAACTCTACAACTGGTTCGGAGGGAAAGCCTGAGAAGAACCAGCGTAAGAAACTCAGCGGGACATTTTTTGTTTTAACTTGACAAAAAATTACAAACATGAGTACAATTTATTACATTCCACTTGAATATGGAGCGATCAATTCATTTCCAGAGTGTGTCATTATTCACACACTAATACTATAACACATCGCTAATACTATAATAGCCATTAACACACAAATGTTCCTTTTCTTCAAGTTTTTTTGCTCTTTGGAACATTGCCTATACTTTAGGATAACGTTATCCTGAAGTTTAAGGACGTTTTACAAACATAAATTTCACGTGAACGAACACCAAGATGCGAAACTACTAGGTCGCACTAATAGTGTGGGAATCGAACCGGGGAAACCTTGGCAACCGCGCCACAGAGTCAAAGTCTGGGCAAAACGGCGTGTACCCAAGTATTAGGGCGCAGTATATTCGAGACATTTATTTTTTTTAAAGTACACGTAATGAACATTCTGCGAGGTCGCGGCACATACCCGGACGGACCTGCCCATTCGTGCAACAGCGAAAACCGATTTGTGGCCCCATCGCCTTGGATTAAAAACATATGTACCTATTATTTTATTTTATTATTCAACTTACCTTAGGTCGCCTCTATTTTAACCTCGCTGGTATCCCATATATATGCCCTGAAACGTTTCAGCCGGCGGGGAACGCGACTCAATCCTGACGGACATGGCGCACACCCTGGACTGGGCGCTGGCTCTGGGCCTGGCGCTGGACTACGCCGCCCTAGCAGACCTGATGCTGCACAGGGTCGGCTCTTCCCAGGCCATCGGCGAGGAGGCGGCCCGGGCGGTCGTGAAACAGGTGCGGCAGCCACGGAACAGTCTCCGCTGTTGCACGAATGGGCAGCTCCGTCCGGGAGTGCCACGGCCTCATCACTTGTGCTTTGCGTCTGCTGAGTGAGGTAGCCGGGGTCCGCTTTGTTGAAAGGTGGCAACGCATCAGCAGTCCTAATGGTATTGCAAATAAATTTTAAAGTTTTTTATAGTGCTAATCTCTGCACCTAAGTTTGAACATTAAAACATGTAGAAAAAGTACGAAAAGATTGTCGCCGCTGTGGGAATCGAACCCACGTCTTCGGCATTCGCGACCTGACGCTCTAGCCAGTGAGCTAAACGGCTGATAGCGTCAGATTAGCACTATAAAAAACTTTAAAATTTATAAAAAGCAATGGCGACATCTCTCGTTCGAATTATCGTCGTAAAACGATATTCGAAATTGTTTGTATGCTGGAAAGGATATAACAATAGATTCGCCAAGCATTGCTTCAAATGCTAAATAACAATGTAGAAAGAAGGCGTTAAGATTTCCGGCGCTGTGGCTATCAGCCGTTTAGCTCAGTGGCTAGAGCGTCAGGCCGCGAATGCCGAAGACGTGGGTTCGATTCCCACAGCGGCGACAATCTTTTCGTACTTTTTCTACATGTTTTAATGGTATTGCAAATGTCAATGGGCGGCGGTTATATGGTGAACCTTTATGTTATGGTCTGTAACACTATTTAATTCATACTTTTATGATGATTGTAAGTTTATGTAAAGATAAAAAAAAGTGGGTACTTTTTAAGCACGTTATAAAATAAGTATTGTGGTAGCTCACTGTATGTGAATACCTAAATCCACAAAATGGATGATATTTTATCACACATCGAGGATAAATATGAGTATAAAAGTATAAAAAATTTCTAGATGCAAATACGTGGAGCACATACTTAAAAACATCCATGGAGGACCTACAAATAATTCACCTAAATATTCGTTCTCTTAGGAAGAAGTTTAATGAATTGCTAATATTGTTTGAGCGCACTAATTTTAGTATAGACATTTTATTATTAAGTGAAATAAATATCAGACAAGCGGAGTTGCCGTTATATTGTATAGATGGGTATGATATGCGCGGGTTTACAAGAGAAAATCGACGAGGAGGAGGCTTGTTAGTGTACTCCAAAAATGAAATGCGCCTGCAAACAGTAAACCCGCAAAGCTGTGGTTTGGAAATATTGCACGGTCAACTTAACAGCTCTTGACACCACCATACACATAATCGCCGTATACAAACCGCCAAACACAAATGAGTTACGCTGTATTCAAGAATTATCTGTACTAATTAAGCAAATTAACGAATACGAGGACGTCATTATTGCAGGTGATATGAATATCAACTTATTAGAAAAAAAATACAACCATCGATAAATACAAAAACGCAATGTATAGTTACGGAATACAGAGCGTTAGCAGTGAATGTACTCGCGAGGAAATATTAGCCGGTAGAGTCGTAACGTCGTGCATTGATCATGTGCGGGTACGTACACTCAGCCGCCGATTCGTTTCACATATGTTTACGTGCAAATTGTCGGATCACTATATGGTATGTGTAAGTATTACCAAAGAATCAAAAGGGGTAAATAGAATAAGTCTTACTAGTGGCCGTGATAGCTCAGTGTCCGGGCGCTCGCCTTTAATTCAATATACTCGAGCAACCTGAGTTCGATCCCCGGTGCCGGCACCAATTAAGTTTTTAACTTTAAGTGCTGACTTATCACGTGCTCCGCGGTGAAGGAAAACATCGTGAGGAAACCTGCATATTTTCGAAATAATAACAAAAAAATTTTTCGAAGATATGTCCGCCAATCCGCAGTGGGGCCGCGTGGTGGACTATGCCCTGATACCCTCTATATAGAGGAGGCCTTTGCCCAGCAGTGGGACATGTATAGGCTGTTACTTTACTTTACTTTTTTACTAGTGGCAAAAATAATATGTACACTTTGAATAATAAAGTAATAACTCGTGAGTTAGAGCAGGTTGATTGGAGTAAGCTCGTAGGGATGGACTGCCCTTTGATAATTTATGAACAATTGTGTAATGTTTTTGCACCTATCTACGATAAGGCTAAAGTTAGCCTTAATTGTGATAGAAAAAAACGAGTAATACAGCCGTGGATCTCTAAAAAAATTAAAATATTTATTTATTTATTTATTTATTTATTTACTTCACCAACAAGATACACATCAAAACAAGCTTAAAACATAAATAAGTACCTACATAGTATCTTCAACTAAATGGTATCTCAATTACAGGTGAAACGACATTCAAAAGTTATTATATTGACAACTGCTAAAAAAAGAATAATAAAAAAATAATAATTGAAGTATGCTAAATGCTAACAAAGAATTAATACAGTAGTTGACTGACTTTACACTAAAATAAACATATAATCAAAACCGAAAATAACATAATTTTTAACAAAATAACAAAAAAAGAAAACTAATTACTAATTAAATAAAAAACTGTAAGTGGACAGATTTCTCTTGAACTTGTCTATGCTGTCGTTAAAAATGTCTATGGTCATATAAGTACCAGACAATTTATTGTAAGTTTTTGACAAATGGTTGAGTGATAAGTTATTGCCAAGATTCGTTTTAGAGCGATGAGTTGCAAACATTTTTCTGACTTTAATGCGTTTCAATCTAGAGGGAGCTGCTAAATTAATACGTGTCAAAAGTTCAGGACAATCCAATACACCGTTGATAAGTTTATACGAGAACAGGTTGTCTAATATACATCTTCGCTCGACGAGTGTTTTCATTTCAAAATGATTTAGCCTGCCACTATAGTTAGGTAGTTTTTTTTGCTAAACTATATTTATACGCTAGATGCCACATTTTTTTTTTTTTTTATTGTTTTTAAAAACATTACCCTTACTTTAGGATAACATTATCCTGTGTTGTAAGGACATTTTACAAACATAAATTTCACGCGGACAAACACCCAGATGCGAAACAACTATCTGTGGGTCACACAAATAGTTGTTCCGTGCGGGGATCGAACCCACGACCCCCGACGCCGAAGCCAATACCTTGGCAACTGCGCCACGGAGTCATCACATAAAACGTTTCTGGACGCTTTCTAGTCTTTTTACATAAACGTTGTAAAATGGGTTCCACACAACGCTGCAGTATTCCAAACCACTGCGAAAGATATTGATAGATAGAAGAGATTATTTATTCCGGAGGTGGAAGACTAGTCCTCAAAATGTTACTTATAGATTAGAATATACGAACACACAGAAATCAAACAAATAAAATTATTAACAAAGCTAAAAATAATTATAGAAGGCAGGAACTATCACGCTGTCAAGGAGACTTTAGGAAATTATGGGAAACAATAAATTGCTGGCTAGGTAATAGTAAAAATAGCTTAGATGACGTAGTAATCAAGTATCTAGGAAAAATCTATTGTTTAAGTGACATACGTTCAAAATTCACACAAACATTTGCAAAAGAAATTGATAAAATAAAACATCAATGTAATATTAAGTCCTATGTAAAATCGAGTGATACCAATTTTTATTATAAAAAGGTAACCGGAAATGAAATAAAAAAAAAAAATTAGTCAACTAAATAGTAAAAAAATCACCAGGTTTAGATGGAATAAGGCCGCAAGATCTGATTTTAGTTAAAGAAAAAATAAGTCCAATATTAGCAAAATTTGTAAACCTTAGTTTTAAAACAGGCTTATACCCAAACAGTTTAAAAAAGTCTATTATCCGCCCTGTTTATAAGCAAGGAGACCATTGCAATATTGTCTGTTATCAATAAAATAGTGGAGAAAGTGATAGTTAAGAGAATTAGTGAGTATCTAGAAAAGAACTGCATAATTATAGAAAAGCAGCACGGATTTAGAAAATTACGTAGTACATCGACGGCCTTATCTATTTTCACCGACGACATCAACGAATGCTTAGGTAGTAAGCAGTATGTATTTCTTTTATTCATAGATTTTAAAAAAGCGTTTGATACGCTGGACCATGAGCAGCTGTTGGTGGCTATGGAAGAGTGCGGAATCCGCGGGCCAATCAGCTCATGGTTTCGTAATTATTTACATAACAGAATGTTGTGCACAAAGATGAAAGAAACCATTTGTCATGGTAAATTAGTTAGTACTGGAGTTCCTAATGGCTCTGTGTTTGGCCCTGTGGGCTATATCATGCATGTAAATAGCATGGTAAACGTTGTAAAAAACTGCAGAACATACATGTATGCTGACGACACATGCATGATGTATGCTGACAGGGATATAAAGGTGATTGAGAACAAAATACAATCGGATTTTGATAACGTAATCAAATGGTCCCACGATAATGGAATAATTTTAAATATAGAGAAAACGAAATGCATGCTCATTCCATCGCCATATCTGCATAAACCATGTTTACCTATAAATATCATAGGCCATTCGTATGATTGCTTGCATAGAAATAAACAATGCATTGGTTGTAAATCGATTGATAATTACAAATATCTAGGATTAACCACAGATACTAAGTTTAGTTGGAATTTCCATATAGAACGAGTATGTAATAAATTAAGATCGTTATTATGTAAGTTTGTACACCTTAAAAGTGTTGTTGATAAAAAGAACTTTACGCATTCTGTACTATGCTCTCGTGGATTCTGTAATTAATTACGGCCTTTCAGCCTATGGACGTACGTTCCGAACGTACATGGATAGGATACATAATGTTCAAAGTAAAAAAAAAGTAAAGTAACAGCCAATACATGTCCCACTGCTGGGCAAAGGCCTCCTCTATACAGAGGGTATCAGGGCATTGTCCCACGCGGCCCCACTGCGGATTGGTGGACTTCACATATTTTCGAAATATATATTTTTTTGTTATTATTTCGAAAATATGCAGGTTTCCTCACGATGTTTTCCTTCACCGCGGAGCACGTGATAATTCAGCACTTAAAGTTAAAAACTTCATTGGTGCCGGCACCGGGGATCGAACTCAGGTTGCTCGAGTATATTGAATTAAAGGCGAGCGCCCGGACACTGAGCTATCACGGCTCATAATGTTCAACTAAGATTTATTAAACTGTTAGTTAATAAGCAAGCTAAAGAGAAAAGTAAGGGTAACTACAATCTATTGTTTAAGAAATGCAGTATTCTACCAGTACGTGAAAAAACAAAAAAAGTATTTATTATTTATTAGCAATTGAAGGATACGAAAGTAAATTTTTAGTTAGGAAATCAAATTACTTTGGTGAAAGGACGCGTAGGTATTTAGTGCCAAGAATATTTAATGAAAACGTGCCACAAGAGGCCTGTCGGACAAAACAAATTTTTAAAAACAAATTGAAATATTGGCTATTGAACGCTATCGACGACCTGTAGTATTAGTAGTAGTAATATTTAGTTTATTATTAATTATTAATCTTAATTATTTTTTATTAATCTTTATTCATTATTAATTTAATTAAAGATTTTCCTTTTTTTCTATATGGTACTTTAGGGTACTTTACCTGCTTAGTCTTTAGTTTTTAATTACTTTATATGTTTACTAATATGTTTTGTATTAAAATTTATAAAGTTTTAAATTTAAAGTATTAAAATGCAATTGTAAACCTTAATGAGTGCAGTTTCGCCAATAGACTGTATTCTCAGTTTGGCGAACTTAATGTTTTTTGAACCAATTGTATTTACTATGTTAATAAATAAATAAAAAAAAAATGTAGTACATGCGAGTGGAGCCGCGGTCTAAACACTAGTAATACGTACTATTCGTGCATAGTAAATAACTTGTCACCCGTCCCTCCAGCTGGAGACGCTCGCCCAGCTGCTAGACGAGTTCGCCGTGGACGCCCTGAAGGGCAGCGCCCCCGCCCTGGGCGCTGCGGCGTCCCGCCTCGTGGAGGAGCTGCTCCGCGAGGAGTCGGCAGCCGGCCTGGCGAGGGGCTGGCTGCAGCTGGTGGCCGACCCCGAGCACTCGCTGCTCCACTACTGCAGGGAGCTCCACAGCGCCTCAGAGAGGGGAGGTACAGCTGGATGGAGTGGAAGCGGTCGACGAGTCCCGACGGCCACTCGATCGCTCAGATATTTTTATTGAAATAGACGCTTGCGCGTTCTTAGGAATCGTCAAGTTTTACATACAAAATCATACATGTAGGTTGGTAAAGTTACCAGTTCGAAAAGCAGTCTCTGTTGAGAAGACGCCGGCAAGAACAAAGCAACAGTTGCTCATTTTCAAAAATATCAACATACCGGCAACATAATAGTCTTTTTCTAGCCTACGCGAGTATCGACAGTATCAACTCGACACATTTGCTTCGTCGAGATTGCGAGACTGCAACCGAAGGAGCAAACGAGCTGGCATTTCACCTGATGTTAACTGAGAACTCCAAGTCGAAATTTTTTTATTCAACATAGGCTTATTTTAAGCTGTTAATGAACGTCAAAATTTCACCGGTTCACTTAAATATACCCGCAAGGGAGAAACCGGCATGTAACTCTGTTGTCATATTACAATTTTTTTTAATAAATTATTTAATTACACGAATAATTGTTTAATTACAAAAGTATTTAAGTATAAAATTAGCAGGATCCAGGGGACTTGCAAGTGCAGAGCGAGAGTCCTGCTGCCCACGGACATTTGTAATACCCTTAGGGTTACCTATATGCGTTGCTAGCCTTAATAAAGTTGGCCCTGGCTACCTCACTCGCCAGACGAAACGCAGAAGTGTAAGACTTGTTCTGTGAGGTCGTGACAATTATTCGGACGGACCTGCCCATTCATGCAACAGTGACCGGTTGCGTGGCCCTACCGCCAAAGATAAAATATGTAACAATTTAAGCATAAAGAACACAGGAGCAGAATTTTTTTCTGTAAGATGATGTGCAACACGAACATTACGGTAAAAAAAAAATGTTATTAAAATTAAAAGCTGACATCACTGGCTGTCTCGCTTTGTCCTATTGGCTGATAAAAGAGTCTCTCTTGCAGATGGCGCCGCCTGGGCGAACGCCTTCGGGAGAATGAGACGGAAGATGTTCGAGAACCCCCACGCCGGCCCCGACTACAAGGTGCTGGGCAAGCACCAGGGCGCCCTCTACGCCTTGGAGGACTTCGGTGAGGAGCAGGCCAGTCCCACGGCTGGGCGTGGCAGCACGCCACCTTTAAGTAAAGTGGGCCCCGGCCACCTCGCTCACTTCTACGCCGGTTTTGCCGTGAGGTAGTGGTACTTACCCGGACGGGCCTGCCCATTCGTGCAACAGTGAACTGCTGCGGGGCCCTACCACACCTACTTGTTGGCCTCCGATCCTGCCACGCACCACGCCATCGCAGAATGCTGAAGATTCTACGCTTATGACACATCGACGCGACAAGCTGATGCGACACAATGAAATTACACCTATTTTTGCCAAGAAAAAATTAAAGCTATTTCATATATGGCACTCGCTGTGCACTTTCTATTAGATTTTGAGGAGTTTCCTGATGTGTTTTCGTATCCCAAGGGTCAAGTAACGATGAAATTAACGAAGCCAAACCGAACCCAACGCAAGAGAAATTTTTGAAACCTCTCCATAAATCGGCGAGTTCTGAGGTGTCAAACACAAAAGTGTACAATCGAAACCCATACAATAGAAAACCTCCTTTTTTGAAGTCTGTTCAAGCGTATACGTTTTGCTATCCGTTCGAAGCCGGGTCGAGTTGTTAGCTATATTATCGTTCACTCAAAGAAAAACAAAAAGCATAAAAATATACAAGCGAAATAATAAATTAAAAAAAAATAAACTTGACTACGTTCCGCTAACACAAAAAGCATAAAAATATACAAGCGAAATAATAAATGTAAAAAAAAATAAACTTGACTACGTTCCGCTATCCGTGCGTAGTCGGGGCGGGTATTTAGTTGATTACTAGCTGCTGCCCGCGGCTACGTCTGCGTAGAATAAGCTGATGGCGTAACATTCAGATAGAAAGACAGATATACATAAAAATATATATATAAATTATAACCTGCGTTATTCTGATGTATAAGCTATATTATTGTAGAGTTTCGTTAAAATCCATTCAGCAGTATTTGCGTGAAAGAGTAACAAACATCCATCCATAAATACAAACTTTCGCCTTTATAATATTAGTAAGGGTAAGGAAGTGAGGATGTATATATATTATCCCTCAGTCCACTAGATAAATCTCCTCGGTGCTTCACAGACCCCGAGAAGAAGGAGTCGACGAAACAAACCCTGGCCCGTCTCGTCGGCGAGCTGGACTCCAGCCGCAGGGCCGAGGGCGGACCCAGGCAGCTGCGCCTGTCGCAGCTCTGTCCCGCTCTGGCGCGCCTCTCGGACGCGGGGGCGAGCGAGACGGCATGCCTCTCCCGCCTCCTGGGGCTGCCCAGAGGCGGACGAGTCCACAAGTTCGAGGAGCAGGTATAAAGACTGTCGGTTCACCTGATGTTAAGTAACTATTTTCACGTATCTTTGTGCGTGATTTTATAGACGAGGGACATATTAACAGAGCACATGTGACGTACTTGTGACCTAGTTCTTTTTTTTTAAAGATTATTTTTAATTTTCAAAGTCAATGTCAAAGTATATTTATTCAATATAGGCCTAACTTAAGCTCTTATTGAACGTCAACAAATATCTACCACCGGTTCACTAAACTAGACCTGCGCAGAGAAGAACCGGCAAGAAACTCTGCGGTCTTGTTCTTTTTGTTATATATATATTTTTTTTTAATGCAATTATACACACTTATTTGGGTATAAAATCAGCAACAGCCAGGGATCTTGCAAGTGCAGAGCAAGAGTCATTTCCAAACATCCTTGTCCTCTATGTATTCTTGGATATTATAATAAGCCCTTGCCATTAAGGTAGCTTTTACAAATTGTTTGAAATTGTTTATACTTAGTTGTTTGTGGATGTCACCTATTTTATTATAAAAAAAAATTTAATTAAAAATTTTAATAATAATTTCTTGTATTTACGCGATTACACATTATAAATGAAACTAATTTTACGGATTTATCGCGTTTATGTTTAATTTTAATTCCCGACGTTTCGAACCCTTTACAGCGTTCATGGTCACGGGACAGACTGAGGTGTTAGACGTCTGATTGTCATAGTTAACCCGGGCTACCGTCAGTTTTTGAATTATTAATTTTGTGTCCGATTTATGCAGAGGGAGCTAATTGTATCTTTTCTTGCAGTAGTGGTTCGTTTGGGCCTAGATTTAATTTTATTGATGACAGGATCCCAAGCTGATGGTAGTACCCAACCTTCTTCTCTATTCATCATTATCTGGTTTCACTCGGTCACTGTGACGTAGGCGCGGTGCTCGAAGCTTGTTGTCATGCAGAGATGCATTTCAGAGAGCACAAGGGATCTGTGACAAACAACACCTGGCCGCTGAGCTTCAACATGTCAAGCAAGTTCTGCATGACATAAGCTTCGAGCACCGCGCCTACGTCACAGTGACCGAGTGAAACCAGCCACAGTGGAGCGAGTGGCTATATCTTAAAGCAGGCTTCAATTAATACATTCTACAAGCCGCTGAAGAAGATTAGTCAGTTTTTACCATCTGTCAAGTGTAATATCCCTCTGCAAGATCCAGGAGTGTACAAACTTGACTGTGAATGTGGGCTCTCTTACATAGGTCAAACGAAAAGAGCAATAAAAACCCGCGTGAAAGAACATATAGCTGACATAAACACAATAGATTGAACAAGTCTGCAGTTTGTGAGCACATTTTAAATAGGCCCAACCACTACATCAGGTTTGACAAACCACAGATCCTTGCAAAAGAACACCGATTCCCCCCAAGGATGATTCGCGAGGCTATTGAAATTAAAAAACACCCTAATTTCAATAGAGAAGAAGGTTGGGTACTACCATCAGCTTGGGATCCTGTCATCAATAAAATTAAATCTAGGCCCAAACAAACCACTACTGCAAGACAAGATACAATTAGCTCCCTCTGCATAGATCGGACACAAAATTAATAATTCAAAAACTGACGGTAGCCCGGGTTAACTATGACAATCAGACGTCTAACACCTCAGTCTGTCCCGTGACCATGAACGCTGTAAAGGGTTCGAAACGTCGGGAATTAAAATTAAAAATAAACGCGATAAATCCGTAAAATTAGTTTCATTTATTTTTAATTTTTTCAAACATTATGGACACCTTAAGAAATTCCTATCTTACCATCTCAATACAATAACATATTGACGAGCACTAAAACTTTTCGCTGAACGCATAATTACTATACCGCTTATCAATAGGGTGACTACTCTTAATGGGATAAACTTGAATGGGATAAAACTAAATGGGATAAAATTTATTATTATTATTATTAAACTAAGAATGTTTAATTGATCTTTCTATGGTTTTTTTTCTTGTCAAAATAAAATATTGAATTTTTTTTTGAATTATAGAATGCTCAATTAACATTATTTCAAACTATGTAGTTCATCTAAAAAATCATCCTATATATAAATCTGTACGTCTGTATGTCACTGAACTCTTCCTAAACGGCTGGACCGATTTTAATGAAATTTTTTGTGTGTCTTCAGGTCGATTCGAGAATGGCTTAGACTCACAATTCCGTCGATATTTTATTTTTTTATTTTTTGTAGGTTTACAAGTGTTTGTAGGTTTTAAGCCGTGGGTACAGGACAACGTCTGTCCGGTCCGCCAGTTTTCTGTATAAAATAACTTTGATGTTCTACATCTGCTGATCATCCCAAGAAGGTTAACTTTTTATATGCATTTTCCATGGACAAGTATAATTTATATAAAAAAAGAAAAAAAGTAAAGTAGCCTGTACATGTCCCACTAATGGGCAAAGGCCTCCTCTGTACTAAGGGTATTTGGGGATAGTCCACCACGCGGCCCCACTGCGGATTGGTGGACTTCATATATTTTCGAAATAATTTTTTTTGTTATTACTTCGAAAATAGGCAGGTTTCCTCACGATGTCTTTCTTCACCGCGGAGCACGTAATAATTCGGCACTTAAAATTAACTATTTTATTGGTGCCGGCACCGGGGATCGAACTCAGGTTGCTCGAGTATACAGCGTGTCGTTACCATCGCGACAATAAATGAACACACATATAGGGGATAAGTTTTTAAAGTTGTATTAAACATTTAACATTTTTATATCCTTATATGTAACCTTACATGGTCTGAAATGCCAGGAGTTTCATATTTGCGACTTGTTGGTACCCCCAGTAGTAATCTCGATGTAATGTTTTCCGAGTTTATAGAGGAAAATGCCCTTAACCAGTTTAATTCCGTTCTTAACGGTAACCAACGGCTGTTAGATCTGATACTATGTAATTCCACTGAAATTATAATCAATGAGAATAGTAACCCCATAAGTATCGTTGATAGTCACCACCCGCCTTTAAATATAACAGTGATTACTAACAAAATACAAGTCGTCAAGGAAATGCACAATGAGAGATTAAAATTTTACAAAGCTGACTATGAGAAAATAGTTTCGGAGTAAAATTAAATACACTGGTTAGATCTATCGAAGTACGAAGACGTTAATATTATGCTAACGACCTTCTACCAAAAATTGGACGAAGTAATCAAAAAACACGTACCCAAATTTACACCTAAAAATAATATATATCCACCGTGGTTGACTAAAAAAATTATAAATTTATTAAAAGCAAAAAACAAATTTAGACTGAAATACAAAAAGTATAAAAATCCTCTTGACCGTTTAGAATTTATCAATTTACGCGAACGTTGTAACAAATCAATAAAAGAACAATATAAATGCTACATCGAAAGGATTGAATCAAATATATCGAAGAATCCTAAATATTTTTGGACTCATCTTAAGAATTTAAAAAAATCTTCAAACACTTACCCCTCTAGGATGGTCTTAGAAGATCAAATAGCATCAGATGGAGTTAGTTTTCGTCAGTATATGACAATAACTATACTTCGGGAAGCGTTGTCTTGGGGACAGTTTCTAATATGTTATATGTTCTATTCAATTTACTCAATTCGAAGTTTTTAAGAAACTAAAAAGACTAGATTTAAATAAAAGTACCGGTCCTGATAATATACCTCCTGTATTCTTGCTAAGGTGTGCAGAACCCCTCTCATTACCGATTAGTATTATATACAACAAATCCCTTAAGTCCGGAATCTATCCTGATATTTGGAAACAAGCGAGAATAGTGCCGATTTACAAAAAAGTGGACCGAAGCAATATACTTAATTACCGACCTATTTCAATGATCTCAGTTCTACCCAAAATGTTGGAGGCCCTTCTATGTCCAATTATTGTTAGTCATGTACAACGCCTAATATCTGATGTGCAACACGGATTTACTAGATGTAGATCTACTGCTACCAACTTAAGTAATTTTATAACCTTCCTATCTGAATCAGTTGACTCGCTTATACAGAGAAAGTTAACCATTCACTGTTAGTGGAAAAATTGTCTCACTTTGGTTGTGGAGGGTCTGTACTGTCATGGCTTGCGACGTATATTGCGGGCAGATCATCTTTTGTTGTTGTGAAAGGGTACGCTTCGCCGTCATACCTTTCTACTTCTGGGGTTCCCCAGGGATCTATCCTAGGGCCAATTTTATTTAATATATATATAAACGATGTCTCGGAAATCTTTCGTAACTCGAAATGCTTTATCTTTGCGGACGACCTAAAAATTGCGAAAGAAATAAGATCGCCCAGTGATAGTAGGGCTCTTCAAGAGGACTTAGATAGATTATATTAATGGTCCCAACAAAATGGAATGGCACTTAATCCGGTAAAATACTCATTTACAAGATTTACTCGCAATCATAAAACTATTGTTACATATTAACGGCATAGCGCTCAATGAACAGGAAGTGGTGCGTGATCTGGGTGTAACGTTCGATACCAAATTAAGCTTTAAACACCATATTTTAAATATTTGTAAATCTGCTAGGCGTATGTTAGGGTTTGTGTGCAGAAACTCCAAAGACTTTAAAAGACCGAGTACAAGAAAACTTTTATTCACCACACTGGTCAGAAGCAAGCTCGAGTATTGTTCGGTTGTATGGAATCCAAATTACCAGGTTCATAAAGACCGTATCGAGTCTATTCAGAGACGTTTTACTTTCTTCTATTTAACTGGGTCAGGATAACGAGTGCCTTATCCTGAGCGACTTAAGAATTTTAACCTTATGAAGTTATCTGACAGGCGCACAATACAAGACATGCTATTCTTGTATAAGCTGTTGAAAAATTTATTTGATAACCCAGAGTTACTTAGTCGTTTTTCCCTTGGCGTTCCTTCCCGTTTGCCGCGCCAACCAAGATCTATCCTCACTCATAAAACATACAAATCTAACCTGGGTCACCATGCTGTAATTCCTAGATTGTGCAGACTATTAAAATTTTTTACAAATAAAGATAGTTCAATAGATATTTTTCATGACAAATTATAAGTATTCAAATCGAAAATTGTCAGGGTACTGAATCCAATTAGCGCCGTAGAAGTCTAACATTCGCTCTTATGTGTACATATTTATGTCGCATCACTTTTATAATATCTAAGTATGTAATAGTTTAATTATTATATTTTAAGTAGCATTGTAGTGTTAGTTATATTGTTTCCTTGTTTTTTTTTTCTTCTAGTTTTTCTTATATTGTTTTATAATACTGTTTAAGCACCTTTACTCTGTGTATGCAGTGTCTGTCTGTAATTGAAATTGCATGTTGTTCTCAATCTGAGTTTATGTTCATCTTGTATGCTATTTCTAAAAACATGTAATTTTGTGGATAGACCTTAATAAATAAATAAATAAATAAACATATATTACCCAGGGCGTCTCTTACTGTTGCACGAATGGGCACAGTCCGGGTACCACCACATCACAACCATACCAGAACCACGATCTCGCAGACTGGCGTGAGGTGGAAGTGTTACACTTTTGCGTTTCGTCTGGTGAGTGTGGCAGCCGGAGCCGACTTTATTAACAGTTGGCAACGCATCTGCAACCCCTCGGGTGTTGCAAATACACACGGGCGATGTCTATCCCTCAGCATCGGGAGAACCACCAGCTCGTTTAACACCATCTCACATAAATAAAAGTGAGAGCGGCTGACGAGGATGCTGGTCAACGGTGTCTCCCGTTCTTAGCACTGTCCCTATGTGATGCAGGTGACGGTGTTCAGGAGTGCGCGTCGGCCGGCGCTGGTCACCATCCTGCTGGCGGACGGTCAGCGGCGGCGGCTGCTGGTGAAGGGCGGTGAGCCCCTCCGCAGGGACGCCGCCGCCATGAGGCTGCTGCGGACCCTGACCCTGGGCGGCCGGCGCCCAACACCGCGCATCCATTACAACGTTAGTGACGAGCTTTACCTTTAACTGTGGTAGGGCCACGCAGCTGTTGCAAGAATGGGCAGTTATCTGGTCCCAAACTAATCAAAGCTTGTACTACGGGTACTAGATTACTAATAAACATACACAGTTCAACAATAAACATAAATATTCTTTCAGTGGTGGGGATCGAACCCACACCCTCTGGCGCTAGAGGCAGTTTCACCACCCACTGTGCCAATTGGGTCGTTATTGATGAAATTTTCACGGTGGTAGGGCCACCCAGCAGCCTCGGCTGTTGCACGAATGGGCAGGCTCGTCCGGGTAAGTACCACGACCTCACAGAAGACCGGCGTGAAGTGGAAGTATAATACTTTCGCGTTTCGTCTGGTGAGTGAGGTGGCCGGAGCCCGATTTTCAAAAGGTTGTCGACGCATCTACAACCTTCGGGTATAGCAGATGTCCATGGGCGGCGGTATTCAGTTAACATCACGTGAACCGCCTGCCCGCTTGTCAAGTTTTCACATAAAAAAATGCCGTGTCGCCGTCTCTACTTCAGCCCTCTTCATCACCACATAATTAGGCCTCTGTACCAAAAGGATAAAACGGGAACCTATTACTCTGCTGTTTGTCTGTCTGTCCGTCTGTCACCAGGCTGTATCTCGTAAACCGTGATAATTAGACGGTTGAAGTTTTCACAGATGGCGTATTTCTGCTGCCGCTGTAACAGCGAATACTAAAAAAACGGAAAAGAATATTATACGGGGCTCACATACAACTCCCAGACACGATTTTTTGTCGTTTTTATGGCACGGAACCCTTCGTGCGCGACTCAGTCTCGCGCTTGGCCGGTTTTTAACATGTGTATTTTTTTTTTTTTTTTCATTTCATTTTTTTTATTTCTATGTTGTTTTGTGTTATTAATGAAATATCTTAAGCCTAGATGGAGGTGAGGGATAAACGTCTCTGTCTGTATTCTAGGTGACGCCTCTCGGCGAGGACTGCGGCCTCATTGAATATCTGGAAGACCACGAGACGCTGCGCTCCGTCATCTCGAGCAGATACGACCTCGAAGGTAACTACGAGCCTCGAACAATGTGTCTCTCATCATCCTGCCCATGGCTACTCCAAGGCTACTGCCAACAACATCTATGAAGTACTCTTTTATGAATTAGTTTTTTTTTTTTGTTCATTAAACTTTGTCACAATATTGTAAATGTTGTACACACCTGTTATAGGTGTACATATTGGGTCCAATGTTTTCTTATTTTTTTCCTTTTTTGTAAGTTGTGTAAATATGTGTACTGTTGGTGTGTCTTAAATAAAAAAAAAAAAAAAACCTAAAACATGTTGAGGGGCCGTCCATTAGTCACGTGATGTTTTTTTAGCATTTCTCAACCCCCCTCCGCCCCCTTGGTGATAGGTGGTGAGTTTAAGACCACGCTCCCACCGTTTGCTCACGGGTTGTGGGTTCGATTCCCACAGGGGACAAGTGTACAGGGTGGTTTTTCTGAAGGTGCCCAAATTCACACAGGAGGTTCAGACTCTGTAGTAGAATCGTTTATTGAAATAAAAACAACTTTTTTTTCCAAAAAATCGCCATTCCTTTCCCTAAAAAACAGAACTTGTTGACAATGCGGTAGTCATTCATAAATGCGTCGTATAGTTTTGAAACGAACTTGTCTGCGTGTTAGTTATGAATGATCGCGCGTAAAATGAATGGGTTGCGTATATAAATCACGCACATTTTGAGAAAGTTTAAATGAATGTAATTAATTAATTAATTACGAGTGATTTTAAATATTTATCATTTTTTATATAACATTATTTATGTCTAGAATTTAATTAAAAAAAAATGATACACTTAGAAAAGCCTACCTGTGTGTGTGACCGACAAATAATTGTAGTAATACCACACAAAAAATATTTGGGAGGTATGCAAAGCTCGCTTGTCGTTCTATGCCGTACAGAGGCCTTTGCCCAGCAGTGGGACATATAAAAGCCGTTACTGTATTAAGTGTACCAGCAGACCTGGCGATTTCCCTTCAGGCGTTCTGCAGAATGATGTCGAGGATCTGAACCCGGACCCCGAGGAGTGTCTCCGCCGGTTCAGGCTCAACTGCTCCAAGGTCCCCGCGCACTCGCTGCGGTGAGTGAATACACTTTACGCTTCCCGCTCCATGGGCAGGAGTAAATAGGGTAGAGATCCCAAATACCTCACAACTTTAAAAAAAAAATTAAACTTGGATGGAATATCCCCTCAATCCAAGTTTACTTTATTTATTTAATTTTTTTACCTTACTTAACTACCACTCCAACCTACCAACTCTACCTTAACTAATTCCCAACTTAAATAAATATTAAACTGATTGACTGCATGACACGATTCCAATTCTAAAGCTACAAATTTAAATTCAAATATCTTTATTCAATACAGAGGCATTAAACTATATACATATATGTCTAGCAAATCACTAACTGTACTCGATGTACGTAAGGTTAGGTACTTTTTCTTTTATGGTGTTAAGTGGTAACGGCCGCCCGTGGCAATTTGCAATACCCGTATGGTTGCAGGTGTGTTGCCACCTATAAATAAAGTGGGCCCCGGCTACCTCGCTCACCAGAAGAAACGCAGAAGTGTAACACTTCTACTTCACGCCGGTCTTCTGCGAGGTCGTGGTACTCACCCGGACGGACCTGCCCATAGTTACCATAAAAATGTTAATAGACCAAAGAGGGACCGGTTCCCTTGGATTTCACACGTGAAAAATTTCTCATACACATGTGCGCCTTGTCACTTTTGGCACGTATTAAATTCAGCGATGTCGTTGGCAAAAAATAGAAGATATAAGTAATAATATAACTGCTTAGCTATAATAGCACTTCTTTAGGGTTAAGACTCGTTCTGCCCCAGGTCCGTGATGGAGTTTCGCAGCCCGAGCGTCGAGGACTTCATCGCCAGGAAGCGGCGGTTCCAGGAATGCCTGAGCGTCGTCACATTCTCCAGCTGGATTCTGGGTGGGGGACCTTTAAATACAGACATCCACGCCCGGTTCCTGAAAGGCTGATCATCGTAGATGTCAACTAAACAGCTGTCAAATGGCTTTTCAAATATTATTTTAGTTGCAAAAAGGATGGTTGAACTGTCTGAATTGACTAAAATGATGTTTTTAATGATCAGAATGAACAATTCAAAGAGTTTTACCATCCTTTTGGCAACTCAAATGAAATTTGAAAAGCCATTTGACAACTGATTACTTGACATCTACGATGATCTGTCTTCCAGAAATCGGGCGTCAATGTACTAAAAAGTTGAAATGATGCCATGGAGCACCATGGCGTCATTTCAACTCATCGTGCAAGACACGGCTGTCTCTCGGGGTCGTGGCTTCGATTCCCTCACGGGACAACTATTCTTGTGGCCCACAGAAAGTTGTTTCGCATCTGTGTGTTTGTCCACGTGAAATATATGAAGAAAGTCCTTACAACACAGGATAGTGTTGTCCTAAACTAAAGACAATATTTAAAAAAAAGAAAAAATCTAGGCCTTGGGGACCGGCATCTGGACAACCTGATGTACAGCAACCGCGACGGCTCGCTGGTGCCGGTGGACTGGAACCCGGTGCTGCGGCACGGCCGCGCCGAGCTGCCGCCCGCCCGGCTGACGCGCGCCCTGCTGGCGCCCTGCAGCCCCGCAGGTGCCTCCGTCACGCCCTCAAATTCGAACCAACACGTCGGTGTCACGTCAACTCACACCGACTTGCCACGTCAACTCATAACAATCTAGACACCTCGACTCGTAAAGCTCTTGACACGTGAACTCGTACCAACTTGTCACGTCAACTCACACCAATATTGACACGTGAACTCATAGCGATCTTGTCACCGTCACGTAGTACACAACGCAATACATGGTTTGTAATGTCACGCCATACAAAATGTAATACATAACTTGCCATTGTCACTTTACACACAAGGTAATACACAGTTGCCGATGTCACGTAGTACACAACGCAATACATGACCTGTAATGTTACGCCGTACACAATGTAATACACAATTTGTCACGGTCACATCCTATATACAACTTGCCATCGTTTCCAGTCTAACCTTACAGCTTACCTTTTTTTTATTAACTCAGCTATCATTTATTATGAACTCAACTATGAAATCCAGTGCTGGAGAGTCAACTACAGCAGTTGGCCGAGTCGGCGCGAGAGCACCAACGGATCTTGATGGCAGTCTTCAGAGTGTCCTTCGGCTGGATGGGCCGGGACTTCGAGGACGGCGTACGTACAAAGTTAAAAATCAGAGGTTGTGGGTTCGATTCCCACACGGGACAAATATTTCTGTGCCCCACGGATAGTTATAGCAAACTGGCTAGCCTGCCTTATTAAGAAAAAAAAAAAAAAGATTTAGCTGGGAACTAGCTAAATCTTTTTTTTTTTTGGGCCACTTGGGCCAAATGAAGTAAGATTTAAAGTTGTCACAATTTAATCCGACAACATTGATGTTTACACATTTATTGTTATTTCAAGTGGATGAACTTAATGTATAATAAATGACCCGTAATTTTAACGTTTTAATCACATCGGAGATTGATTTTAGTTTTAGCCTCCACACTGTTTTTGATGAAGTATATTTAGTTTCGCCATATTCTTTATGATAGGCATACAATTTGTACAAACTTTTAGTACAATAAAGAATGTACAAACAAACAAAACTGATGAATTCGAATCTGTAGTATTCCAACCTGCTCCACTGCGCTTAACTCGGCGCTTTATTTCATGTACAAAAATCACACATTCGGGTATTAACAGTAAAGTAAATAAGCAATTATTTGTGCGCAAAATAGTTTTATCATTATATGTTTTGTTTAATTAACCGCTAAATACAACATAATATTATTCAAAAGGGAGGTAAAACTTACAACTATAAACAATAAACTACTGCGAAGAAAGAAGGTCACTTATCACCTAGCTTGTTAAATTATTGAAGGCGATTATCTTGTCATCAACTGTCACGTTACGAGTTCGTCATCACAAATACTAAACTGTGACTGGCAAATAAAAAAAATCCAAAGGAAAAGTGCTTCACGCGTTAAACTCTATCTCTAGATGCGGGATGTCGGTGATCTGGTGTCGGGCTCCGCCCTTCCGCACCAGGTGAGCCTGCGGGGGCTGCAGCGGAGCCCTGGAGGCCGAGCGGCACGTGGCGCTGATCTCCTGAAACGCGCCTTCCACGACTGCGTGCAGAAAGAGAGCTACTGCGTGCAAGAGCAGGTCGTCTTGTTAGATTAGCTGAAATAGCAACAGCCTATATATAACCCACTGCTGGGCAAATGTACAGAGGGTATCAGGGCACAGTCCACCACGCGGCCCCACTGCGGTTTGGCGGACTTCACATATCTTCGAATATTTTTTGTTATTATTTCGAAAATATTTTTTTTTATGTGAAAAGTTGCCAAAAGAGCAGACGGTTCACCTGATGTTAAGTGAAAACCGCCGCTCATGGATATCTGCTACACCTGAGGGTTCCAATGCGTTGACTACCTTTGAACATTGGGCTCCGGCCACCTCACTTACCAGACGAAACGCGAAAGTATTATACTTCCGTAGTATTATACTTTACGCTGGTCTTCTGTGAGGTCGTGGTAATTACCCGGACGGGTATTCGCCCATTCGTGCAACAGCCGAGGCTGCTGCGTGGCCCTACCACCGTATTAATATGCAGGTTTCCGCTGAGCACGTGATAAGTCGGTACTTGAAATAAACAATTTCATTGATGCCCGTACCAGGGTACAAACTCAGGTTGCTCGAGTATATTGTATTAAAAGCGGGCGCTCGGACAATGAGCTATTATGAGCTGGGGTGATAGCAATTGATGAGTTGAGAATGACTGTTGGTGGTTAGCGTGTTGATTATTATTTCCAACTTCCAAATTATGGCCAACGAACTCCCCCGAGTTCAATGACCACAGACCATGGGAGCCAGGGGAGGCAGTGCCAAAAAGCAGCAAGCCTCCCAGCCCCCAGCGGCGGGCCTGGTCTGTGGCTCCGCCGCTCACCACGTTTCGACCGCATAGGGTAGGGAGAACGGCGCATCGCAATACCGACACTCCTCTTCCCACGCGACTCCTCCTCGGTAGCAGAAGACAGGGAGAGTGGCTCCACCTCTACCAGCCTCGACCTGTCGCCTGCACCCTCCAGCACGCATCCAGAGTAGGCTCATTGAGCCCACTCGGGCCGGCCTTACACCACAGGCCGGCCCAGTGTGGGTTCTTCTTAGCTTCGCCGTTGGTGACCAAGCCACGGCTGCTAAGCCTCTCCGCCACCTCAAGGCGGGAACGGTCGGAAGGGACGTTATCTAGTCCCTAGCTTAGCTTGTACTATAGGAACTAGGGAGCTGATAAAACATTCTATTCTTTTGTAAATAAATGTACAAATTATAGATATACAAAAAGGAACACCCGAACTCTAGAAGAACACTGTTCATCACAAAATATTTTTTACGGTGGCGGGGATTGAACCCAAATCGGGCGCTTGAGACAGGCTCTCTATCCACTGTGCCAATCAGGCTGTCCAAACAAAATTCTGTGAAGGAACCTCTTGGTGATTTATGCCCCCAGATCTCGGACCTGCTGCGTCACTGCACCGACCCTCGGGTCCTGAGCGTCACCAGGTCGCCATGGGAGCCCTGGGTGTGAACAGCTGGCTGATATGGAACATCACAATAAATACACGCAAATCGGAAGACGAACAATTTAGCTGTAACTTATCTGTTAAGTGTAGCCCGTTGACAATAACCTAATGTTTTTTTGTAAATCGTCGCTTGAGAAATAAAGAAAACTTACCCATTTAAATAAAATGATGCCGTCAATGTATTATGTTTAATATTTCCCCTTTTCAGCGATCCCCCATAAAGGTAGAAAATATCAAGTCCACTTTGAGGGTTCCCTACCCGAAGGGTAAAACGGGACCCTATTACTAAGACTCCGCTGTCTCTGTCTGTATATCATGAACCGTGATAGTTGGTCAGTAGAAATTTTCACAGATGATGTATTTCATCTTAACTAAAAAACAAGAAAAAAAGATTTAAGTGAGGCTACCGTACAAAAGATGCGTTTTATAGATAATGGTACGGAACTCTTCGTGCGCAAGTCCGACTCGCATTTGGCCGGTTTTTACATGTTATTGGAATAAAGACACGGATGATAGATAAAAAGTAACTCAATATAGTTTAATGAAAGCTATGACATTGTATGTAAAACAAAAAAAGCTGTATGTAAATTCAAGACATCTTGAAAAATAAGTATTTTTAGTTGAATCTGTATACTTTATGGTATCACGCTATTATTAACGGGGTGGGCAGAAACTTTCCGCCTTATCTAAAGGAACTCTTAAAGTCTATGTCCAGTCGCTAAGCTAGGCGTCGGGGATCGTGGGTTCGATTTCCACACGGGGGTAGGTATTTATGCAAACCACAGATATTTTAGGAGAGCAAAGCACGGATTAGCACGAGTTCACTTCGTTCTGCTGCAAAATGACAACACACTGGTAAAGAACTGATCGCTCCAGGCTCTTTCAATCGGAGTTCTTATATTGTATTTTTAATGAATTTATGTCAAACTGCTTATTTAAAAAGAAAGCCCGCTGAGTTTCTTTCGCCGGTTCTTCTCAGTACATTGGCTTTCTTTTCCGAACCGGTGGTAGTGTTTTGACTATCAATAAGCGAGTGTAATGCTCCTATGTTGAATAAAGACTTTTGATTTGATTTTGAATCCGTGTCCCCTGTTAGTCGCCTTTTATGACAGGCAGGGGATACCTTAGCCCTCTTATATGAGCCCCTACAGGGATGTCCACGGATAAGCCTGCCCATTGGTGCTACACAATATTCACAGTAAGTTGTAACAGTTTGTAACAAGGTAGATGAATTTTAGTTTATTCGTAGGTCTTGTAACAAACTTGCAACTGTTGAGTTTCTTGCCGGTTTCTTCTCAACAGAAACTGCTTTCCGAACCGGTGGTAAGTTACGAACGTGTTAATTTCTTGTAAAATTTTGACGTTTCATAAGAACGCGCAAGCGTCATGTGAATAAAGATATTTTATTATTATTATTATTATTAAACATTACCGGAGAGAGGATAATGCCTTGAGGCCGGCTCGAAAAAGATTCTGTAAGAAATTGAAAGAAGCGTTTTGAATTCGTCGTGGTTTTTGAAGAAATTATATATTACCTTACAATTTTAGGGGATAGAATTTTCATTCGAAGTTATTAAAGCACTAAGAAAAGATTACCAATAATTAACGATAATTTAGCTTTTATTATAAACCCGGGGGTACAATGATGATTGATAGTTGTATTTTTGTTCCCAAGGTCAACGTCAGACAAGCAGCCAGTCATAAAAAGTACTAAAGCCAATACCAGCATAATTCACATGTGCCGATCCCACAAAGGTGGGTTAAATAATTAGTAAATATTTGTTTTAGGATGAAGTTATTATCAAAATCAGAATCTTGCCTATATCTCGTTTTCTTTAAATCTAAAAAGTTTGTTATTACACGCGTACAAAGTGATTGTTTCGCATTGCGACTAGGTAATTGCTATGCTATTTTATAATTGCCACGTAATAAGGAAAATTGCAAGTCGAATGTACGGACGGTTATTATGTTACCCACTCGCGCTTTGTCTTACGCCATCGAACTTTGGGTTTCCCCAGTGCTTGTGGTTCCGCTGACTGATTTACTGTGACAATTTGGAAAGGTTTTTTATTTATTTAACTTTTACATTAATCTTGTGTAGGCGGACATAAATTCTCTATCAGTCAACCTATTAAGTGATGCAGATAAATAAATTAGGTTTAAAAGAAAAAAAAACTATCAGACATACAATTGCAATACACATGGTTATGAAATGTTTTACACACACAGCCTTAAACATATTTAAATTCTTTGTAACGGCCGATTATTAATAAACGATTTTTGATTAAAAAAATCAATTACTAATAAACAGATCCTTCAATTACTACTAAATAAACTTGTTTCTAATTATTTGATTATTATTTGTAAGAATTAGCAATTTTAAAGTAAAATTTACGCGTGTCCGAAGGGACACACTAAGAAAAACTTGTTTAAGCGTCAATTACGGGATGATTAAATGAAAATACTCGTAAACACAAAGCCGACTTCAAATCTCCCACTCACTATGCGTAGTCTATTTGATTTTGAGTCGTAAGCTGACCGTATCTAAGGAGACCAAGGGCCAATACCAGTAAAAATAATATGGGACCATTAAAATATGTAGAAAAAGTACGAAACATTGTCGCCGCTGTGGAAATCGAACCCACGTCTTCGGCATTCGCGGCCTGACACTCTAGCCAGTGAGCTAAACGGCTGATTGCCACACCGACGAAAATCTTAACGCATTCTTCTACATTGTTTTCTTAGCATTTGAAGCAAAGCTTGGCGCCATCTATTGTTATATCCTTTCCAGCATACAAACAATTTCGAATATCATTTTACAACGATAATTCGAACGATTAGTTACCAGGGACCAGTTAAACCGAACCCGAAGCAAAAAAATATATTTCCAAATCGGTTCTAAATAAATGACGAAGTTCTGGGGTGACAAACAAGAACAAATGCAACTGAATTTGGAACCTCCTCCTTTGAAGTCAGTTGAAGCAGTCTCCGATTCTTTGATTCTAAGCGTGGACAACGGGGATTGGTAATTTCCTAATTTTTCTATCTTTTACCGCACCCACAGATATCTAAGACGCTTGAACGCGTTTCTAACCTTTGAAAGAGTAACGGTTATCTCGCTAACCAGAAAACACTAAAGTATCAGCCTATACATGTCCCACTGCTGGGCAAAGGCCTCCTCTATATAGAGGGTATCAGGGCATAGTCCACCACGCGGCCCCACTGCGGATTGGTGGACTTCACATATCTTCGAAATATTTTTTTTGTTATTATTTCGAAAATATGCAGGTTTCCTCACGATGTTTTCCTTCACCGCGGAGCACGTGATAAGTCAGCACTTAAAGTTAAAAACTTCATTGGTGCCGGCACCGGGGATCGAACTCAGGTTGCTCGAGTATATTGAATTAAAGGCGAGCGCCCGGACACTGAGCTATCACGGCTTGAAACGAAAACACTAAAGTATATAAGTATTTCCAATCCACCTGCCGTACCGACCTTTTGAAGGCCATTGCTGTCTAACATACTCATTCTAGCAACAGCAGAAACCGCAGCATGGCTCTACCACAGTAAATCTACCACAGACATGTGGTAGGATTACGCAACAGTCTTCATTGTTGCACGAATGGCCGGACCTGTCCAAATAAGTACCGCGACCTCACAGAAGACCGGCGTGAGGTGGAACCTGGAAGTATGTCTTCTGCGTTTCGTCGCGTATGTGACAGGGGCCCACTTTATTAAAAAGGAGCAACGGATTCGCAACCCTACGGCCACCTGCTGCCACCCATAGATATGTTGCACATATCAAAGGGTGGCAGATATGGCTTAACATCAGGTGAACCGCTGGCTCGTTTGCCACCTTCTCACATAAAAAATTGAAAATATTTAACGGCTCGGTATCTTAAAGTTGTAGTTAATTTTTGGAATATTTATTTTGCTGGGATCCACAAAAAATATTACAGTAGGTATCTACTTATGTGCAACAATTTTGATGTGCTTTGATTTAATTATATAAACCATTGGTAACACTAAAGCATCTCCATTGATATTTTCTTACAAGAATATCTTTATTTTCGAAAATCACGATAAAATTCGCAAAAATAGTTTATTTTACAACTGTACAATATATTTTATATACAAAATTTATATATATATAACAATACAAAGTTTTTACAGTTATTTTATAAACTGTTATGAATTATAAGATACTAACGACCCGCCCCTGTTCGCACGGATGCAATTTACATATTGCGTTTCGCGAATATTGCTTTTCTCTACTGTAATGATAAATTACTCTACCTATTGCTGAAAACCGCTTTAAAATCCGTTGCGTAGTTTAAAAGATCTATGTAGTTGCTAGTACAAACATCGGAAGCGATTGTATTTTTTATTGTGTATAAGATTGATAAAACCGTTTTGTCCTTTTCATAACATTAGTATTTAAATAGTTCCAATTCTTATACATGCAACACTTCAGAATTTCGCTACTATCCCTGCTCTGGAAATACCAAAGTATAAAATGATTACTAAACTTGTGACTTTTGGCATCAACCCAGCTATCAAACAGTTTAATTATAGTGTTCATACAAACATTGTATATAAACTCATTAAAATCTACATCGTTTCGAGTTGTGGCGAGTATAATAATGATAATTCTTTATTACAGGCAAAAGCCCAAGTAATGCTTGAATACAAATTAATAATGAAATCAAATAAAACTAATAACAATTTTATATTGTACTCACTGACCCTTCGTGCGCGAGTACGACTCGCACTTAGCCAATTCGACGTGTATAAAACACATACTCCATACTCCTTACTCGAGCAATATCTGTCATATTGCCACTGCAAAAATAGATTTTTTTTAATCCGAATTTGTTTTGGGGTTTTTAGCCTTTTTGGATATGTCAACCCCATTGTGACCATACTTTAGAAATACACCTTATATAAGTTGTTGTGAGAACACAGAAGCCGCACAACATTTTTTTTGCAGCCAAAGAGCTCCGTACCATTATTAAAAAAAATCATTTTTGTAACGTTAAACATTTTTATCAATGCGGCACGAAATACATCATCTGTTTTTCAACGACTATCACTGCCATTGCAGGTTGGAGTTTAATAAAAAAAAAAACAGCCAAGTGCAATGTATTTTCGATAGTTTTTTTTTTCTATTTGTATGACGTGCCTTCTTTACAACTCCTTACGTGTACTGAGTAGCAATGTGACCTACATTGCTACTCTAAAAAGTAATAGTTTAGGACGTTGTTTTACACGAAAGACAAAATTATTAAACATTTTTTAATTTTTTAATATATGTATGTGTGTCAATGGCCGAAAGTTTACGGCCGCTTAGGTTAATTAAAAAAAAAACGGTGTAGACAAATCACCGCTCTGCGTCGGATGAGATCATCGAATGGCGGGAAAACAGGAAAAAACAGTGTGACAAGGTACGATAATTGGGGGAAATAATAACATTATTAGCCTTATTACGTTGCTAAATGTCATGAGCCGTGATAGCTCAGTGTCCGGGCGCTCGCCTTTAATTCAATATACTCGAGCAACCCGAGTTCGATCCCCGGTGCCGCCACCAATGAAATTCTTAATTTTAGTGCTGAGTTGTCACGTGCTCAGCGGTGAAGGAAAACATCGTGAAGAAGCCTGCATATTTTCCAATTAATAACGAAAAAAAATTTCAAACGTGAAGTCCGCCAAAAAACGTCGGCAGTGTACGGAGGAGGCTTTTGCTTTTTTTTTTGGCTTTTGCCCAGCTGTGGGACATATATAGGCTGTTACTTTTCACTTTTACTTAAATATAATTAGTCATTGATCCGACCTGATTCATGACATGATGTACAAATTTAAAGGAAAGAGTAACCAAATAGTTGTTAAATTATGGAAGGTAAAATAAGAAAAGCTACAATAGTGAATATACCAGGACTAAGAAAATGCGTTCGTTATAAACAATAAGAATGTTTATAGTATCTACAACGCTTTAGAGGTGTATAATAATTGATAAAAAAAAGGACTAAATTAAATAATTTTTTTGTTTCCCAATTTTTGTTTTGCACAAACACTTGTTCCGCTACTATAGTGCTGAGTTGTAATAATTAGCTTCACAGTGTAGCCACTACAGATGCTTTTCCAACAATGTTATGGTTATAAAGATGATTTAAAAGAACATTGCTGCATTTTTATTATTTGTAATAATTAAAATGCAACCATATATTTTATTTTCAAATTTATTTAAATAAAAGTTTATATAAAATTCTGTGAAATGATCTGACAATGGTCGTAGGCCCTTTCCAGGACCCATTTGATTACTTCGGCCGTGATAGCTCAGTGTCCGGGCGCTCGCCTTCTATTCAATGTGCTCGAGCAACCTGAGTTCGATCAACGGTGCCGGCACTAAAGAAGTTTTTAACTCTAAGTGCTGACTTATCACGTGCTCCGCGGTGAAGGAAAACATCGTGAGGAAACCTGCATATTTTCGAAATAATATTTCGAAGATATGTGAAGTCCGCCAACTCGCAGTGGGGCCGCGTGGTGGACTATGCCCTGATGTAGAGCAGGCCCAGCAGTTGGACATGTATAGGCTGTTACTTTACTTTTTTTATATAAAATTAAGGTACATTTCAAAAAAGATAAATCTGGAGGATTCTGTATTAATATACATATATTTCAATTTTTAACCGACTTCAAAAACCGAGGAAGTTCTCAATTCTACTGTATTTTTTTATGTTTGTTACCTCGGAACTTTCGGTGAGTGAAGCGATTTTGATGGTTTTTTATTTGAAAGCTGGTGCTTGCCATGTGGTCCCATATTAATTTCATTGGTATTGGATCTTGGGCTCCGAAGATACTCAGGGAACTCCTGAAGATCAATTATAAAATGAATACAGAGCGAGATATTTGAAGTCGATTTTGTTTTTCGTTTATAAAAAAAATTACTTGTACACCATAACTTGCTCTGCATTTGGCCCTTTTTTGCATTGGGCTCTGACTCATTAATCAGTGTTGTTTTCCAGCGTATGGGAGTCTGAGGTCACCGGATGTTTTTGCAGCATGCAGTTATGGGACATAATTAAGTTTGTAACTACTTTATCTGGGCCCATGTTTTTCCGTGTCCATACTAAACGCGATCATTTTCACCAACAAACAGAATACCTTAAACAACACTCACGCAGGCTCTCAGAGCATAACAGAGCAGAAGTATCGTTTACAAATTTTAAAACACCTCATTCACTATGTAGACACAATACTATCCGATTATCTAGGGACTTACAAAGTGTTTAAAAATACCTCGGATTTGTAACTATCTTAAAGAATTATCTTATAGACCCGAATGGCGTAGTGGGTAGTGTACCTGCCTCCTTCGCCAGTTGGTGTGGGTACGATCCCCACTACTAATAAAATACTACACTATAAATAAAAATATTGTGTGATGAACATAGTGTTTTTCCAGTGTCTGGGTGTTTATATATGTATATTATGTATTTATCTCCATAAGAAAAGTATGTTTATCCGTTATCTAGTACCCATAGTACAAGCGTTGCTTAGTTTGGGACTATTTTAATTAATTTGTTTATGTTAAATAATACAGATAATTTTCTTGCACAACACCGACAAACGACGAATCATCAATGGCCGTCTAGTTGGCCTGGCCAAATGCCAAATGATGATGTAGTGCGTTCCGGTCCACTGGAACCCGCTTGGTGTGAATCGTACGGTCAAGGTTTTTCTATATACGAGAAGGTGGCAAACGAGCTGGCGGTTCACCAGATGTTAAGTGATAACCGCCGCCCATTTACATTTTTACGACCCGTATGGTTGCAGATACTTCGCTACCTTTTAATAAAGTGGGTCCCGGCTACCTCACTCGCCAGATGGAACGCAGAAGTATGATTACACTTCCACTTCACGCCAGTCTTCTCAGTTTGTGGTTTTCCCGGACGGACCTGCCCATTCGTGCAACAGCGGAGACTGTTGGCCCTACCATCGTTAAAATGTTTGTCGTCAACCACCGGGATTGGTGTCAAAAAAAAAAAAAAATCGTATTCACTATACATTTTCTGTTTAAAAAACTAAATTTCCTGAGTCCAAAAAAAGATTCAAATATCGTATTCACTATACATTTCCCGTTTGATGAAGGAGTTGCCTGATCTATTTCCTGAGTCCAAGGTCAAATACCAGTGAGTATAATATCTAAATGGGTGTTACCGTGAACCTAACGCAAAAAGAATTTTAAAAATTGATCTAAAACTGACCGAGTTCTGAGGTATTAAGTAACACAAAAAAAACCTGTCAAGTGCGAGTCGGGTCCCGTTTTACCCTTTGGATACTGTGGACCTGTTAGTACCTCTCATTTTGAAGTCGGTCAAAATCACGAGCTGGCAACATTTCGTCGCGGTCAGTCTGTGTCAGTCTGTCCAAGTATGTCGCTTCCCGCCAGCGGTGCGGACGTGTTGTAGATTAAAAAACGTTTTATTACCACCTTAGTTGTTTATAAATAAAATAAAAAAAAAAAGACTGACGCAGAATAATTAACCGAACCAGTTATCGACGGTCATCGTTCGCTTCGATTTATCGCGAGTGTGTTTATTATTAAACTTCCATCTTGTGTCGCCGATTGCTTTTATGTAGATGAGTTCTTGTTAAAAACAAATTCGGTATTATGTGGGAGACGGGAGTTCTGTTTTTTGGTTTAGCTGTGTTGGTTCACTCTCAATATGAAGGTGAGTATAACTATCGTACGATTAGAAATAACTTGAGGAAGATACGTAGGCGAAGTACGTAAAGTTTCTTTTGAAACTGGTATTTTCTCACGATATTTTTCTTAAATATTCCGCGCAATAAATACGCGTGAGCTTTGATGTCATTGTACAATAATGACCGACTGAACAAAGACATTTAATTGGTACAAATTCTGTTTGTAATCAGGAAAATGAAGACAGTTGGGAAGTCTTAATTTTTATAAACTTTTCCGGACTCTAAGTACTCTTTTTTGTTTTACGACCTCAATGGTGTGGTGGATGGTAAATCTGAACCTTGCGTCATAGTTCGTGGGTTCGATGCCCGCTATTGGAATAACATTTTGTTAGGGATTACAATTAGGTGAATATAAACATTTTATAATCTATATATATTATTTCCCAAAGGTGTTTTTTCTCGGATGCCATAACTTGTATAATTTTTGATGATTCAAAACACCACTTAAAGTTTTTGTTTGACGCTAGTGACGAAAAATAGAAGAAGGTTGAATAAAGTTGTAATGTTTTCATAAAAAAAAATTCATTAAAAAACTGTTACAAATTTCGTACAAAGAATGTATGATAATGCCATCTATTGACAATTTTTCTTAAACTAAAGATAACACAGTAGACTGAAAATTGTTATAATTTAAAATAGAGATACCTATCATTCATCGATACCAATTTACTTATCATTATATAACCATTCGGAGTAATCACGGTATTTCACAGGTCAATATTAATATAATATAATAAAATATAATATAATGTACTTTAATATAATATAATATATGTATACTGGAGTTAATTTTGACCTTTGGCAGTAAACACAGAAATTGTCCGATGACGTAGTGTAACAGTAACAGTGTCCGTGTTCGAAATGGCGGCAATTTATAGTTAAAATTAACCGCGATAAATTCGTATACAAATTGTTTTCATTTAGCAGCTTATATACATGTATATTGTTTGGAATCATGTATTGTTATTTATGGTTGATAAATTTATTGTTTGGAATGATATCTTGTAATTTATGATTGATTATAGTTTTGATGCTGGTTTCTGAACTCAAGGTGAAACTTAAAATGTTGTTTTTTTTTTAATTTTAATTATTTATTTCTTTTCATTTTGTTTTAATTATTAAAAATTTTCGAACTGTATTTCCCCTTTCAAATAATGCCGCCAAAGTTTTTGACAATTTATCGATAAAAATCGTGTATCTTGTAAATTTTTATGAAGCTAGTTCGTCACTTGTATGTCATTTGTTAGTTCTAGTTAATACCAGTTCATCATTTGTTTTTTTTTTAAATACCACAATACGGTATCTGTATATGAGGAATATGAATCCTTGGAATTTATTGCGTATAATGTTTAATTGAGGAAAATATGATATAGAAACCATACCAGGTGATTGGCCTTGAATGAATGGATGGACTTTAAAGAATTGTCATGTATAAGAAAAAAAAACAAAATTTATAGATATTTCGCCTATAAATGGGTAATTGACCAGTTTATAAAACTATACAAACTTCACTATGTGTGTTTATTTTGCGAATGGGTTCAATCTTATATCGATCATTATACATATTAAATGAAACTAGTTTACGGATTTTATCGCGTTTTTAATTTTGATTTGAACCCCCGACGTTTCGAACCCTTTCAAGCGTTCATGGTCACGGGACAGACTAAGTTGTTATACGTCTTGATGTTACAGTTAACCCCGGCTACCGTCAGTTATTTTATTTATTTTTATTCCGATCCACGCAGAAGGAGCTTTTGGTATCTTGAGGTCTGGCAGTGTTGGTGTGCTTGGATTTAATTTTATAAATTATGGGATCCCATGTAGATGATAAACTCCAACCATCTTCTCTATTGCAATTAGGATGTTTCTTTATTTCAATAGCCTCGCGGATCATCCTTGGAAGGAATCGGTGTTCTTTTGTTTTCGGTTGATCAAATCTAATGTAGTGGTTGGGGCGATCTAAAATATGATCACAAACTGCAGACTTCTTCAACCGTCGGTGCTTCACGTCAGCTATGTGTTCTTTAATTCTGGTTTTATTTGATCGTTTTGTTTGTCCTATATAAGAAAGCCCACAATCGCAATCAAGCTTGTACACTCTTGGATCTTGTAGAGGGATATTACACTTGACAGATGGTAAAAATTGACTTAAATATGTTTTAATTGAAGCACGCTTCAAGATATAGCCAATCTTGTCAGTGACTCCTCTGACATATGGCAATACAGCAGGCACTCGCTCAACTGTGGCTGGTTTCACTCGGTCACTGTGACGCAGGCGCGGGATTTGGAGCTTGTTGTCACGCAGGACTTGCTTGACATTGTGTAGCTCAGCGGCCAGGTTCGAAACGTCGGGAGTTCAAATCAAAATAGAAAACGCGATAAAATCCGTAAACTAGTTTCAAACAATTTGTAAAAGCTACCTTAATGGCAAGGGCCTACAATAATATCCAAGAATACATTGAGGACAAGGATGTTTGGAAATGACTCTTGCTCTGCACTTGCAAGACACCTGGCTGCTGTTGATTTTATACCTAAATAAGTGTGAATAATTTCATCCAAAAAAAATATAACAAAAAGAACAAGACCGCAGAGTTTCTTGCCGGTTCTTCTCTGTACGGGTCTAGTTTAGTGAAACGGTGGTAGATTTTTTGTTGACGTTCAATAAGAGCTTAAGTTAAGCCTAAATTGAATAAATATACTTTGACTTTGATTTAATATGTATAATATTCGCGTAAAATCGATCATTATTCATAATCTTTTTTTATTCATTGTTGTCACAGTTGTGTAGATAAGATAGAATGCGTCACAGTAAGTTATATAGTGCATTTATTAAAAATACAGGGTGAAATAAAACTTGAAAGATTGTAAGATAAACTATCTTTGACAGCTGGCTGTCTACTATGTTAATACGCAGCCAAGACAGTGATTTTCTTAGTATTCTGAATTTGACAACTTCTGTGCAGTAGTTAACCTTCTAAGGAAAGATTTTTGTTCATCTCCCCATAAATAAAACAATAAATCAGTCTGTATTTGTAGTAATACACTCCAATTTCAAGATTGGAAGAAGCCACAAATATTGGCTGTATATTCATTAACCATCTTCATTTCCTTCTTAGTTTTATAGGCGAGATAGAATAGAATTTAACTTCGTACTAATTAACGAAAATTACTCAACCGATTTTTGTTTTATATCAAGTTAAAGATCACACACCGAGTGTGAAATCACAAAATGTTGACAGATTTCCTTTAAGATTCAAACGTAATCTTGAAAAAAAAAAAAAAAGGGCAAAAGTCATGGAAACCGTTATTGTAGTAAGTGAAATTTAGCATCTTCTGTTTCCGATAAACTTATTTAGTAAAACTTACCGCTCACGATTTATGTCTCATTTAATGAACGGAGTTTTCTATCTCTGCCGATAACTCTTTCAATATTGTATTATCAATAAAATGGCCTATCCGTTGTTAAAGGTCATTCAATTCTCCATAACTTTTGTCACGAATTTTAATGTAGGTAACATACTTTTTGACCTATAGGACGTTTAATGTTAGGGTAAAAATTCCGAACAGTACAGTTCGTTTTTCAAGCTAGAAAAAAATTTTAATCGATAGAGAAATGTTAATAATTAAATATTACATACATGAAAACCAAGGCAAACACTTACTTTTAATAAAAAAAATATTTAAAACTTGTTATTTTCACTAAATAAATCCGCCATTTTGTGTTTGACAACATGTATAAATTTACGAATTCACACACTTTTCCAAATTATAACCTTCGCATTATTAAAAAAGAGTCTTTAAAAATACTAAAAGTACTGTTACACTAAAGTTTTCTGGGTGGTCATAAAAAAAGAACCTAACAACGAAGGCTAACCTTCTAACCTAACCTATCCGAGTCGGATCGCTCTGTGTCGGATCTGTGACTCATTTTGAACCTAATATTCGAGACATTAAGTGTACACTAAGTCACAAATTTAAAATTTTAGAAATTGTTAATAATACATGTTCATGAAGTAGAAACTTGTGTTTTTGTGATATATCTGTGTATTTGTGTCTTCTTACAACGTAAAAACTGAATACGTAAGTTTTTAACTTAAAATAATAGTCTATAATGAATAATGGACGCACAGTAATGACGGATTTCAGTTGTATGAAATTTAAAAAACTTTGTTAATTTTTTCCTCATAATCTAGTGGTTTTCATTGATTATAACTTATATAATATTTAGTTATTAACATTTCTCTATAGATTAAAATTTTTTTCTAGCTTGAAAAACGAGACGTACTATTCGGAATATTAGCCAATGTTAGTTTAGTTTAGTGCGAAGTTATCCAAAAAATACTACCTTGACCACCTTGAATAATTAGCGTCTTTATAAACAAGTATAACAAAACAAAAAAAGAAACAAAACTGACTTCAAATATCTCACTCACTAATGCCCAGTTTCCGAAAGGCCAATCAAAGCAGTAATCACATAACACAATGTCAAAAATGATCAGCTGTTAATCTCCTGTTAAACTGCCTTGGGTTTCTGGAAGGTTTGTTCAAGAAAAATTAGCTAATCACTGTATAACCAATGATAATGAATGAAATGAATGATTTACTTCAACTAACTCTTTCTATTGTATAGCTGTCCCTTTTTAAACAAAACTTAAATTAACGTCACTATCCAGTCCTGTCACCGTGTGATTGCCAACGTAAAAATCCGAGCTATAATAAAATTTAATTTATATAAATACATGCAAAATGTCAAAAAAAAACTTTATAGAACGTGAAAAAAATGAACTTTTCCATGAAATCCATGAAATCCATAATAAACGAGTAAGTATTATAAAAATAAAGAATCCATATTATTTATTAACTTTTGAATTGCATTTTGTATTTTTTCTAATCACATGATATGTTCGCATAATAATAAATAATAAATAGGTAATAGAACACATGAATGTCCTAACAACGTATTAGGGACAGATTACTTAATAAAACTTTTGACAGCTCGTTGACCACCGAAAAACGCTTTCAGAAACTCGATTTTCTGTTGATTGTTCGTTAATCAGTGACTAATTGCAAATCAAAATCAATGTTGTTTAAGACGTTCTAGCAACTCAGATCATGTTAAACAACGATTGACAAGAGATTTATCGTAAATTAAAATTGATTGCGCTTTCGGAAACTGGGTGTAAGTCTTATATTTAATTTTGAGAAGTTCAAGTAGTTACGATATTTTTAGGTCGGTTGAAATATGTCAAGTTTGTTTGTAACATTACTTGGAATGGCGCAAACTGTTGACAAAAAGTTTTCATCTGTGAAGTTTTGACGTTTTTATGAGCTACATAACACGAGGTAGTTTTGCCTTGACCTGGCGAAAGCGTTTCAAACGATTGATATTAATAATAATAAATATAAGTGTTATCCAAAGAGTAAAATGGGACCCTATTACTAAGCTCTCTCCGCTGTCTCTCTGTCTGTCTGTCTAAGAACCGTGATAGTGAGACAGTTGAAATTTTCACAGATGATGTATTTCTGTTGCCGCTACATAGATACGATACAACAGGTATGAATTTTTTGCCGTTTTTATAGATAATGGCAGTCCGACTCGCACTTGGCCGGTTTTACACAACATTCTCTAGTCCCAAGGGATAATATTCCGAATAGTACGTCTCGTTTTTCAAGCTAGAAAAAAATTTTAATCTATAGAGAAATGTTAATAACTAAATACTATATAAGTTATAATCAATGAAAACCACTAGATTATGAGGAAAAAATTAACAAAGTTTTTAAATTTCATACAACTGAAATCCGTCATTACTGTGCGTCCATTATTCATTATAGACTATTATTTTAAGTTAAAAACTTACGTATTCAGTTTTTACGTTGTAAGAAGACACAAATACACAGATATATCACAAAAACACAAGTTTCTACTTCATGAACATGTATTATTAACAATTTCTTAAATTTAAAATTTGTGACTTAGTGTACACTTAATGTCTCGAATATTAGGTTCAAAATGAGTCACAGATCCGACACAGAGCGATCCGACTCAGATAGGTTAGGTTAGAAGGTTAGCCTTCGTTGTTAGGTTCTTTGTGTTGTCAAACACAAAATGGCGGATTTATTTAGTGAAAATAACAAGTTTTAAATATTTTTTTATTAAAAGTAAGTGTTTGCCTTGGTTTTCACGTATGTAATATTTAATTATTAACATTTCTTTATCGATTAAAATTTTGTTCTAGCTTGAAAAACGAGACGTACTGTTCGGAATATTTACCGTCCCAAGTTTAGCAACGCTTGTACTATAGGTACTAGATAACTGATAAAGATACTTAAACATACTTTTCTTTTGTAAATAAGTACATTACATACAGTATTTACGTTACCAGGTATTTCTTTGCAAGTATACCAACCGATTACCGGGTACAGACCTGATATACTTGCAAGACTTGAAAGTATTTTTCCGTTAAAGTCCCTTCAAAGTAAGTACCTACTACTCCGTCGAACCGTATCATAAGAAAATGAAAACAAAAAGAGGGCCTTAAAAATAAATTAATTAAAATAATTTAGTCGTGGACCACCCTTGACATTTAGGGGGATGAAAAATAGATGTTGTCCGATTCGCAGACCTAACCGATATGCAAACAAAGTTTCACGAAAATCGGTCGAGCCATTTCGGAGGAGTTTAATTACAAACACCGTGACACGAGAATTTTGTATATTAGATAATCTCCTAGACCAGTGATTCTCAACCACTGTGCCGCGGCACTTTTGTGTGCTGAAAATTTCAAAAGTGTGCCGCCAAATTTTGCAAATATATAATAATGTTAATATTATTAAATTATATCATTTAAAAAGAAAATTATTTTGTTGGCATTAGCCAACATTAAAACTAAAAAAAGATCAAGGTTGTTAAATGTAGAATATGAGAGTAGCATTGTCATTTAAACGACTAAATATAAATGAAATTATCAAAAAACATCAAGCTCAAATTTCGCATTAAAATATTTTTATTATTAGCTTGTAATTTATCCATTAATAAACGTTTAGTTATTATTGTAATATATATTAGTTTATTTCGTATATTTAAAATTTTTATCATAAACTATTTATGCAGTGTGTTGTAGTAAGTAAATAATTTTTATCTTTTACTTTGTGTGCCACCAAATTTTGAAATCGTTTAATATGTGCCGCAACAAAAAAAAGGTTGATATTTATTTTATAACTGTATCGTGTTTCGAGAGAATGTTTTTTTTTACGCGAAAAGTTCCCAACCGATTGGGCTGTTATGATCACCGCCGCCCAAGACGGAGGTGGTGGACATATCTGTGGATATATCTGTACAAGACCGAGGTGGTGGATACGTAACGCTGCCAACCATTAAAAAGTGGGCCCCGGCTACCTCAACCACCAGACGAAACGAGAATGTACAATACTTCGAATGCACGCCCATCTACTGTGGGGCAGTGGTAATCCGGAAAGCCTGCCCGTTTTTGCAACAGCGAAGAGTGCTGCGCGGCCTTGCCACAGTTAAAGTGTTGCCACTACCTTTTCAGGGGATGCCTGCGTGAAGAACGGCGCGAGTGGCACGTGCCTGCCCCTTGACAACTGTCAACCGGCCATTAACGATATTAAGAGAAGGATACCACCACAGGTAAGAAATTAACAATTAATTCCCTTCGTCTATTAGCGACCCGATTGGCGAAGTGGGTAGTGGCCCTGCCTCTTGCGCCAGAGGGTGTGAGTTCGATCCCCACTAGTGGGAAAATATTGTGTGATGAACATAGTGTTTTTCCAGTGTCAGTTATCTAGTACCCATAGTACAAGCTTAGTTTGGGACTAGAAAATGTTGTGTAAAAATGTCTTCTGAAATATTTTTATTTATTATTTTTATTGGCGATGTTGTAAAGGTCAAAATAAAAGTACCAGTTATCGACAACTATATTACCATATTTTATATTTGATTATTCAAAACATGCATGAAATGTCTGATCGATAATATTTAAAATTGTTTGATAAAACAATTTTTTTTTCGTGATTTTAAGTGCACGCACACGCACACACACGCACACACACGCACACACACGCACGCACACACGCACACACACACATTGTATTTGTTGCTCGTACACACACACACACACACACACACACACACACACACTTTTAAAACGAAAACTGTAACGGCTTTAATAATAAGTCTCAATTACTTTCACTCTTATATTTTATAATTTGTTGCTCGTACCTTTTCCATCTTTTAAAACGATAAATAATAAAAAGTCTCAATTATGTTGCCAAACTAGCTGGCGGTTCACATGATATGAAGTGATAACCACCACCCACTTTGAACTCCCGTAGTGTTGCAGTTGCGTAGACACATTTTAATTAAGTGGGCCCCAGCTACCTCCCTCGACAGACGAAACGCAGCAGTATAGCACTTCCAGTTCACGCCGGTCTTCTGTGAGGTCGTGGTACTTACCCGGACGAGCCTGCTCATTCGTGCAACAGCAAAGACTGTTGCGTGGCCGGCCCTACCACGGTTAAAGTTACAATTATAAGTCCGAAACCCGTATGATAGTGCGAAGACGCTCTAGCCAACCTTGCAAAGTGTTAACCAAAACTCTCTGAATTTCACCTTTGTCACCGTCCTTTCAAGATATGCTCGTTCAGTGGGATGACCTCCATTGTCTGCTGCGTGGAGTCTTCGCCACCAGCGCCTACTGTGACCAGAAGACCACCGGCGCCGACCACATCCAGACCGCCCGTCCTCACGACTTCCAAACAACGGTGCGTTTTTCCACAACCTATCTTTATGCACATACATATACTAGCTTTTCGCCCGCGGCTTCGCCCGCGTTGAAGCCCTTAAATAAATATCTTTCTTTAAAAACTATTATATATATTTTTTAAAGAATGACATTTTCAACTTTTTACAACACTTTTTTCCAATTAAAAAATAGCCCATGTCCTTTCTCAGGCTCTAGACTATCTGTGTGCCAAATTAAATTTTAATCGGTTCAGTAGTTTTGGCGTGAAAGCGATATAGAAAGACAGACAGAGTTACTTTCACATTTATAATATTAGTATGGATAATTTTTATGTGTATGTGACTGAACTCCTAAACGGCTGGACGAATTTTAATGAAATATTTTGTGTATCTTCAGATTGATTAGAGAATGGTTTGGATTCACAAATCGTGGTTCACCCGCTTTTAATTGTTCACCGCCGCCCATGGACATTTGCAACATCTGAGGGGTTGTAGATGGATTGATAACCTTTAAACATTGGGCCTCGGATACCTCACCAGACGAAACGCAGAAGAATATAGATACTTCCACTTCACGACGGTCTTCTGCGAGATTGAACCGTTCAATTTTCGTATACGCCGTACGGAATTATTTCGAATCTGTATTTCTTCCACGAAGGACCAGTCAGCTACCGATCCGGCCGGTGTCTCGGTAACCAGGCTATTACTAGCCGAGGTCCAAACTCGGGGGCCCTTGAGCCTAGTTACTCCGTGGAGCGTCTGCCAAAGCGACGTAAGAGATTGGCGTCGTCCCAAACCGGTGAAAATAATAATAGCGTGACGGCCCGAGCCGAGGCTTCCTCGGGAGTCCTCGGGCTTAGTCACCCATAATCTAGGTACAGGACAACCTTTACAGATGTAAAGGATCTCTAAAGGGGGCGTCCATTAATCTCGTGATGTTTTTTTTAAGCATTTTTAGCCCCCCTTCGCCCCTTGGTGATACGTGGTGAGGTTTAGGACTACCCCCCACCCTCCAATCAAAATCACGCGTATTTTTAGTACCTGCAGAGAATCTTAATACTGCTTTTCGGTTTAGAAATCGCGAGTTTGACAAAAAAATAAATACACGCGATATCTTACTACACCCCTCCTACCCCTTGTGATATTTCGTGATTTTTGCCAAACCCCCTCCCCCCCTTTCGAGCCTCACGTGATTAATGGGCGGCCCCAAAGGCCTCCTTGAGGCCAAAAGTCAAAGATCCTTTAAAAAAAAAACACAAACTGGACGTTTCGTTTGAACGCGAGAAATGTTTCCATTCAAAGTGGGGACCCGTCTGGACACGCACTTGTTCCAGGATCACCACCACCACAGAGTACGTGCCCCCGGTCTACGACTACGTGGTGAACGACCCGAGTACCGCTGCGAAGGACGAATGCGAGCCGGTGTCGCCCAAACTCACCGCGCCCAGGACTGGGCGGAAGGCGTGGGACAGTGAGTAGCTTCAGACACGACTCACGTCTGTGCTAGGGCCACGCAGCAGACTTCACTGTTGCACGAATGGGCAGGTCCGTGACGTCGACGAGGCCGGCATGAAGTGGAAGTACATAAAAATAACACGTTCGTAAGTTACCACCGGTTCGGAAAGCAGTTTCTGTTGAGAAGAAACCGGCAAGAAACTCAACAGTTGCGCTTTTTAAATCGATTAGTTTACAATGTAATAGGATAAATCTTACTTTAGCCTACGTGAGTATCAACAGTATTAACCCCACACATTGGCGTCGTCAAGATATTCCGCAATGGTATAATATGCTTTAGCCGTAAGTTCATTATTAATTTTGCGTTAAATTGATCAAGTGGCAGACTTATTACTATTAGTGTGACCAGCAGATAGTATTTTCGGTTATGAGTGTTTGTCCACGTCAACCTCGCGGCGCACGAGTTCGACTCGCACTTGACTGGTTTCATACTCTTGCAAAACAAACATCGTGTCCAAACCGGATGCGAAACCCAGAAGTAAAACACCGCTCCGTCCTGTGATCCTCCAGGCCTTGTCTGTCTCACCAGAGTGCATAGAGTACCAGGAGAAGTAACAGGTCTTGTCTAGTCTTTTAGATCACTCTTTCCCCCTCACCAGAGTGCATAGAGTACCAGGAGAAGTAACAGGTCTTGTCTAGTCTTTTAGATCACTCTTTCCCCCTCACCAGAGTGCATAGAGTACCAGGAGAAGTACGTGTACCCGTGCGTGGACGGCAACGCGCTGTCCGGCGGGAAGGCGCGCGTGAACCGCTGCAAGCACAACGCCGACGACCTGATCGTTGGCGGCGTGAACGCTTCGAAGTCCGAGTTCCCGCACATGGTAAGTTCCCATCGACCGACTTTCTCCCCCCCCCCCCCCCCCTCCCCCCCTCCTCTCAAAGTCCGAGTTCCCGCACATGGTAAGTGGTCCTAACTGGCCGACTTTCTTCCCCCCTTTTATTGTACACACAATTACGATACAGAGAAGTGGAGCAAATGACAAAATAACCAACTTTTCACTGACGAAAAAACAAAACCGACTTGAAATATCTCGGCCCTGTGTTCATTTCGTAATTGATTTTCAGGAGTTTATTTTTATTTTTTTTTATTATGTATGGAAAACTTACAGCTAACATACAACCATTAATATATAAATAATGAAAAAATTTACAAGTTCTCGCAAATAGATCAAGGAGTAAGATACATGAGATAGATAGAGATAACGATTAAACAAAGAAAAGAAGTAGGTATAATATAATAAATATTACACTAAATTATACATAAAAAAAGTAAAATGTTAATAATTTAATGCAAGTTCCCTAAGCATCTCCGGAGCCCAAGATCCAATATCAATGAATGTCAGTTTTTTTTTCTATGTAAGAAAGTGTCAATCGAGCTGGTGGTTCACTTGATGTTAAGTGACAACCGCCGTCCATGGACATTTACAACACGGAGGGTTGTAGATGCGTTGCGACCTTTCAATAAAGTGGTCCCCGGCTAGCTCGCTCACCAGACGAAACGCGGGAGTATAATACCTCCAACTCACGCCAGTCTTCTGTGAGGTCGTGGTACTAAGCCGGGCGGACCTGCCCATTCGTGCAACAGCCGAAGACTGTTGCGCGACCCTGCCACTGCTACGTTGACGAGGAAAATTATAGTGGATGATTACAATGCATTAAGGCACAAAGTGTGTATTGACACCTATTCTACCATATAGGTCAACTTTATTGTAAACAGTTTTAAAATTCTTCCCTTGATTGTTTTCTTATGTGTAAAATATAAAAGTCTAGACATGCACATTACGACCGTGGTCGCATCCACCTGGATGTCCAGGCATCCAAGCTTTAATAGTTCATACTATGTAGAAAGAAAGAAAGAAAGAAATATTTATTTGGTACATACCAAACAAAACATAAAATAAAAACAAAATAAAAATAACAATTAAAATTTTGAAATCACAACTTGAAGTCAATGTACCAAAAAGGTCACCACTCAGCATTACATCGCAAAAAAGAGAAGATATTTTTGCGATTACTGATTTTCAGTGGAGCCTGGAGAGATTGATAGATGACTTTAACAACAATAATAACATAGTCGTATAATTTAACAAAAACAGATTATTTATATACATAACAACAATTGCATTTAGCGCCTGTTTGTATGTGTATGTGGGTGTGGTAATTTTTGTAAATGATTTGTAAGTGGTAATGTAAGCTTTGGAATTGTATTGTATTGTATTGTATTGTATTGTATTGTATTGTTATTTGGAAATACACTCTAGGGTTTCAAGTGGATTTTTGCATTGATATCAGAAAGGTTTTTAATTTAGCTTTGAAGGAATGAATAGACACTAAATTTCTTATGGGGGGAGGGATATTATTCCAGCACTTGGTAGCAGCGAACCGGAAACTACCTCGAAAAGCAGCTGTTCGAGACGATGGGTAAACAAGCCGAGGCGCCGTTCTAACGGAGCGCTGAGAAAATTTAAGCTTTTCGAATAAGTAGTCCGGTTCTTTGGTTTTCAACTCCAAAAAGCAGCGTATAAATGTACGTTATGTATTGCGGCGGCTTGAAACGAGCATGAATTAATTGAGGAAAATTCCCTCTGCATATTTAACCTAAAGAGAAGTGATAGCTCATTGTCCGGGCCCTCGCTTTTAATTCGATCGACGCGAGTTCGATCCAGTGCCGGCACCAAGGAAATAGTGAATTTTTATCGCCGTCTTATCACGTGCTCAGCGGCGAGGTGAAACATTGTGAGAAAAAGAAAACAATATTGTCGAAATACGAGTAATAACAAACACAATGCTTCGAAGACGTGGGGGACTATTCCGTTATACCTTCTGTACAGGCCTCTTTCGAGCAGTGGCGTATGCTGTAACTTTACTTCATCAACATCATCATATCAGCCTGTTTGAGTCCACTGCTGAACATAGGCCTCCCCCACAGACCGCCACGAAGCACGATTTTGAGCCACCCGCATCAAATCAAATCAAGACAAATCATTTATTCATCGTACTAAGAAATATACATTTTAATATATCGATAGTAATTTTTTTAATCTACCACCGTTTCGTGATGGGGTTCTTCTAATCCATCCATCGACTTCCTGCCCACCCACCCACATAGGTCGTCACTCCATCATTATTCAAGCATAACTTTGACTTTGGCAATGTCACGTCAGGCTCTCCTCGGCTTCGGCACCGATCTGCCGTCTGTCCAGTGGCAGTGTGGTGGCTCCATCATCAGCGAACGGTTCATCTTGACGGCGGGCCACTGCACACGCGCGAGAAACTTGTATGCTATATTGATTATATCATCATTCCGTCCGATAAGTTAAGACCCTTAAGTTAATTGAAGCAATAAATGAGTTGCATGGTCTAAACAACAAATGGTCTAACAAATTATTGCGCGCAATTTATTGCATTCAATTATTGCTCTTGTATGTACAAGAAAATGGCATCGTGTAAATGGGCCTTTACTTAGAAACAGTGTCCCAACAAGTTGACGACCCGATTGGAGGCGGGAGTAATGCACCTGCCTCTTGCGCCAGAGGCTGTGGGTTCGATCCCCACTATAAGAAAAATATTGTGTGATCAACATAGTGTTTTTCCAGTGTCTGGGTGTTTATATAGGTACGTATGATATGTATTTACTTACAAAAGAAAAGTATGTTTAAATATCTCTATCAGTTTTCTAGTATCCATAGTACAAGCGTTGCTTAGTTTGGGACTAGAGAACGTTGAGTAAAAATTTGTCCGATAATATTTATTTATTATTTGTTTAAGTCAATTTTTTATTAAGGAAAATTAAACCGACTTCAATTATATCTCTCTGTACTTCCCTACGTATCTCCCGAGCCCAAAGTTCTGAGGTAAAAAACATAAAAAAATACAGTCGAATTGAGAGCCTCCTCTTCTTTTGAAGCCTGTTAAAAATGTATAATCAAATCAAATCAAAAATATATTTATTCAAAGAGACGCTTGCGCGCTCTTATGAATCGTCAATTTACATCAAAGATTATGTATACAGGTTCGAAAGGTACCACCGGTTTCGGAAAGCAGTTTCTGTTGAGAAGAGACCGGCTAGAAACTCAACAGATGCTCTTTTTCAAAAGTATCAATTTACAATATAATAAACAGGTACAATAGTCTTATTCTAGCCTACGTGAGTATCAACAGTATTAACTCACACACACATTGCCGTCGTCGAGATATTCCGAAATGGTATAATATGATTTAATCATTAGTTGATTTTTAATTTTACATTTAAATTGGTTGTTATAGATAAGACTGACACAAAATTTTTGCTGCCACCAGGATTCGAACTGGCACCTTCTGGATTAAACGTCCATCTAAAGGACGACTGTACAGTGGTTCTATTTATTTTTCACCTTATGATTTAACTGTGGTAGGGCCACGCAACCGCACGAATGGGCTGGTCCGTCCGGGTTAGTACCGCGACCTTACAGAAGATCGGCGTGAAAGAGAAGTGTTTCTGCGTTCTGGCGAGTGAGGTAGCCGGGGCCCACTTTATTAAAAGATCGCAATCCATGTGCAACCCTACGGCTGTTGCAAATGCCCATGGGCAGTTATCACACCGGTGATATACCGGGCGAACCGCCGGATCTTTCACCACTTTCTCCCATAAAAACCCTGTCTGTTTCCAATGAACTTTCCGGTGCACTCCAGGGGCCCAGTGACGTACGCGCTGGTGGGCATACTCAGCAAGAAGGAGCACGTGGACTCCTCGATGCTGTACAGGGTTGAAGTAATAAAACACCCCCAATACAGGCCGCCACACAAGTATAACGATATCGCCCTGCTTAGGACTGACAGAGAGTGAGTATAGCTGCTTGTATCTCTATACATCCATGTGATAATTTCTTATGTTACACGTTACTACTTACACTACACGTCATCATAACACATTACTAAATGAAACCATGTTTAGGGATTTGTCGCGATTTTTTTTAATTTTGTTTTCCGACGTCTCGAACCCTTTACGGCGTTCATGGTCACGGGACAGACTGAGGCGTTGGAGCTATAAAAACCCGCGTGAAGGAAGGAACAAATAAGTCTGCAGTATGTGAACATTTAAATCGCCCCAACCATTATATCAGGGTTCTGTCCAAGTGTTCCAAACTCACAACCGACCACACATTCCGAACTTTCCGATTTACCAGACATTTATAAAATGGGCCGTTTGTTTCACACACATTTAATTATGTTACTGCAAAGGATACTTAGATATCCACCTCGTAAGGGAAGATCCTTAGGCATCCACTCCCTAAGCGTGGATGCCTAAGGCCCTACCAAAGTAACTGTGGTGGGGCAGGCTCGTCCGGGTAAGTACCACGACCTCACAGAAGACCGGCGTAAAGTGGAAGTATAATACTTCCGCGTTTCATCTGGTGAGTGAGGTGGCCGGAGCCCGATTTTCAAAAGGTTGGAAACGCATCTGCAACCCTCGGGTGTAGCAGATGTCCATTGGCGGCGGCACACTTAACATCAGGTGAACCGTCTGCTCGTTTTGCAAAAAACAAGTTTTCATATGGAACGATAGTTTCCTCGGCTGAAACAAATTGGAGGGCCAACGCGGCAGCAAAATTTGGGACTCGGTCTACATCTGACCTAGTCGGATGCCCACAGCATTGCGATGAGCCAGGAGGTGCTGCCGGCCTGCCTGCACGTAGATACTTCTGCAGCGGATCAGCGCGTGTGGGCCACCGGGTGGGGGGCCACCCAGAACAAGGGCACCAGCCCTGATGTCCTGCAGAAGGTAAGGCCAAACCGGGTGGGTCTTCAAGAAAAAGTTTCCTTCGAGAAGAGATCTTGTGTAGTACAACATTTCTTGTGTATTGCGCTAGTATACTGCTAGTATACTCAGACATATTTGGAAAACTTACAGCTAGAAGTCATTGTTTGATCAAATTTAACAAAATTAAAGGCCAATTAAAAGTTTTCCTATTAGGAAATTTGGTATACAATTATATGTTCAGTGGAGAAGCGTTAAACAATAAAAAGAAAAGTAGTAAATTTAGTAGTTATACACTATTAAAAAAAGGTATTTAAAGTAAGTAACAAGGAAGTAAGAGTCCCCTCAATAAGGGTAACTGCTTTTAAAGAAGTTTATTGCACATGCATTTTTTTAGTGGGGCCGTTTTGGTGTACACTGTTGCACGAATGGGCAGGTCCGTCCGGGTAAGAACCTCGACCTCGCACTCCGGCGTGAGGTGGAAGTGTTACACTTCTGCGTTTCGTCTGGTGAGTGAGGTAGCCGGGGCCCACTTTATTCAAAGTCAAATTTTCTTTATTCAACATACTAAAGACCACTAACTTCTTACTAAAGACCACTTTGTCACATAATATAATATGTATATATATATTAGCTTTACTGTTATTTTTACCATAATTATGTTCATGCCATTGTACTCACGTGTCTTTTTTTTATTCCTTGTTCCTTTTATTTATTTATTTTCTATAGCAATTGTAATTTAAGATTTCTAAATGTGAAAACTTATAAATGGCTTCTTTAGTATTTAATATCACTCAATTATCTTTGTTAATAGCTGTAAGTTTTCCGAATAAATTAAAATTAAAATTAAAATAGGCTTATTTTAATGTCTTATTTAACGTCAAAAACTACCACCTATTAAAAGGTAGCAGCACATTTTGAAGCCTACGGGTGTTGCAACTGTTCATAGGCAGCGCTTATCACTAAACATCAGGTGAATCGCCAGCTCGTTTGCCGCTTTGTGAAAAATTGAAAAGTATTTCGCAAAGGTGTGTAAGTGAAAGTATGACTCAAAGTTAAAATTCGCTGGCGTTTATTATCTATTAAGATAATAGAATATTTGTCTCGACTCGCGGGCTCGATTACAGTTTAGACCAGAGCTATATGACGTGAAATAATTTCTGGACACCAAGTATGATTTTAAGGTATTTGTCGACTCTTCCTGGATTATGCCCAAGTGTTCCAAATTCATAACACACCACGCATTCCTAACTTTCCGATGTTATTTATAAAATGGCCTGTTTCTTTCACACATTTAATTAGGTCGCCTGCAACGGATACTCGGACAACCCTGTAAGGGTGGATCCTTAGGCCTCTACCTTCTAAGAGTGGATCCTCAAACATCCACCTTAAAGGTGGTGGAGGACATGAATTAGGATCCTCAGGCATCCACCCCCTAAGAATGGATCCTCTGGCATCCACCCACTAAGAATGGATCCTCAAGTATCTACCTTAAAGGTGGTGGAGGACATGAATTAGGATCCTCAGGCATCCACCCCCTAAGAATGGCTCCTCAGGCATCCACCTCCTAAGAATCGCTCCTCAGACATCCACCCTCTAAGGGTGGATCGTCAAGCATCCACCCCCTAAGATTGGATCCTCAGGCATCCACCCTCTAAGAGAGCATTCTCAGGCATCCTTCCCCTAATAATGGATCCTAAGCCATCCACCCTCTAAGAGTTGATCCTCAAGCATCCACCTTAAAGGCGGTGGAGGCATAAATTAGGATCCTCAGGCATCCAAGCTAACGTTGGCTCCAGGTGGTCCTGAACAAGTTCTCGGAGTTCGAGTGCGCGCTGCTGTTCCCGCCCGCGCGTTTGCTCGCGAACGGGTTTGACGCCAACACGCAGTTGTGCTACGGCGACAAGGACAAGTCCAAAGACACCTGCCAGGTGCGTACAGCCCCGGCTGCCAGAGGGTAACTGGTGGTGTGGCCACCCCACTCCGCCACCGTCGGACGAGGCGGCCATACCTATCGGGTATGGAACGGGCCTCTGCCGTACATACCCGGTGTGCGTACTGGTATGTTCATACTGGGTATTTATACCTGTGCCAGTATATACGCCTCATCCCTACACCCCACATTCACGGTACACGAAACAGTCTTCGCCGTTGCACGAATGGGCAGGTCCGTCTGTGGAAGTACCGCGACCACACAGAAGACCGGCACGAAGTGGAAGTTTTATATTCAATGTACTCGAGCGACCTAAGTTCGAATCTCGTTCAAGTGCCGATGCCAATAAAGTGTTAGTTACGATTTTAAGTGCTGACTTCTTACGTGTTCAGCGTCGAGGATAACATCTTGAGGAATATTGCATATTTTCGGAATAATGACAACAACAAAAATTAAGTTACCCCGTAAGGTGATCATACACCAGGACCATTCAAAAACAAATCAAAAATCAGATATATATATTTATTCACATAGACACTTGCGCGTTCTTATTAAATGTCAAACTTTCACTACCTCACTTCATGGTTAGGCTACCCCGTAATGTAGTCACTGACACCAGGTCCACTACCTCACTTTATGGTTAGGCCTCCCCTACGGTGGTCACACACCAGGTCCATTACTTCGCTTCATGGTGAGGCCTCCCCTACGGTGGACACACACCAGGTCCACCAGCCCGCTTCATGGTTAGTCCTCCCCTACAGTGGTCACAGATCAGGTCCACTACCTCACTTTATGGTTAGGCCTCCCCTAGGGTGGTCACACACCAGGTCCATTACTTCGCTTCATGGTAAGGCCTCGCCTACGGTGGTCGTCCACCAGGTCCACTACCTCACTTCATGGTTAGGCTACCCTTGCGGTGGTCACCGCCACCCGGCCTGGTGGCAGTGACCAGCTCGTCGCGAACAGGGCGACAGCGGGGGGCCGCTGCAGCTGCCGGGGGGCCGCATCCACTGCATGTACACCGTGGTGGGGGTGACCTCGTACGGGCGCGCGTGCGGGGTGGTCGGTGAGCCGGGGATCTACTCCCGGGTGGCCGCCTTTGTGCCCTGGATCGAGAGCGTCGTCTGGCCTTGACGAGTGTTGGAGGGGGGGGGGGGGAGAATAAATAATTGACTCTGGACTGTGTTTTATTTGGTCCCTGTTGGTGCTTTTGTTAGTGGTGACGTTTTGGAGTGGTTATGTGGGTTGTACTGGGCTTTTCAGTAGTATGGAAGCGACAGGATGGAGCGAAGCGAAGAGATAGGAAGAAACTGTATACACGTAACTTACACACTTTATTGTCCACAACACATAGATAGTTCAGGGCGGAAGGAAAATCACAAACAGCAATGTCCTTAAAATATTTAAACGCATTGATTACAAAGTAGCCGCAGAACATTAGAGCGTTGCAGACTTCCCGTCGCATACGAGGGACACAGTGAAAAGATCGGGAATAAGAAAAACCGCATGCACAGTATAGCTCAATTGTATTTTGTTGTTTTTCTAAGTATTCTCCGTTCAACTTAATGCACTTTCCCATTCGTGCAAACCAATCATTAAAACAATAATTCCGGTCTGAAGTTGACGTTGACAAAATGGCCGATTTCGCTTCCACAGCTGCGTCGGGGTCTTTAAACTGTTGACCGCGTAATAAATCTTTCATTCTAATTCTTTAATTCTAAAAGTTGATAAAATACTATAATAAATCAACTTTTCATTTTGAATTTTACTTAATACTATACAGAAGACACTATTTCTGCGTCATGAGAGTATCACGCGCTTAGTTCAGTTTGCTGTGGTAGGGCCACGCAGCAGTCTTCGCTGTTGCACAAATGGGCAGGTCCGCCCTGGTAGTGGTAAATAACAGGACCTCACAGAAGACCGGCATGAAGTGTTCCACTTCAGGTTCTGCGTTTCCTCTAGTGAGTGAGGTGGACCCCCCATTTTGTTAAAAGTTGGCAACGCGTCTACGAATCCAGAGGACGCAGAATTCTTCGACAATTCATTATTAGACTCGCATTTAAATTGGACCTAAGTGTAAAACTTTAAAAAGTATATGTTTTAAACATATAAAATAAAAATAATGATAAAAATAAACAGCGGGTGAGGCTTATTTATTTAAAGGTTTAATGTCTATATTCCTGTATTAGCCTCCAGCTTTCGACGCAGACACCTTCTACAATCAGAAGGGTCAATTCCAGACGATGCCTTCAATCCAGGACACGTAGGCCGAGACCCTGGTGTACACCCCTGGCATGCCAGGGGAGCCACACTCGTTGCCGAATGACGTCACCCCCACTATTGTGTACATGCAGTTGATGCGGCCAGCAGAGAGCTGGAGAGGACCGCCGCTGTCTCCCTGTGTAAAGTCATTTGTGGAGTTGACTCTGGTTACCACGTATAGAGCCGGTTCGAGAGTTCGGTTATAATTGTGATATACAGCGTGTCGTTACCATCGCGACAATAAATGAACACACGTCTAACGCTACTTACCAATAATCATAAAAAAATATTAACGTTAAACAATATCCATAATTAAAAAAAAATATTTTTCAAACAATCTAATTAAGTAAAAAAGAAACAAAATTTATAACATCCTATACAACACGCGCCACAGCGTTGCATTACAAGTCTCTCCTTCTAACAGTATGTTTTGTCTCTTTTAAATTCATTCAACCCATTCATATGCTTTGTGACCTTTATGAACTTTACGTTACAGTTTTATACGTTAGCATGTTCTAAAATTCTTTGTTTTGGAAAATTTAATAACTCGGTAAATATTGATGTTTAAAGATTGTAAATGTTTAATACAATTTTTAAAAGTTATCCTCTATATGTGTATTCATTTATTGTCGCGATGGTAACGACACGCTGTATACTCACGGTGATGATGATAGGAGAGTGATGAATGTGAATGTGGTTGGAGGGTGTACAGGAAGACTGAGAAATGATATGTTTGTGAAAGGGGTGAGTATTGGAATGGCGATTGATAGAGGAAAGTGAAAGGAAAGAATGCGTTGTACTGACTCCACGTAGTGTGGGATGAGAAAAAAGGAAAAGATAACCAGATAAGCTGAAAGACTTATATAAATTATTAGTATGATGAGATAATTTAGAGTACAATTTATATTGAAATAGTACGCTGTCCTCATCTCTCGCTGAAGACGAATAAGGTGACTTCAAGGAAAACAATGATGGTTTCAATTTAAACCACACAGAAGTGGACAGCTATACTATGATAACTGATTATAATAAAATTGATAACTATGTTGACTTCCGTCATCATAATGGAGATAAACGTGAGGTCTACACCATTAATGTTAAATTATGTTTAAAATGTGAACTCAATAATGTTAATGGTAGGGCAGTAAGATCTGTGACTACAATGAAAACGAGAATAATGTTAGCATGGTAAGAACTATCGATTAATATTAACGTAAAGAACAGCAGTGCTGATGATATAGATGACTAGATTGGCAGCTATGATGACAAATATTACGATTACATTTCTGATGGCGAAGTCAAGTATAGATTGGACGTGATACCCAAAATTGAAATGGTTATGACATAGGTATTGAATAAAGATAAACGTAGAAAAATTATAAACGTAGATAAAGATGGAATTAATCACAAGAAAATTATTATGACGGAGAACGTGGATCTGATGGAGGTTAAATTAAGGACACAAATTAAAAAAGTTTTATAGAAACCTATATGTTAAAAGGGCAAGCTTAAAGGTAAGTTTTCATTGTCATTCATGGGCATCGGTTTTTGTTAACTATGGGACTATATTTTACTCACCCAACTAAATTCAAGTTATACATACCAAAACCTAGTATGACTCCACCGCAGCTTTTAACGGAGACGATTATATAAGTTATACCTCTTTTGGCGTGTTTAAAAAAAATATGTGAGTAAAATTTTTACGATATACGCACACTCCATCCCCAAAAAGCGACATAATGAAGTTGGTTGCAAAGCAACACATAAGTACTCAAATACTTTATTTATTTTCTTTACCACCCTTCCCTCATCACACCTACCATCTAGTTGCATGCACTTAAAATTTACTTATAAATGGCGTCAATACTGCCCAGCTCTGGACTGATTAGACGCACACATTAAAAATTTTAATGACTCCGTGGCACAGTTGCCAAGGTATCGGCTTCGGCGTCGGGGCTCGTGGGTTCGTTCCCACACAGGACAAGTAATTGTGCGACCCACAGATAGTTGTTTCGCATCAGGGTGTTCGTTACAACACAGGATAATGTTATCCTAAAGTGAGGGCAATGTTTTTCTTTGATGACTGAAATGAACAAACCAAATAAATATCAAATGATAAAACGATGATACAAGTTGAAGAATGATTATCTCTTAATAAAAACAGAAAAATCAAGCAAACAGAAAGAATTAGGTAAATCAAATCAAATCAAATCAAATCAGACGTCAAAAGCAAATAAAACCGTTTAAAAACTTTTAAGTTAAACGGTTTTATTTTATGTGCACTGAAAACTACAATATTGTATTGTCATCTAAATTAAATGTGTGTACCAAATTTCAGATCAATCTGACAACGGGAAGGTGCTTAAATTTCAATTTTTAATTTTGACCCAAATAAACAAACAAATTCCGTACGGGTCGAGCTAAATAAAACCGTTTAATAAAAAGTAAAAAAACTACATCAGCCATCAAAACAGCAAAAAGGTCCGCAACAATGACATTGACGGCCGACTCACCTGGCAGGTGTCCTTCGACTCGTACCTGTCGCCGTAGCACAGCTGGGTCTTGGGGTCGAACCCGTTCTCCAGGTTGCGCTTGGGCGGGTACTTGGCCATGCACTCGTGGTCGGGGAACCTCCTGAGGGTGACCTTCTGCAGGGAGTCGGAGTTGTCGCCTTTGTATGCGGTCGCGCCCCAACCGGTTGCGATCGCCCGCTCGTCGTCGACGCGCGTGTCTATGTGCAGGCAAGCTGGGACCGCGTCCTCGCTAAGCCTCATGCTGGAACGGCCACCAAATTTGTGAATCAACCCCGGAATCCATTCTAAGGTTGTCATGCACCTATGTGCCATTAATTACATTTCATTTTTGCATTGTTTACTTTTTACTTATTTTAATTCTAATTTAAAAATAACGTAATTTAAAGATGAAAGTGGCTATTCTTTCCATTTATTACGGTTTTGTTTAATTGTTACTAATACTTTTTCTCTTTTTCTTAAATAAATATAGAGTGATTATTTGTAAGTCGAAATTGTATTTTTATAAATTGCCACTTATTTATATAATCGGTCGCATAATATTAGAAATCGTCAAGAGCTAACTGCTTTGAGATTTTTAGAAACCTTGAACACGATTACCTGCTGTTAAGTGATAACCGCCCAAGGACATTTGCAACACCCGGATGCAAATGGTCGCGGTACTTACCCGGATGGACCTGCCCATTCTTGCAACATTGGAAGTGGCCCTACCACAGTCAATTCCTTTTACTGCAGCACTGGCACATACTCACTCGTTTTCCGTCTCGAGGAGCGCTATGTCGTTGTACTTTGAGGGCGACCTGTACCCCGGGTGCTTGATTATTCGCCGGATCCTGTACACCTGGGACATGTCCACGCGCTGCCGCTTGTCCAGGACACCGAGGAGGACGAAGCCCACGGACCTGTTCCACACCAATGGGGGTGTTCAACACGATTAGGTTATGCTTTATGCGTATGCGTTTTTTTATGTGAAAAGTTGACAAGCGCGCAGGCGGTACACCTGATGTTAAGTGAATACCGCCGCCCATGGACATTCGCTACACCCGAGGGTTGCAGATGCGTTGACAACCCTTTGAAAATTGGGCACCGGCTACCTCACTCACCAGACGCCGACACTTTACGCCGGTCTTCTATGAGGTCGTGGTACTTACCCGGACGAGCCTGCCCATTCGTGCAACAGCCGAGGCTGCTGCGTGGCCCTACCATCTACAATATGAATGGTTAAACTCTCTGAATTGATCATTAAGTAGATCATTCTGATCAATTCAGAGTGTTTAACCACCCTTTTGGCAACGTAAATGACATTTGAAAAGTCAATTGACAGCTGATTAGTTTACATCTACGATGATCAATGTTTCAGAAACCGGACGTAAGACACTAGAAAAACAACACTAAGTTCATCACACATTATTTTTCCAATAGTGGGGATCGAACCCACTGAGTAGGTGGCTAAACAATTTCACTGCATTACCATGTCAACTAATAACTTTTTGACATTTACCAAAAAATACCAAGTTATTTAAATAAACCCTCATCAATTTGATTTAATGTCTTTACGCTAAGGAGTATAGTTTCTCACGTGCAATAAGAATACATATACTTTTTTTTTGTAGTCGGTTGAAACTTAATACTGTTTATGAGAGGTCTTACTGGGCAATTTGATTACGCAAAGTGTGACTTACGTGCGGTTCATAGATGTGCAATGGCCCGCTGTGAGTATGAAGCGCTCGCTGATGATGGAGCCACCGCAAGCCCAGCTCGCCGTCTGCGGGCTGCTCCCGAATCCAAGAAGCACCTGGTTTCCGTTATGGATAAGAGTGAAACCGCCTTTGTGGGAAAAAAGAACAATTATCTTTATCGGGATCCGAAACCCCGCCTTCCGCATACGCGTCCATACGCTCTAGCCACTAAGCTACGTGGTCGACATCCTCAACGCGTTATTTCTGGACTTGTTTTCACACAACGTTCAGCAGGCATCCTCTACGGCCAACTCAACCTATATATATGTCCCACAGCTGGACAAAGGCCTTCTCTGTCAGAGAGTAACAGCATGGTCGACCACGTACATATCGATTTTTTTTGTGATTATTTCGAATATACGCAGATTTCCTCACGATGTTTTAACTCGCCGCCGAGCATGTGGTAAGTCAGCACTTAAAATTAACAATTTATTTGCTTTCGAAAGCGTGTACTTATAAAAAGATATCTCTTTGCTACATCAGGCTGAAATGATGATGATGATGATGACATCATCATCATCATTTCAGCCTGTTTGAGTCCACTGCTGAACATAGGCCTCTCCCACAGACTCTGCCACGAAGTACAATCCTGAGCCACCCGCATCCATCGACTTCCCGCACATTTGCACAGGTCGTCACTCCATCTAGTGGGGGGTCGTCCCACACTGCGATGGCCAGTACGAGGCTTGCCACTCGAGAACCTTTCTTCCCCAACGGATATCGGTTTGCTACATACATAAGACGGAATTCAGGATTCCGTCCTCTGTAGTGATAAAGATTCTCAGAAACCATTACCATGTGTGGGAACTCCCTCTTGGAGGCGTTCAGACCTCCCACCACCAGGTCCTCGGTGGAATGATAGCACCGTCTGGCGCGCACCATGTCGTCCGAGAAGTCGACGCTCTTCACGCAAGGGTACACAAACCTCTCTTGGTACTCCACGCATTCTGAAATTGCGAACTTTTCTCAATACCTACCTGCTACCCGCGACTACGTTTGCGTAGAATAGGCTGAAGGCGTAATATTCAGACAGAAAGACAGATATATATAAATATATATATATATATATATATATATATATATATATATATATATATATATATATATATATAAACTATAGCCTATGTGTTATTCTGATGTATAAGCTACATTATTGTAAAGTTTCATTAAAATCCATTTAGTGGTATTTGCGTGATAGAATAACAAACATTCATCCATACATACAAACTTTCGACTTTATAATATTAGTAAGGAAGTTAGGATTATCCCAATACTGAAATGGGACATTTTCGTAGAGAATAAAGCAAAAAAACTGTTACTATCGAAGGATCGGTTCAAGCAGTATCGGACTGAGCAAACGCGGGGCCCGTAGCAAATACTTTCAAACAGCCCTTGATCCGCTATGGGTTCTTAAATACAAAGTGGTAAAAAACAACTGAATACCTTTGCTTATTCAATAAGTTTCACCCAAAAAATTAAGGCTCAGGCAGATATGAGTGGGTTTTAATGCGGGGTCCGTACCAATTGCTACTTCTGCTGCGTGGTTAATCCAGCACTGGGTTCCTCCACCTCCAGCTACTTCAATCGTCAACCGTAACACAGAAGTGTAAACAACACCATTTTACACGTCAGCAGTCAGTTGTTTTCAAGCGGTGTTCATTTACAATCAGCTGACCACCTGTGAAATAAGGAAGCTTTCGTCGGGAATGTTCAATACTCACTGTCCCAAGCCTTGCGACCGATTTTTGGCGCCGTCAGCTGCGGAGAGACTGGCTCGCAGGAGCTCTGAGGGTACACAGGTCTGGAACAAAATACTTACTTTCAAATCTGAGGAGGCAAGCGAGCTGTTCACCTGATGTGAAGACAAACCACCAAGCATGGACATTTGCAACACCCGTAAGATCGAAGAAACCTAGGCACGTCTCCGGACGACAAGCAGAACTGTAACTGTTCTTCTTCACGCCGGTCTTCTGTGAGGTCGTGGTACTTCGCCGGATGAATCTGCCCATTGGTTCGACAGCAAGGCAATTGCGTGGTCCCAGCACATGGCTATTATACCAAATTCGCGAGCAAAGTAGCATTGAAAATAAGCCTATATTTTGAATAAAGAAATTTTGACTTTCACTTTGACTATAGCCAAATTAGTTAACATAAGTAACTTCATCTCAAGGGTCTCCTACGGGCAGTGTGGGAAAGTCCTCTGTGCGCACTATCCAAATGAAAGCCTAGGTACTTTTTTTAAAACCCAATTTCTAATTAGACAGAAAAATTATACCTCCACTACTCTTACTTGCTTGTATGTATATCCGTATGAATTCTTTTTTTTTATGTGCGAAAGTGGCAAACGAGCTGGCGGTTCGCCTGGTGTTAAGTGATAACCGCCGCCCATGGACATTTGCAGCACTCGTAGGGTTGCAAATGCGTTGCCACCTTTAAATTAAGTGGACCCCGGCTCCCCACTCACCAGACGAAACGCAGAAGTGCAACACTTCTACTTTACGCCGGTCTTCTGTGAGGTCGTGGTACTTACCCGGACGGACCTGCCCATTCGTGCCACAGTGTTGCGTGGCCCTGCCACTGCAAATTTTACGAAATTTTACGGAAATTTTAAGGATTTACCATTTTAAGGATTTTACGGTGGTAGAGCCACGCAGCAGCCTCGGCTGTTGCACGAATGGGCAGGCCCGTCCGGGTAAGTACCACGACCTCACAGAAGACCAGCGTAAAGTGGAAGTATGACAAATACTTTCGCGTTTCGTCTGGTGAGTGAGGTAGCCGGAGCCCAATTTTCAAAAGGTTGTCAACGCATCTGCAACCCTCGGCTGTGGCAGATGTCCATGGGCGGCGGTATTCACTTACCATCAGGTGAACCGTCTGCTCGTTTGGCAACTTTTCACATAAAAAAAAAAATTTAAACGTAGAATACTTTATGTATTGAACAAAATCTTATAAAATTTAGGGTCACGTGTCGGCCTTAATGCCTGATCTTTGACCAGCAGAGGGATATATATTTGCTCTTATTTTACACTTTGCTTTTACCTGCGCCTGGGCGTGGGCCGTGTTGGCGGGAACGTGGTGAAGCTGGTGGTAGGCTGCGGCTGGTACCAATTTACGCAGCAGACTGTTCGCTCCCTTCCCCTTCCCGAGCAGACCTGGGTTATCAACTAGTATTACAAGGTACGTTCGGGGAAAATGAAACTGAAGTGGCTTCTTGGCTATAATTTCAACAGGTTTTGTTTCATAAAAGACGCTTGTGCGTGGGGCTATTCCCTATTTGCCGTACTACTCCTGACCGAATACGAATGAATAATGATATTGGGTAATTATTATTATGGGGGGGATATTCATTTGTTTCCTCGTCTGGTTGGGTTTATAAATAAAAATATAGATACATATTGCATTGGGTAATTATTATTATTATTTCGATGTTTGAGACTTTTATTTTTATTTGAGGCAGTAGCAGACGAGCTGGCGGTTCACCTGATGTTAAGTGATGACTGCCGCCCGTGAACAGTTGCAACACCCGTAGGGTTGCAATGCGTTGCCACCTCTTAATGATGTGGCCCCTGGCCACCTCACCCACCACACGCAACACTTCTTCTTCACGTCGGTCTTCTGTGAGGTCGTGATACTTACCCGGACGGATCTGCCCATTCGTGCAACAGCGAACACTGTTGCGTGGTCCTACCAAAACGTTGTGTAACAACTTGAGAACGTTGTGTAAAAAGTGTCTCAAATATATATTTATTTGTTATTATTAGTTACTGATCAAAATATATCATCAAATTGATCATTTATCAACACATTTTAAGTTTCATAAGACATAAAATCACATAATCGCAAACGACAGTGACTTGTCTACTCACTAATGGTTGCACCCGGTTTCTGCCACCGCCCGTCCTACAATTCCTGGCTGCAGTACACACGCCCTGGTACCCGTTCTGCATGCACGGGGATCCTGCAAATACGCAAGATATGCGTTTCCACACTTACCATAAGGAAGAGAAATTGGATTGTTTGTTGCAGTGTAAGTGGTAATGTTACATTTACACTACAAACTATACAGCGTGTCGTTACAACCGCGACAGAAAATGAACACACGTCTAACGCTACTTGCCAATAATCATAAAAAATATAAGTGTTAAAAAACATCCATAATTATAAAAAAATATTTGTCAAACAAACTAATCTTATCCTTTAAACGAGCAATTCGTGTGCGTACATTCGGGGGCGAAAAATCGATCTATCTGGTTTAATTTTTAGAAAATGTTATTTTATCCCTGTTAGGGAATGAAAAATATAATCCGAATATGACGGTAAATTTCGCCGCAAAAAAAAACCAGATCATTTTGTTTATTTTTTCTTTTTTTTTATTTCCAAAATACACGATTTACTTAAAAAAAACCGAGTAAAGCTCGGTCCTCCAGGTACTTAAATAAAAAAGAAACAAAATTTGTAACATGCCACACAACTACAACTGACTGATTCATTCATTCAGAGACTTTTTCATTCGTTGCCACAGCGACGCATTACAAACAGTATGTTTTATCTCTTTTTAATTCATTCAACCCATTCATATGCTTTGTGACCTTTAAAAATGAACTTTACGTTACAGTTTTATACGTAAGGGTGTTCTAAAATTGATTGTTTTGGGAAGATTTAATAAATCAGTAAATATTGATGTTTAAAAAATATAAAATTTTAATATCATTTTAAAAAGTTATCCTCTATATGTGTGTTAATTTACTGTCGCGATTGTAAAGACACGCTGTATATATATTAAGAAACGGCTTTCAGACAGTACATTCCAGAAACTACCTATGTCAACAAAAGAACAAAATGACGGACAGATGGGTTCAGCCGTGTTATTATTTCATGCTCCGAATTGCTCCGAATTTCGTTAACAATATCTTTTAAAACTATGCCAGTTAATAAAGTTCTTATAATATCATGGTCAATGTAGTTGGCATCAGGATATTCCAAAGATGTTACGCTTATCTCACCTTCATATTGCGCTTCTGATGTAACAGAAATGCAGACAATAAACGAAGCAATCCAAACTCCATTTGTCACTGTATACTTCATGGCGTACAACGAACATAGATCTATGAAGGCACGAACAAAAACTGGCTATATATTATCTATGGCTAAAGTTAGCAACGGGCAACGTAAAAAACTAAAAAAAAAATTCAAATTTAGAACACAAGGAACTAGACGACGTCTGTAATCACTACTAAAACAAATTGTAAAATAGTTTCCTAATGAACGTGACACTAACGGCTTTTAGATTAAATGCGCAATTTGTTAATGGATCAAGTCGTTTATGTTCCCCTGGTAGGTTTTCCGAAATAAATCTGTTTTAATTAAATAGTTTTAGGTATTTTTAATATACTAATGGGAAACATGTGACCAGGTTCACTTGATGATCTACAACAGTGGTGGGTTTTTACTAATAAAATACTAGAGGCGGAATCCCGGGACCGATAATTCAATCGACATGCACGTATGTAGCAACATTGAGTTACAATTGTCACCATCATCCTCCTGTCATTATCCCACCTAGGGGGGGTCGGCACAACACGTGGGCAAAACCATTAATCAGGCTCGACAGGTCACGAAATATCAGGAGGGGGGAGTTGGGGTGTAGTAAGATATCACGTAAGTAAAACGTCACCTTGAATCGCCGGCTGCTTCAGTCGCCAGTTATTCTGTTATTTTGGCTAAACGATAGTATGCTGAAAGTTTGTTTTAAATTTTAAAATAAATGGCGTTAAACTTAAACCTCACCACGTTTTTGTTTTTAATGTAAAAGTTGCCAAGCGAGCAGGTGGTTCACCCGATGTTAAGTGAATACCACCGCCCATGGACATCTGCTACAACTGAGGGTTGTAGATGTGTCGACAACCTTTTGAAACTTGGGCTCCGGCCACCTCACTCACCAGACGAAACGCGAAAGTATTATACTTCCAGTTTACGCCGGTCTTCTGTGAGGTCGTGGTACCTGGACGAGCCTCCCCATTCGTGCAGCAGCCGAATGGGTTTCCAACCGGCGATATTTAAGGGATTGGTCGACTCTACTCTACAAGTTTGTGAATTGGAACATTTCAATTCAAAATTCCCTCGTGATAAAATCCCAAGTACCAAGGCGCTGCGATTGATTATATAAGTTATTGATTATATTACAGCTGTTTAATAATTATTGAGCATAAAAAAGATCAACGAGAGCTTTCAATCGGAAGACAACACCACAGATTGGTACAAAAACAAAACACGTCAAAAACGATTATTTAATTATAAAGATCTCATAATTATCACAAGATATCTGTCATGTCAAGATTCCATTCTGTTTGGGATAGTAAATGGAACGCCATTTTGAACTTGTCCCGAGGGTGGCCGGGGTTGGGTCAAGGCCACACGATGCTCTCGATCCAGGGCACGTAGGGGACCAGCCTGGTGTAAATGGCCGGTTCCCCGGGCTGGCCGCATTGCTTGCCCCAGGAAGTGATGCCCAGAACGGAGTACATGCAGTAGACATGGGGGTGCTTAACCTGGACAGGTCCACCGCTGTCTCCCTTTAGGAAAAAATAAATAAATCAAAATCAAAATCATCAACCAATTCATCGACATGAGAAACATAGATTTCATCTATTGTGTAAAAATGTGTTCTAAATATTAACTTACATTGCAGCTGTCTTTGGCCACGTGCCAGTCTCCATAGCACATTTGTGTTGTGCTGTTTAGGCCCTTCTTCATATGACGCATCCCCGGCGAGTTGGGCGCGTAGCTAAGCGCGCACTGCTCGTCAGTGAACTTCTGGAGTGTGACCTGTAAGCAGCATTAAGGTTCATGGGAAATGTGTATAGAAGCGAAAGGCTATTAAGGCCGCTAAAAGTATAAAAAAATAAAGTAACAGCCTATACATGTGCAAACGCCTCCTCTATGCAGAGGGTATCAAGGCATAGTCCACCACGCGACCCCACTGCGGATTGGCGGACTTTACATATCTTCGAAATATGTATTTTTTGTCATTATTTCGGAAATATCTAAAAGCGCGTTTTTTATATCACGATGTTTTCCTTCATCGCAGAGCATGTGTTAAGTCAGCATTTAAAGTTAAAAACTTCATTGGTGCCGACACCGGGGATCAAACTCAGGTTGCTCGAGTATATTGAATTAAAGGCGATTGCCCGGACACTGAGCTATCACGGCTCGGCCTATCGGCCGCTAAGCCTATAGGCATATACGAGAAAAAGCCACAGTTCCTCTGTACATAAGGCATTAGAGCATAGTCCTACACGCGAGACCCGTGATAGCTCAGTGTCCGGGCGCTCGCCTTTAATTCAATATACTCGAGCAACCCGAGTTCGATCCCCGGTGCCGGCACCAATGAAATTATTAATTTTAAGTGCTGACATGAGCATCGTGAGAAAAATTGCATATTTTCGAAATAATAACAACAAATGTTTGTAAGATATGTGAAGTCCGTCAATCCGCAGTGGGCCCGCGTGGTGGACTATGCCATGATACCCTCTGTACAGAGGACGCCATTGCCCGGTATCCCTGTATCCCCATTTACTGTTACTTGTCTTAATTTGGAGGAGGCCTTCACCCGAGGAGGGGTTCTTGCAAATAAACATAAACAATAATATTTAAAAAAATTGTAAAATAAAATTTAAAAAAACATATAAGCAGATTTAGCGTAGGAGATTATAAGATTTTTTTTGTTTATGTATAATTTTTTGCAAGAAGTATAAAGGCTTTTTATTTATTATTATATATACTTGACTTAATATTTATCTAAATTAGTTGTGTGATGACAATTAACAACATAATCCCGTGTTGTAAGAGCGTCTTACATGCATACATTCCGACTGGACACACCCAGATCCGAAACAATGGTTCGTGGGACACTTAAAGTAGTTCCGTGTCGGAATCGAACCCAAGAACCCGATGCCAAAGCTAATACCTCGACAACTGCGCTACAGAGTCATCAAAGCAGCTGGTGACAACAGGAAATACCTTCTGCAGAACGTCGGACACTTTGTCCGTGCGGAAGACGGTGGTGCCCCAGCCGGTGACCATCGCAGTGCTGTCGTTGAGGTGGTGACCGTCGTGGAGGCACGCCGGGACCGTGAACTCGTCCAGCACGATGCTACGTAAGCAGGCGTAAGAAGGCTTTCAAAGTCAAAGTCGAAGTGAAAATTTCTTTATTCAATATGGGGTTATTTTAAGCTCCTATTGACCGACATAGCTCAGAAGATTAGCAAGCTGAAGTGCCGATTGGCCGGCCATATAGCTCGCCGACCCGATAACCCTTGGGCAAGAAAGGTTCTCGAGTGGCAGCCTCGTACTGGCGATCGCAGTGTGGGCCCCAATAGATGGAGTGACGACCTGTGCTCCTCGATGTGACGATGGATACAGGTGGCTCAAGATCGAGGCCTATGTTCAGCAGTGGACCCAAACAGGCCGAAATGATGATGATGATGATTGACCATCAAACCCGTCTTCGGGATTCCTGCCTAGACGCTTTAACCACAACCAAACGGCTGAGTGCCATACCAAAGCAGTG